AGGAATGTAGACATTGGAGAATATAGTAGTATTCAAATGGTTAATGAATAAAGAAATTTATTTTGTAAATAACGACCGATTTATCGATTGACAGAAAAAGATAAATTTGAATATACAATACAAACTGTATATCATATATAAGTTTAACATAATTTGCATATTATTTAAAACTGTTGCATTTTACATTATAATGAATTACTAATATTATAATATATATTTAAAATTAAATTATAATATTTTAATTATAAATATTATTTTTTAATTAATAATTTTATATAAAAAATATTCATGAATTAAAAATAGAGTAGTTTTAAAATATGCAATAATATTAATTTTTACAATATATTTATACTTAATTTATAATTGAGAAATTGGATTATAATTTTATACATAGATTTATAATAAATATGACCTAGCTCAATGAAATCTTTTATTCAACTATTGATTTTCTGCCAAATTGTTATGATATATAAACTTTTTTGCAATAGAGCACAGGTATGTGGGGAAAGGGATGTGTTATACTGTATCTAAAAAACTAAGTAAACAGAGTAAATCTAATCCCACCGTTTTGTCCACAATTCAAATTCATTCGAGTGTTTCGGCAATTGAGAGAGAAAAATCAAGAACAGCCCATAAACTGATGACTCTTATCAAAAATAGTACTAATCCTTAAACAACTGAAAAACTTTCTTAATCTCTATCATTTGATTTCAAATATTTTTACAAATAGTTTAATTCAAAATTTATAACACATTTTTATTAATATTTCATTCAAAAGTATAAATAACTATTAAATTAAATTTATTATAAATAAATAATTGATAATAGAGTTAAATTTTGTTTAATTTACATTATTAATGTTTATTGTAAAGTTGGGCCTTTTATAAATGAGTCTAAATAGTTATGGGCTGTTTTTGACTTTTCTCTCTCAATTTTCAAATAAATGTTGTTTATTCATAAATTACGTCAAAATATGAAAACTTTCAAATTATTATACATCAAACATAACTTAAACAAAAACAAAAGAACATAATTTATATTTATAGTAATTATTTAGACGTAATAACAGCTATTTTAGAGTTATTAATATAAATATATAAATATATTTATATTAATAACTCCATGAATAATAGATCTAGATAATTAGTATAAATATAAATAATGATCTGTATAGTTTATATATTATTAATAATTATTAATAGTTGTTAATATTAATAATAGATTGTAAATATTATATATTTAATTATTTCAAAATACACAAAAATACATTTGAAAAATAGTATAAAATATTTAATTTTTCACATTTCAACGTTATTTATGAACAAATAAGACAAGAATTTTAAAATTATCAAAACAAGTATCGAATGAATTTTAATTTTATAGAATTTGACGCTATTTTTAACGTTACATATATTTAATGTTTAATATAATATATATTTCTGTAAATTTTAAATTAAATAAAAAATATAATCAAAGATAATGCTATTTACAAAAGTTTAATATCTATTATAGTATAGAAGATTATGCAGTTCCCGGATCCTATATCCCGGTTCTGTCATACATTTAATTTTATCATTTAATAATATAATTCCATTTCAGGAAACCATAATCAAAAAAAATTTATTTTTAATTATTATAAATTAATATTAATTTATTTACAAAATTATTGATTATTTATATGAAATGTTATAACAAAAAAATAGTTAAATGGTTAATACATTTTAGATTATATTTTAATAATATAATAAATGACATTTAGATTTTTCATTTTTATATTCATTCAGTAAATATAATATATTAAACACTTATGTAATGTTTACTCCAAATCATTTGATTATTGCCACACGTATTGCAATAGACGTGTTGTCATAACATATATATAATAAATCATTGTATTTACCCACCAATCTGTGTATTGTAATAATACTAAATAATTTTTATATGACACCTTAATTGCTTGAACCATAAAATTAAAAAGATAAATCAAAAATGAATAAAGTAAGTTATATATAAAATAATACTAAATATATTATTGCGTTAGAAATTATTAAAACTAAATTTTGTTATTTTTATGAAAGATAATTACTTGTATTTAGGGTTAGATCAAATTCAAAAAGTTTTTTATGTTCCCTTTTCACTGGAAATTACTATTGAATCTATTTCTTTGTGCTACCACTTATTGAACCCTAAACAACACATCAAAAATTATAATCCGAGACAAATATTATATTAAACTGTATTTTGAATGGTATTGATAAATAGTGTAACTAAATTTATTGAATTAAAAATTATTTTTAAATACTGTATTTAAGTTTTGTTACTATTTATTGTAAAAAATATAAAATATATTTTCTTTTTCTAATGATCAAGGGAGGGAAAATAATATATTTTCGGGAAAAATTAAAGGGATTTTATTAGGGAACTTCCCTCCCTGGGAAAGTTGCTCGTAATCTACTTGTATTAAAAACTGTTGGTATATTTAAACATATATTAATCAACATTAAATATAAAATAAGCAGCATTACTTTTTAATATTATGCTTGCAATATTGACAATATAAGTTTTATAAAATCAAAATAATAAATTATAACATTGATTGAGTTTAAGAATATCTTTTTAAATTTTATATTTTGTTTGGAGTTTGTTTTCAATTAAAAATCAAATTGTATATAATTTTTTATAAACATAATTTGAATTTGAATTTATAAATATTTTAATATTGCTTTTCCATAAAATTGCTATTATATTCTATAGAATGTTATGTTACAAACTTTTAGTATGTATTATCATTAATTTTTTTAACATTTGTRTGTAAATCATATAAAACTAAAAATATAAGATTTAATTCAAGTGTAAGATTTGGAGTACTATATGTTTGAAGTCAAGTTAAGATCAAAATAAAATTAATTGCATGAATGAATTGAATGAAACCTCAATTTTAAGTCATTAACTAATATTTGAACGAATAGTGATATAAATCAATGATTTCACTAACATTTAGTAATCTTTATAACGATATCTAATGTATATTTACAACACCAATGATCACTTATATAATTAAATATAAAAATAAATTATTTACACTATTTTTACTAAATATATATATCAATTTTCAAATGTAAAGTCACAATAATAAACATGTAAATTTAAAGTTATTAAAAACTAAAAATGTGATGTTAAGTATCATATAACAAATAAAATTATAATATAGAATTATTAATCAATATTAATTTTTTCTGATTATATTTTTTCTGATATAATAATTTTATATTAAAAAAATTTAGTAGAATGCAAAAAAATAAAAATAATTATGGTTACTGTATAATTGTAGGTTTAACTAGTTTTCATATTTATTAGTTTTATTAAGGTTAGTTAATAACAAGATAATTATAATTTATATTATTTATTAAAATTTAGTGTTAATAATACAATAGTAATGATTTTATATAAGACTAAGAATATTGAAGACTAAATTAAATTCTTACTATTAATAATTAGTAGTTAGTAATCAATAGTATAACTCAATAATTGTGCAAAAAATGATGAGTCAGAAAATTTTTAGTTTTAGTAATATATGTGTGTTTAAGTGTGTTTTTTCATTTCTCTTTCAATTATTTTTTTAAAAAAAACCTTTAATAATTCAATCATAACTCAACTCTTTTAAAACTAATATAGATTTAATATAAGGCAATTGCCTAAAGGCATTGTATTAATCATTTACAATAAAATTTATTTTATTATGTTTTAAAATGATAACAATGGTGATTTTTGATTTAGATGTTTATGATGATCAATTTAAAAGTTATTTTAAAAAACAACATTTACAAATGATATTTTTTAAATAAAATATTGCAAATAATAATAATAAAATACTGTTTTAAACAATTAATTATATTTTAGGTTTTGTGTATTTTATATTTTCTGTATTTTTACATTTAATATAATATGATATAATATTTATACATATAGTACATTAGATATGATAGTATCAAACATAGCAATAATAGTTAGTGTAAAAATATCTTATTATTATGTTGAATTAATTTTATTGCCTTTAATATAATATACTACTAATATCTTTTTAATAAATGATTAAAAGCGTTTTTGTCTAATCATTAAATCATTTGATAAAAGCATAAAATATAAAAATTATATTTTTAAATAAGGCATTAAATTCTTGTGAGACTTAAATTACAAATTAATGATTGCTTTTATGAAAGCTGTTGTTTGCAATGTTATATTAATATACAATAGTATTAACAATTATATAATGATGAAACATAAATATTATATTGGGTTTATATTGATATTATAAGAATAATTTAAATTTTTATACAATATTTTATTTTATAAGTATTTTATTATTTTATATAAATAGTAAACACAATATAGTTTAACAGTATTTTTTACATTGCATACAAAATAAAGAATATTCTATTTAATGCATTGAAATTTACAATTTTTTATTAAATGATTTGTCAAATGGTATAAACATATTTGTAGTTTTAAACATTTTTATTGTGTATTACTGTTAACTAGTTATTTGCCAGAAATCTATTAAATCTATTTTATGATATACTATTTGACATATACTATAAGTGAAAATAGAAAACATTAGATAATTGATAAACTTTTTTGACAGTTATTAACACTAAGTATTGTAATGTCTGTTTGTATGTGTGTTTGTATTATTTTTTGTAACATTATTGCAGTTAAATAAGTGACAATCGTGTAAAATAGTAAAAAGGAAATAAATATATATCAATACACGGAATCGTTTTATTTTGAAGCAATTTTGTTGAACATATTATGAAGAGATCGTCAAGAGTTGAGTCAAATGGGTTGCAGTGGGCTTACTATGGCTAGTATTGATAGATTAGACCATATTATCAATTGGTTGCGTTAGTTAATCCTTATTTGACACCTACTTGACGATCCCTGTTGTCAGCAAACTTTGATGTCATTAATTGATAACATTTATCTCATGTGTTTGTCCACAGACTCACTGGAAGGACCCCATGAAAGACGTTTACTGAGAGATCTATTCACTGATTATCAAGTGTTGGAGAGACCGGTCGCTAATGAATCGGAGCCAATACTTGTTAGCTTTGGTCTGACATTACAGCAAATCATTGATGTGGTATGTCTTCAATACAATCATTAGTTATATACATATATTGTATGCCTTTCTAATAATAATTCAATAACCCGTATAACCATCACAACTATCACAACCATCTCGTACTTTCATTACATGTTTAGTATATATTTATTCATATCAATGGAATTGACACAACTTTTACAAATTTGTTTCGTATTTATATAAATAAATAGTAATTTTCAAATAAATAAACAAATACTATATATATATATATATCATTTTGCATAAAAATAATTGTTTAATTAAAGTTTGGAAAGAAACAAATTGTACTAATATTTATTATATCTAATTTTATTATTTAATAATAGTATTTAATTTTATTTATATACAATATGATAACAATTGATAAATTAAAGACATTAATATTTTTTGCTATTTTAGATCTCTTTTTCCAAAAATTCAGATAAATCGGTCATTTTATTTATATTAAATACATATGCGTTCAACTTTTCTTGACCCCTCCTCCCCCTCACTTAAAAAATAATAACCATAAAGATTTGTAATAATATATAATCTATAACATAAAAATATACTATATTCTGCAATTTTGGTAATATAAATATGTAAAGAAGCGGTCAAATGATGTTGAGCCGCGTATTTTTTGAATAACTTTTGAACGGTTAGAGATAATTTAATTCTGTAAAATACATTTAAGAATATCATATCGACTACACTTAACTTATATTATATTACTAATTCTAAAAACAACATTTTAATACGTCGACTAGTTTTCAAAATAATCGACTCAATATAAATCACACTATTGTAATTTGATATTATAATTTATATTGAAATTCGATTATTTCGAAAACTAGTCCACATATTAAAATGTTGTTTTTAGAAATAATAATATAATTGAAAATTTAATCTTATAAATAGTGTCTTGATTTCCAACTAAAAAAATTATTTTGTCGGTTCAACGCTTATAACTGGGACTTAGTATGTCCACCGAACTTGACCAGTGGACGCTATTTCCGAAATTTTATTATAACTATAAATAACTATTTGTTGGGTTAGCAACTATAAAAACTTATAAATAACTTTCAGTTATTTTGAAAAATATAAGCATTAAATTGTAAAATTAAGCACAAATATATGTAAAAACAAAAAGTAATAGTTATATAAATTATATAAAATGTGTAAACTGTTATCAACTCATATTACTTTTTTAACAATAGAAATAATTAGTTTATTTATATAAATCATTTTTGTAAATATGCTGAAAACAAATGAATTATATATCAGTTGAAATATTTATAAAAAAAATAAATAACTATTTCAATAACTATTTGGCTTTTTTAGCAACTATATACAACTATTTAATACAGTTTAAATAACTATTTTAAAAACTATTCGACTTTTTTAGCAACTATTATAACAACTATTTAATAGAGTATAAAAATTATTAATCAATACACTACTTATAAATATATAATAGTCATAAATAACGTCATTTTGATTTTAGACTATTTTATATATGATTTATGACAAACTTAACAAGCCATAAAAACAAAACTACCAATCCGATTTTGATGTTTCTTTTTTTATATTAAACTATTATTTGTTGACTATAAATTTTCATTGTCATAATAAATTTATCAGTTGTAGTTTGACCTGTAGCATAGTGTCTTTCGTTGGTCCCGATATTTTGTATATCTGGTCATCCTAGTTTTGTGATTGCGTGTATATTAAGTGTGGTCGATATGATATTCTTAAATGTATTTTACAGAATTAAATTATCTCTAACCGTTCAAAAGTTATTCAAAAAATACGCGGATCCAATAGTATAACATTAAAGTTAAATTTCAATAGAAATTTTCTAGAAACTTTCTATATGTTCATTTTTAATTATACTTCATATAAAATTTGCTGTTTGTCGTAACAAAAGCATTAATATATAGTTTAATGGTTTATAGTATTTATATATTATTTTAATTTTATATAATTTTTAATTAGTTGTCTATAAAAAAAAGTTAATGCCTGTATAAAAACTATTTTTAAAGATATGAAAAAAACATGTAATAAAGCAAAGTGGAAACATTTAAACAATTATTATATTTTAAAAATAAAAATATTAAATTAAATAAACTAAACTTTTTAAATATAATATAATTTAATTTAATACAAAAACTACTTTATATTAAAATTTAAAATAAAAACAATCAATATTAAATATATCAAATTTAATAAAATTTTCCACTAAGTATTTGTTAAATAACTTACAATATTTTTATATATATATATGAGATCTGCTGCTTTATAGTGATAATAATATAATAAATATATAAAGAAAAATACAACAAAAATATGATTCACTAAATATCTATTATTATTAATTTTCGTTTATTTATTTATATTCATATTTTGTTAACACATTAAATCATTTATCAATACAGAAAATCCAGTGTACAATATCATTGAATCAATGATATTATTTACAATAGTAAATAATTTTAAAGTGTTAATTGTCTAAATTGTTTCAATGAATAATAAATTCAAATAAAATTTATTGTTTTTTAATAAATGTTTTTAATTTGTTAATTGATTTGACTAATAAAACAATAAAACTATTCTGTCATTTTTTATAATTTAGTTAATTTAAAATTATATATAATTATAATGTAAATTTATTTAATGCTTATATTAACAAATATTATATATATAATTTAATTTTAATTGGTTATAGGTTATGATTATAGCATTTTATAAGAAATTAATACAAATTATTTTACGGAAAATTAACTAAAGATTGTCATAAATAATAGGAATTGAGAATTACGCCCAACAATAATCAATTGACATTAAATTGTTGTTTAGTAAATACACTAAAATAACAAATTGTATTTTTATTGTCTGACAAATATTTAACATAAAATAACACAAATGATTAGTATATCTTTATTATAGAAATTGATTTTTTGAATTGTATTTTATGGTAAACTTCTTTGTCATCAAATCATAGGACGAAAAAAATCAGATCTTAACATCAAATGTTTGGTTAAAAATGGTAAGTATTTCAATGAAATCTAAACATTGAAATAATTATATTTAAAATTTACTTATACTATGTGTAAACTGTAAAAATAATAAATAGTAAATATTAACAAAATTTTTAGATTTACTATATTTATATTGACTTAGCAACTAATTAACGACAATCACTATGAGATCATTTTGTAAAATTTGTTAAATAAAGTCAATATTTGAGTATTTGAATGATAAAAATGCAAAACATATGATAAACCAAAATATGAAAGTACGTGATGTCTCTTTTGATTAAATTGTTTTAATTTAATTGATTTCACATAATTTTATGTCATTTAATCAATTTATTCATTTAATGATTTAAAAAATACATTTTCTTTGTCCTCATTAATAAAAAGTCATGTGTTTTGATGTTTTATTGTCTTAATATGTTTTATTCATCCCTTTTCTGTTCCCTATCTGTAATAAATGGCGTTTTGTCTGCAAAAGGATGAGAAAAATCAGCAGTTAGTTACTAATACATGGCTAAAACTGGTAAGGATTTTCATACTAAACTATTGCTAATATATCTAACATTTTATATAATATTTTTTTTATTTATTATTATTTTCTCTAAAGTAAACAATATAACTAACTAAATACAAAATTATAATTGAATTTTATGTATAAAATAACAATACCATATTTAGCTATATATATGTAGTATACAGTAAAAGTATTTTTAAAACTAAACATATCTAAAAACTAATCTAAAGTTTACTTAAAAATCTAATGCTTTTTAGTAAAAAAAATTGAGGGAAGAGAGAAAAGACTTAAATTAAGTGTTTTGTCCAAACAATAGTGTATTTTCACAATTTATAGATATATATAGACTCACAAATTCCGGTGCTGTGAATCCAATCCTAAATTTAATTTCCTTTTTTTAATATATTGTAATACAGCAATGCTTTCTCTGTGTTTTATAATTTTTGTATACAGCATTGCTTAATATAAATTATTATTTTTATTTATCTAAAATTTCCCCTTTCTTTTGATCACTTATTGTTTGTTACATTTAAAAACTATATGACTATTATAAATGTATAATATTTGCTGATATTAAAAAATAAGAAAACAAAAATAATATAAAATTTTTATGTGTTGTTTATAATTTATATATATATATATATATATATATACTGTATATATACGGTATAAGATTATATAGATATATGTTATCGATATACACACTATTGAAAATTCGAAGCAAAACCTAATCTGTTTTTTTAAGTTTTATTTTTATGTTTTTATATTTTCACTGCAATGCACTTCCAATATATTAGATATGATATGATAGGTATGTTTTTATTGGGCACACATGTTATGTTATGTTATGTCTATTAATCCTTAATTTATAGCTGCCATCTAAACTAGACTGACCCACATTACAGGCCTTTTTGTATTATATAAGAATACTTTCGTTATTATTAAACACATGATAATAGTGATAATAATATCAATAACAAGATTAATAAATATATTATATATTATACAAAAAAATTTAACAATATATTAATCGTAATGAAAACTAAAATTTTATTATTCATACTAATATGATAGTAATGTTTTACAGTTATTTATACTTTTAATATAATATCTATTATTGTATAACCATTTTAGTGATAAAAGTCTTTTATATTACTAATTTTAACAGAAATATGAGTTTACTAACCAAAACTTGTAAACATATTTACTATAGCATATAATTTTATAATTAATAGCATAATTAACTATTTAATTATTAATAAGTTTAATTAGAATAAAATAAACAATAATTATGTAAATTAAAATTTATAAAATTTTACAATTTTACAATTTTACAATTTTACAATTTTACAATTTTACAATTTTACAATTTTACAATTTTACAATTTTACAATTTTACAATTTTACAATTTTACAATTTTACAATTTTACAATTTTACAATTTTACAATTTTACAATTTTACAATTTTACAATTTTACAATTTTACAATTTTACAATTTTACAATTTTACAATTTTACAATTTTACAATTTTACAATTTTACAATTTTACAATTTTACAATTTTACAATTTTACAATTTTATTAATTAGTAAATAAAAAGAGTAATTTTATCTTTGTATAATTTATTATATTGTATTACATAATATTGTACTGTATTAACATTGAAAAAATTTATTATACAAAAAAAATTCAATCGATTTGTGACACAACTAACTGATAATTGTTTAATTTATAATTAATATTATTAGTTATTATCAGTTAGTTGTGTCACAAATCGATTGAATTTTTTTTGTATAATAAATTTTTTCAATGTTAATACAGTACAATATTATGTAATACAATATAATAAATTATTTGCATTTTATGTCATACTTTTTTTTCCTTTAAACGACTTGTGGTTTTTAAAATTTGAGTAAAATCAGAGATTGTTGTGTGAATAATACAATACAATGTCGATATTATTATTGTAATTTAGTTAATTGTTTAATTTATAATTAATATTATTAGTTATTAACTAAATTACAATAATAATATCGACATTGTATTGTATTATTCACACAACAATCTCTGATTTTACTCAAATTTTAAAAACCACAAGTCGTTTAAAGGAAAAAAAAGTATGACATAAAATGCAAATAAATTATTATATATATAAATTATAATATGCTATTAAATATAAATTAATTATTCAGTTTTTTGTTAATAATTTATACATAACACGCATACACTGTATTATAAGTATTTAATTTAATTGATCATATCTGTAATAAATTCTAAATGTAGTTATTATTTTTCAATTAAATAATTGCAAATTTTAAGAAAGTCAAATTTAAATATGAATGTATAATTTAATTTTTTTAAATAAAACATTTTTTTGTTATATTATTAAAATAATCTTTAAAAAAAAATTATTGAGTCATTTAAATAAAGTTTTATTTGAGTTAATTTTAGAAATAATTAAAGAATTAAATTTTTTATATATTCTATACTTATATTAATCTAATTTAGATTAAAATAATATAAAATTTGTTTAGTCTATTTGTAATTCAGAGTCAGTAATAACTTTTATTATTTAAAAATTGTTTAGATATAAAAATGCATTTCAATTATATAATAATAATGTTATTATATATAAAATGAAAATTCATTGAATCGTAGTGATAAAAGCTTTTAATATTTTGTGAATTTCTAAATAAACTTTAATATATTAATATACTGTATAATACACTGTATACAGTATTACTAAATGTAATTTTTCTGTATTTGAATTTGCATATAAAATAATACACTTCAGTGATAATACTGTTAAATTATATTAAAATTATACTATGACTATACAAACAATAACTTTAAACTTTTATTTTTTAAGATTTTTATTAAATAATAATTCAATTACTAATTAGTAATAATAAATTGTATTTAATAACAATACTGTACAGTATAATATAATATATACTGAGTATATTATATGATAAATATTTTTTTAAATTTAAAAATCATATTAGCTATTTATGGTATTATATTTTTGTTACTCTTAATGTATAAAAACGAGAAACAGTTTTGTTAAATATTCAATAGACTAATTCAATTACTTAATTGTTTGATATATATATACCGTATATGTTAAGTATTTTGCACATAAAGATGATAAAAAGCATAAAATGATTTTCACAAAAATTGTTTGTTTTATATTTTTATCGATTAGTTTATTATTCATCAAAGCAGTAGACGACACAAACACATTGTTAAGATATAACCTCCAAATGAGATAATATTATGTTAGAAATTTTTCGGCACATATCTTAATAGCCAAATATAAAAATCTTTATATATATATACAGTATTAATATATTCTGTTAGATATAATATAATATCTACTATAAGACTGTGTTATAAACGAAGAATATTCTATTTGTTATAAATCATATTAATATACTCATTGATCGGTTGTTGTATTTGCTAACAATGCTAACAGTGCTAACAGTGTTAACAGTGCTAACAGTGCTAACAGTGCTAACGGTAACATTCAATAACAACCGTGTGATATATGAATATAGTTTACGCTGATATGGCTCTTATGGGTAAATAACTTATATAATATATGGTCATCACTTGTTTAACACATATTTTTTAATTAATTAAAATTTAGATCTAACATTTAGAAAAAGATAACTTATTAAAATATGTTATTATTAAAAGTAATATTATACTTATATCTTATGGTAAATTATTATATAATTCATATTTATAAATATTTACTCTCTAAAATACATTATAGTATAATAATTATTATATTATATTTTTTGATATTATTTTAAAGTTTCTAGTTTCACTTTGATTTTTGATTTTAAATAATATAATAAAATTAATAATAAAATTAATTATACAAAAGTTTATAATTTTCATAAATGCTAAATAAAAAGTGAATTTAAGCAAAAATTTTCATATATTTTTCAATATCATTTAATAAATATGAATACAACAGAAATATTGCAATAATTATAATACCGTATATTTATTTTTGCAGTTAGTTATGTGACTCATAAATATTTTAGTTATTTCAGTAATTTATATTTAATATTTATATAAAATTACACATTTTTATGCTAACATAATCAAAAATATAAGAATAATAATTATTAAATTTTTTAAAGCTGTTTTTTATTTTTTTTAAATGTAGATGACATTTTGAGAATATTATTTACTTATATAAATTAAAATTATTATTTGTGATGATTATTAAATTTTATGTTTTGATAACTATTATAGAAATATATTTATGAATTTATAAAAATTATTGGTCATTCATTTACTAATAATGTTTTTTATTTACATTTAAAATATGTAATAAGTTTAAAATAAGACACTAAAACAAGTCTATAATTTAATAATTACATAATTTATTTTATATTTAATTTGCTATTTATTGCTATAAAAATTATTGTATAGTAGAATAATAATATACATAGTTTATTTTATTTTTTATATTAAAAATATAATAATTTTATGAAAATTTTATACTTTATTATTTCTTATATACAATATAATATTAATAGTATTAAAGTATTGATTATAATATATTAGATTTTTTAATATTTATAAACTTTAAAGTTTGAAAACTTATTTGTAAATATAAAAATGACAAAATATGTTATGACAAATTTATAAATATATATAGGCTTACATATAAAATGCGAGTTTTTAAAATATTAATATTAAAAGATAGTAAGCAAAATGATAGAAAAGCAAAATATTAAATTATATTTTATAAATCGATAGTAAATATTAGACTATTGCCTGAAAATGTAAATTTTCAAATATCGTTAGTGAGAAGTCAAGAGGTTTATAGTAACAAAAATTTTATTAAATGACAGTTAGATATTGAAGACCAACTGTGAATCAATAGAGGATTAAGAGTACAATTGAAATAAATTTGAAAAAAGCTTTGACCTAACAATACAACATATCTATTGTATTCATATCTTATGTTAGCATTTGATGGCCAAAGCAATTGAATCATTAAAATATGTTTTCGCTTTAGTACTAAACTCTCTCATCACTGACTTTTCAATAGTGTTTGTAATGCAAGAATCAGATATCAGTTACGATTAGTTACAATAGTTATCATAACATCAAAATAAAAATGACAATTATTTAAAATTTATTGATATAACTGAGTATTCAATACACGACTGTCTATATATAGGAATGGGTTGACACTAATCTCCGTTGGAATGCCAGTGAATACGGAGGTATTCAAGACTTGAGAATAACTCCCGACAAGATCTGGAAACCAGATATTCTTATGTATAATAGGTTTGTATATTATATTTATATAGAATATACAGTAATATTGATAAATGTATTACTTTAAACACAATTATATGATTTGATTTATTGGTCAACAGTGCTGATGAAAAATTTGACGGCACTTTTCATACAAATATAGTGGTCCGCAATAATGGTAGCTGTTTATATGTGCCTCCCGGTAGGTCTAACCATAATTTCAATTTTTATATATTACTTTTATACCATATATATATATATATTTATATATATATACCACATATGACTGATTCTCAAATAGTTATTGTTAGTGAAGATTATAAAAATATAACATATATAAAAATAGTCTGAACTTTTTAAAAATAATTTTTTATTTAAATTAAATATTGATTTTTGATGAATAAATTTAAATATTATTTGAAAAGATTTTCACTAATAAATAAGCAAAACATTAGTAAAAGTTAACAAAGAATGAGTCAGTAAGTGAGTGGGTGTGTGTGTATCTGTATGTATGTATGTATGTATGTATGTATGTATGTATGTGTGTGTGTGTGTGTGTGTGTGTGTGTGTGTGTGTGTGTGTGTGTGTGTGTGTGTTTGTGTTTGTGTGTGTTTGTGTAGAATTGTTGATTAAAATTGAAATGATATTACAATAAAAGTTATTTGGATGCAAATGATAGTAATGTTAATTTGTTAGTTTATTTTTGACTGTTATTTATTATATAATATTATATTAAAGGCATATTTAAGAGCACCTGTAAGATCGATATAACATGGTTTCCATTTGATGATCAAAAATGTGAGATGAAGTTTGGCAGCTGGACGTGAGTTATACTTTTATATTGATATCACACCTCAATTATAATAGACTGACTCTAAATACATATTACCTATAATGTTGTTGTATTTCTAATGAGACACACATTTAATAAGTGCTAAACATAACAACTAATATAACATTACTTTGCTTTTAACATTAGATACGATGGATTTGCATTAGATTTAAGACTTTCAAGTGAAGATGGAGGAGATATATCCACTTATATAGCAAACGGAGAGTGGGTTCTTATGGGTCAGTAATCAAACTACTTATATATATTACTTTCTTATATTAAGTCTTTCATTAAATAATTATTATATTATTTTATTTCAATTAATAATTAGACATATTGTTGACAAACTCAATAATCAAATTTATAACAATTAAGTTTAAATTGATTCAAATTATTTGAAAAACAAAAAAATTTAAATATATATTAAATTATAGATTTTTTTTATCATTTGACTCTTTAATTTATATGTAGGTCCTATGAGAGACAGTAATGTCAGTTATAGGAAAGCACTTGAATTTAAAATTATTACTATTTTAGTTCATAGCCTATATATGTTAGATTGTAAACTTATTATTAAATATATGTTTTTATGGTTATAAACATAATATATTTGTATAATACACATATTTCATTTTAACCTTGGGCAGTTTTGTGTAAAGTTTACATTTGTATTTAACATACTATACATGTAGTAGTTAAGCATTGTTACAATTGTATTATAAGTTATCGTTAAAGGATATTTTTATTTTTTCGTCAAATAAATTTCCCTATTGACTACATATATTTATTTAAGAAAAAACTAATTTAAAATTATAAAAAATGTTTATTGTGATTTAGTTGAATAATAAATAAAAAAAATTACTTTAAACATAAATTTATACAATAACATATAAACAGTTTAATGCAATATACTGTATGTTTTACTATTAAATATTGTGTTAATAATAAAAATAATAATAAGCGTTATTTTGATTGGAAATAACAAAAATTGTTATTATTATTATACTGTTGTCTAAACAGGTGTACCGGGAGTTCGTACAGTACTATACTATGCCTGTTGTCCGGAGCCTTATGTGGACATAACGTTCACAATTAAGATCAGACGGAGGACTCTGTATTATGGCTTCAATCTAATAATTCCTTCGGTTATTATATCATCGATGACTTTATTGAGTTTTACATTACCTCCAGATTCTGGAGAGAAGTTGACTCTTGGAGTAACCATTTTGCTCAGTATGATTGTAAGCACTCAGTACTACATTTTTTTTTCTCTCTCTCTCTTTCAAACTATATATTTATGTATCATTTAATAAAATATTGAGAACATAACTATTAGATTTCATACACTTATATATTTTATTTCTGTAATATCTTTAATATTATAGGTATTTCTCATGCAATTGGCTGAAATAATGCCAGGTTTTCATACAATTTTTCTAAATTTTCTATTTATTGATAATTTGATTGAATTTCTAATTGTTATTTACATTATATTTTATTGATATATACCAAAACCACAGCCACATCTGACTCCGTATCGATTGTCGGTAATTATAAGTTTGATTTATTTACTACCTTATCATCGAAAAAATTGAGTCACTATTTGAATCAATAGTATATTTATACCAATGATTTATATATACTATTCACTTGTCATTAAAGAAAACATACAAACAAACAGACGTATAGCACATAAATATTTTTATTTTAGTATATACTGTATGTTGGTATACATACAGTCAAAAAATCTATTAACTAATGTGATAAATATGTTAATATTACAAAACCCTTCGACCAATTTTAATGTTGTTTATTTTAAAATATATTTTATCCCTCGATTTATAAATGATAAAAAATATTTTATCAAAAATTTGAAGTCATTTTTTAAAACTAATTTTAGTTAAAACATTAAAATTATTATTTGCTTAGTAAACTACTTTTATTTGTTGAAATATGTTTAGTTACTTTTAGATAGTTCACGTACAATTATTTTATTTGAATTTAATTAATTATAAATTAAAAGAATAACATATTTATAATAAAGTTTATACTTAAAAAATTAAACATTTTTTGAAAAAATGATTTTTTAATAAAATTAAAGTAGTTATTTTAATATTTTCAAGTTAAATAAAACATTTCTGTTAATAAAGTAAGTTTTGTACTTTAAAAATAAAAATTCTAAATATTCTAACTATAAATATACATAATTTTGGCTAAAATTGAATTATAAAATTAATTACAAAAGTTTAGTAATTTTTTAATAATTTATAAATATTCATATAAATTATATACAGTATCTTCATTTTAAAATAAACATTAAAATTGGTCAAAGGGTTTTTGTAATAACATTTTTATGACTTTATTTAGTAGATTTCTTGACCAGTGATTGAAAAGTGGTATCAATGATAACTTTTTTTAGTTTGAATTTATTTTCAAATTTATTTATTTAAACACACTTGTAAATATTTAAAAATATACACATATAAGTTATAACATATAAAAATTGTATTGAAAATTATAATGAAAATGTTTTTTTTTAATTTTCAATTACTAATATATACTATACACTCTGTTATATATATTCATATTTAACTTTCTCGATAAATTAAATTTTATTATATAATTGATTAATAAAAATTTAATTAACATATCTAAAAAGTTTATTTTTAAAATTATATTTCTATTTTAAATTGTAATGAAATTTTTATATATCTTTCTATATTGTATAAATAATACATTTAAAAATAGGTCATTGTTAAAAATATTCATTACAACAAATTTTATATTGTAACCATATAGGCTTTAAATAACATTAAATTAAAAAAATATTTTAAAGTATAAATTTATTAAAAGAATATCTTTAATAAATCTACAGTAAATGTCAGATACAACTTTACTAAAATAAACTCAAATAAAAATCATATTTGTTTTAGATAAATATAGCTATTTTTAGTCATTAAGTTAATTTTAATTTAATTTATTATTTTATATTATATTTATCAATTCATTTGATGTGTAAATTTCGCATAATTAATGTTATTGAATACTAAGTTAGGTAACGCTATTAAAAGTAAATATATTGAAACGATAAACTAATGTTTAATAACATTAATACATTAATACATAAATAAAATTAAATAATTAACATAATCTTAATTAACAAATGAGGCTAAATTGAATTAGATAACTACAAATAGTTATATGATTTTTTAGTAACGCAATGAATGACTGAACATTTACAGCTGCTTTAATCAAGATATCCAATAATTTAGTTATTAAAGTATTTAAATTTTTAATATTAAACATACAGTTTATAAATGCAATGAAAGTAAAAAGTAATCAAAATATTTTTTTTATTGCTTCAATATTTTAATCGTAAATTGACTTTTTTTTAAAAAACAAACTGTGATTTTATTTACCAAAAATGTTCACATAATACACCAGTCATACTGAACTGTATATAAATTATATCAGTATATTGTGTGCAAACTTGTGTGACGAGAAATAAAGTTGTCATAAATAAAATATATTTTTAAGGATAAAGTATTCAAAATATAGAATAATGTTCAGTAATAAAAATAAAATGATAGTTTTTAATGTATCAATATAAATTATAAATAAATACAAAAAAATAAAATTAAAAAATTGAACAATAGACACTATTTTAAATATAATATTATATATAGGTATATCATAATTAATAATTCCCAATATTGTGTAACACTCTTAAACTGTATACTAGCATACTATACCTGTTTTTAATGCAACTTTTATATGTGAATACAAATCATATATTACATCAATAGATATCAAATTTGTTATATTAAAATTATGTTAGTAATAAATTATACTAAAATAAATATCTGAATAGTGACTCAATATTTTATTTAAAATATAAGTAATTCAAAAATATTAATAAATTGTTTTTATTTGCTCTTTTAGGGTCATATTTTGCGTGCATAATGTATGTACATATGTATCATTCATATAAAAATTTAGTTCATAACGATATACTCTAATAGTATTTTGTAATGCATTGTTAAGAATAATTTTTTATTTATGAAATACAATACAGTATTTGTATGTATAAACAAATGAGTTTAAAAAAATGTTTATTCTAAACTAACTTAAAATTAATTGAACGATAAGCTTTATCAAAGATTTATATATATATTTATTTATGTTTGGGTAGAAAAATAAAATTTACTAAAATAATTGTAATAATTGCAACAAAACTGATTTTGATTGTGTGTGTTGTGTGTGAACCAGGATTATGGTTGCGTTTTCGGTAGTGATGACCGTAATTGTGCTTAATTTCCACCACAGAACTACTGAACATCACGATATGCCACAATGGGTTAGTACTATAAATATATTCATTAGTACACTATATTACAAAACTTGTTTTAATATTATTTAAATATATATTTAAAAATTTATATAAAGAATATTTGGTAAATGGGTTGCAGTTTGTTATAAGTTAAAAAAAACAATTAGTTTAAATTAAATCTATTCATAGTTTAGTAATTAATAGCATTTAAAAATTATCTAATTTTTCTAATTATAAAACAAACAATTTTTTAAATATTTATTGATTTAAAACAATTTAGTTGATAATTAATTACATGTTTGTGTCTATTGTTATCTCTAATATTTTTGGTGTTTATTCCCAATTGAATTATGTGATAATTTTCACATGGATTACATAAAACACAACACTTGTTTAGACATAATCAACATAAATGAATTAAACAACACTTAATAATAAATATCTATTAAAACTAATAGAAAACAAACAAAAGTTGTCAAAACATTAATTATTTAAACATAAACTCTAACCTTTTGATAAAATTTATTTAATTTAAATTCAGATTAGTTTAGTTTTATATTGTTTATTTAATAATATAAATATTGACAAAACTGTGCTTTTATTAGATTTAGTTAAATAAATTGATATAATTAAACCAAACAATAATATGATATATGTATAGATCCGTACAATTATCCTGACGTGGTTGCCGTGGATTCTAATGATTGATAGACCGGGTAAAGTCAAGCCTCCGAGGGGTCGACATAACCAGACATCATCCGCTTCGCCAATTAAACGCCAAGAAGTGGCCAGTATTAGCAACAAATTAAAAGAATTGGAACAATTACATACACATACACACCATCGACATCATGGTTCCCATGTCTTAGATGGAGACGAAGATTTTAGTCAAATGCAATCGTCGACAACCCATTGTTCGGGTGGCGCCTGTTATTGCTATTCAAATCTAGATTCATATCACCCAACAGTGTTTAGTGTGCAAAATAGATGCGATGATACGGATGTCGGTGCTTATAATGACTCGTCACCGACCGAGACGTGTCCACATCATCACAACAATGTGTCCGCCTCTATGTGTGTCCGTGATTTACAGCCTATATTTCGTGAATTAAAATTTATAACAAACCGTATGCGACGTGAAGATGAACTCCAAGAGATTATCAGCGAATGGAAGTTTGCAGCGATGGTTATCGACAGACTCTGTCTTATATTGTTCTCCACTTTTGCCGTCATCTCTACTGCCGTTTGCCTCTTGTCTGCGCCACATCTCATCGCTTAACAGCAAATCATTAAACTATTTAATCAAACAATCAATCAATAAAATCAATCAATAAATCATTATTAATAAATAAATTGTATCATATTGATAGGCTAAACAATTAATTGATAATTAATTATAATTTATTCAATATGTATTTAAAACTTACAATTTAATTAGGCTAAAAATTTGAGTAAGTATTTGGTATACAGATATAAGTATAATACTGTAACATTGTATAACAGAGAATATACTGTACATTATTGTGGCAAATATTTTGCTTTATATAATTTTAATTTAATAAATAATATAGTATTATACATAACTATTTATAATATATTATTAATATATTCTATAAATATATATATATAGTATATACACTTTATAGTAAAACAAGAACAGTATATACTTTATATACCGATAATATATAGATAATACGATATTATATATTATTAAGCGAATAATGTGCTAAATAAACAAGAATATAATTAATGTTAATATTAATTAAACAAAATATTTTATAAATATGAATAATATATATATAATATACATTATTTGTGATTCATATAAATATATATATTTTTGTTTGCTTGTTGTTCACTAAAATTACATTTTAGACATAAAATGCAAGTTATTTCACTGACACATATATAGAGTGATATAGTGTTGTGAGACCTGAGAGCTTCACTTTATCAATGGATCAATAATTTTAATTTTCTAACTCAAACTACAAATGTCTTATATTTGACGGATCTTATTGACTGCAAATATGTTTTAAATTATTAATTGTATCAACAATATAGTATTATTGCTTAATAATTGTTTTAGTATTTTACTTTAAAAATTAACACAAATGCTTATTTACATTCTATTATATTATACAGTATTGTTTAGTTTTATATTATATAATTTATATAGTTTAAAGCAACATGAAAATACAATATATAGGATATATATAGTATATAAATGATAAATAAATAGATAAATAAATAGATAAAGTACATACAGTAGTATGAAAAATATTCAAGAGTTTACATACATTTACAAAGCAAACATATTTGATGTATTAGTTTAAATGATTAGCTCTAAAAAATATTTATAAAAAATGACATTTACTTATTACATATTTATTTGATAAGATTTAAATTATATATATGTATATATCAAAAAATTTTATATTTAATTTTGTTTTAAATGTTATATTAAATATAACTAATAAATTGTTAATTATTTAGATTAAAATTTTAAAGAAATTTACTATAAATTATTTATAATTAAATATAGTATAATTGAGTAATTAAAATAATTGCAACTCTAATATTGTTATTGTAAATATATAAAAATATAGTTGTGTTAAAATAATAATAATATAAAATAAAATAAATTAAATATATATATAATTATAAGTAATCCATAAATAATTTTTAAAAAACTTTCAAAAATATTAATAACTAGTGAAATAAAAATAAGATATTAATGTACAGTATTTAAAAAATTAATATATCATAAATACAGTATATATAATTTATTTAAAATAATTTTAAATAACTATAATGTTTATTTGAATTCTTTATAATTGTAAATATTTTTTAATTTTGAATAAAATAAATAACAACATTTTTAAACAATTTTAAATATCTTTTTAAACAATATTGTTTTAATTGTTCTTTTTTATATTTATTTAATATTTGTTTAATAGAAAATCTTTAATCGAGGGATAACTCTTGTTGAGAGAGAAATATAATATAGAGATTAAAAATAGAAAACAAATTTAGTTTATTTAAAATATATTTGTTAATATTTATTTATAATTAAATAAATATAATAATAATAGTTAAACTATTATAGTTTTAGATAACTAAGATTATGTTTAAATAAATAAATAATATGTAATAATATTTTAATTATTTGCTATTTAATAGCATTTGTGTTTATAGCTGACTAATAATTTATCAATAAATCCTAATTTCATAATGTTTTACTCACCCACTCACCCACTTTATGATTGAAATGGTATAAACTATTTATTACTAAACTCAGGTAAGATTTAAATTTACTATTATTTTTAAAATATTGTACAATCATATGATATCTTATACTTTTCAACCATACTTTCATTACTCACTCAATCTTTTTACGCAAATACGGCTCTATATCACTGAATATAGTGTAATAGTATTTACAAATGTAATATATTTATTGATTACTTAATGGTAACTTTGATTTTTTTTGATAAGTTTTTAAAAATTAAAGACAAAATTATCATTATTTATAATTATTAATACGAAAAATAAATAGTAATTTGTTATTTAATTAAAAAAAGTTTCATTATAGCTTTACTTAATTTGCATTATTATTTAATAAAAAACAATTTTGAATATTTAATTACTGTTTAAATTTTATGCATATTATTTGTAAAGTATTCACAAAATAAATATTTATACTATTTTAGCAATTATATGATGATATTATTAAACTCATTGCATATTATTATTATTAGTACTATATTTAAAATGCGTTCAAAGAATAGTATGTTTAATAAAGTTTATTTTATTATAAATCAGTGAATCATTACACTGTATATACTGTACTATAATATATAAACTGTACTGTATATACTCATTATACAGTTATTATCTCATTTGTTTTAGTATTTATAATAATTAATTTATAGTAGTGTTACATTATTAGAGTTGGCAAAAACAAAAATAAATTTCTAAAAAGTTTTTATAACAAAAATGTTATTATGATATTTGTTATATTATAACAATACATAATATCAATAATTGCAAATAATAACTAAATATTATTAATTGTATTTTAATTAATTTGCAAAATAATAATAAATTTAGTTAGTTAAATTAAACATAAAATATAATTGAATGATAAAAAAGTTATTTTTATAAGACTAATTATAATTAGATAATTGTCTAATTATAATTAGTCTTATAAAAATCATATTAATTTTATAGATATTGATAATATTTGTATAGTAATTTAGTGTACCGTATAATAATATAATATCTATAAATATGGGGATTCCATAGCATAATAATAAACTAAAATTTCTATAGAAATTTATTCCTGAGAAATTTACTAGAAATTTTCTTTAAAAAATTTATTAAAAATTTCTATTTGCCCATCTCTATTTATAATATAGCAGAAACTAAAACACATCTAAAATTTTACATCAATATTAGTTACAAAAAAACACACACACTGTATATATAATATATCAATGAAATGAATTGTTTAATAAATAAATATATATATATACAGTATATATTTATTTATTAAACAATTCATTTCATTGATATATTATATATACAGTGTGTGTTATTACTTATTATATACCTGCATATATTATTGATAAAATTGACACTTTAATATATATTGAAAATTATATTTTAAATATTATAATTTATTTAAATACAAAATTTAGCAAATATGAAAACATATATAAAATTATTTTAAGTTTTGCGTCTTTTTAAGCTAAATTGATTACAAAAGTTGATGCATTTTTTAAGTGTATACTTAAGTTTAAAAACATAACATTACATAATACTCTTCTTATAAAACATAATTAAATATTCAAACATTAGATTAAATTATTTTGTTTCAAATTTAAAATCTTACATTTTTAATATAATAAAATCATTTCAAATTATATAAAATAAAACATTACACTCATTAAAATTATTGAAGTAATGCATTAATATTATTTTTGTGGATGTCTTTATATACGATATTATAATTAAATAAATTTAGTTGTTTCTTAAGTAATTATCAATAAGTAATATTTTTATTATTACTTTTATAAGCTTAAATGATACAAATATATATATATATATATAAAATACGAATATTGGAATTATATAAATTAACAATAGATTCTTCAATTTTATTATTGGTATTAAATTTTTAAAAATTATTTAAATTATTAAAATAAAGTTTTTTTATCATCAAAGTATTGAATTGAAAATGAAAACATTAAAATCAAAAATAAATTAAATTACAAAAAAGGTTTGTAAGTGTGATATGAATGATACAAATATATATTTTTGTATATTCTGAGCACAAGAATATTCTCTATATATTGAGTATTATAATGGAAAGGGATTAAAGTAACCGAAGTAACGGTGCGCATGAGTTTTGCACAATAAGATGTAGTTAAACAACAAAATTCATTGCTATTAGGATTTTTAGATACAAAATACAGAATTTGTGAAATGTCTTTACAGTACTYTTACCGTATATTTTAAATAATAAAAGCATTTCTGAGTCTAGAAAATTAAAAATTAATGTTTTTATTAATGAGTTTATATATATTTTAGTCTAAGATTGTTAGTGATTTATATTTGTTTTATTGTCATTGCTTTTAGTAATAGAAAGTATTGGCCAACATTTTGGACGCCATTCATATTTATTTTTATTATTTACCCCAAAAACATATTAAACTCTCATATCTACTATTGTTTATTTCATCACAAAATAGGTAATTAATTTAGATATAATTTTATACATCATTTATATTTATCTGTGTGTTTGTGTATTATTATTATTATTAATTACTAAATTATTAAAAATTTTAGGCATAATTTAATCTGAAATAATAAAATAATTGATGATAGAAATGGTGATGACAGCAACATGTAGTCACACCATTAACAATGATGTTCAGTCTATCAAATAACTGGTCTATTATTTGCCAACACTTTTGTTTATATCATACTTTACAGTTGGTTATCATTTTCACGTTAGCTATACGTATGTATTTAATTAATATTTTAGTTTAAATTCATAAATAAATTTATACAAAATTATTTATTATTGTTAAATATGATACTATATTTTTCTCATTAATAATATTATAAAACATAATTTAAAAGGTAAAAAACCATAATTTTTATTTGAGATCATTATTTAATCTAAACAATAATAAATCAAATTTAATATCAATTTTAGCTTATCTTAAGAATATTTATTAATTTCTATATTAAATGCTGTATATTAAAATACTTTAAAATTATTTTTTTAAATAATAAATTTTAATTTAAAGTAACAACTATAAATAATATATGGTATTTTTATATAATATTATTAAATTTTAATTATTACATTAATAAACTAAACAAAATTTTATTTTTTATATATAAACAATAACTTATAAAAGATCGTTTCATTTATATGATCCGTTGAATAATTTGAAAACTCGAAAACTATGAGTGATAATTAGATTCTGTAAAAAATACATTAGATTATTCTATAAACGTTTAATTTTATATACCCTATCAACATATTTTGATTACATGAACCATATGATCCAGGACAAACTACAAKTAGCTAATTATTGATGAGRAGGCAAACTTTGTAACCGAGTAATAATAGTTTAATATAAAAAACATCAAAATAGGATTCATACTTTCTTTTTAATTGTTTGTTAAACTTGTGAAAAATCAAATTGGATAAAAGTCGAATATAAAATTAACGTTATTTAAGAAGAGTGGATATTTATTAAATTAAGTATTTATTGCTAAAACTTTTAAATGTCTAAAATTTTTTGAAATACTTGAATTACATTATAAATTATAATCTAATTAATATTATAAATCGATTATCTAAAATTATTTTGGATATATTGAAATGTTGCTTTTAAAATTAGTAATAGAATTAAATACTTTGTGTTATTTATAAATAAAATAAATTTATTTTAGATTATTTTATAAAAATGAAACTACAAATCCGATTTTATATCAAACTACAACTCTTTGGCTAAAATGTTGCTTTTTATAAATAATTTCCATTTTGTAGTTTGTYATATAGGCTATAGCTTAGAGTATATGTAATATCATAATATTTTGTATTACGTKATCAAAATCTGTTGATAAGGTATATAAAATAGTAATACTCGTGCTTTTAAAGAATCTAATTATGTCTTATAGTTTTCGAGTTATTCAATATATATACAATGGAACAGATATATCAAACGCCCCTTTACTTAATAATATTAATTGTATATAAATAATAATATTAGCTAAAATAAAAATAAAGGACTTAAATCAAAGTATGGCATATATATTATATTTAAAATAAAATAAGTTTTTATTTATATAAATAAATAATATAATATAATTATTATAAAAATTACATAAAATTCAAAAATAATATAATAATTATATTTACAAAATTAATAATTAAAATATAAAATATAAAATATAAAATGTTACCTTTGATTAACAACAAGTTTTTAAAATTGCAATCATTTTAATACATGGAAAATATGAATGACTTTTTAGAATAAGACAATAAAATGAAATTTAATTTATAACCAAATATTTAAACTCTTTTACTTTCAGTTATACGCAATCTTTATATATTTTTTATCATAACATAACTTAATCTAATAATAACATTTCATGACAATAAATATAATTAGCTTATAATACAGTATATTTGTAAATAAATTAAAAATTATTATAAAATAATAACTAAAACATTTTTACATAACAAAAAGTAACAATTATAAATAAATATAGTGAAATTATTACAATTTAAATTAAATAAATATTTATCAATAAATGTAAATATKAGTAACAAACTTATTGTTATTTAATTTTATAATGTAATTTATTATTTTATAAAAATTAAGTCAAATATTTTTAAAAAAATATATTTCATAATTTCAAATAACATTTATTTTGTTTTAAAAATTGTTAAATATATCAACAATATAAATATATTACTAATTAATTATTAATATATTAGCAATTTATTTATTTGGCTGTCTTTTGTTGATTATTAATTTTATTACAATGTTTTGTATGTTTTATATATTAATATTATTTCATATAATTGAATTTTCTAACTATAATATTACAATAAAATAGTTATAATCTCAATAAATAACTAAAATTATTACAGTAATTTTGTTTTGCTTTGTAATGTATTAATAGTTATACATTTAGTGATGGCAAAAAAGAGAAATTTTTAAAATAATAGAGAAATTTCTAGAAACTTTCTAAAAGAAATTTCTATCTATGGAATCCCCATGTTAATTTTGTTATCTCGATATTTGCTATCATATAACAATACATTTTTATTATTAATTAAAGTAAAAAATTAATTAATTAAACTATGATATATATAATAAAATGAATAAAATTTTACAAAACTGATTATTATTTTATATATAGGTATCCCATTTRTATAGTACTGTACTATACTGTATGATATTATATGTATAGTATTATATGTTATTAAAATACTGATATTACAATAACTATAGATATGGAGATCCCATAGTAAAGTACAGTATAATATTAAAGTTTATTTTTTATAGAAATTTATTCATAAATTTTCTAGAAACTTTTTTACGGAAATTTATTAGAAACTTTCTATTTGCCCATCTCTATATATACATTACTGAACTTTATGTGCTAACATATTAGTCGCTCATTTTGTTTTTGTTTTATTTGTTATTATTTAAGTTTAAACACTAAAATAATTATTTATAACACTATTAAAATGTCCAAAAATTTATAGATTTTTATGTTTTATGAGTTAATTTTCAGTAAAATAACTATTTAGATAAAATAGATTTAAGTAATTATTTAACAGATTAAGATTTATAAAATAACATTAAATGTAGTAATAAAATAACATATAATTTATATATTTATATTTCAAACTAAATACAAATACTTAAAACCATTACAACACAAGTCCGACAATAATGTTATTTAACAAGAGATTAATGATGAAAGTGATCGTCAATTTAGAGATTGAAAGACATAACTATCATATGAAGTGTTATACAATAGACTACATGTCATTAATAAAGGCATGGATTTTGACATTACTTTAGACACTTAAATGTTAAATCATTTTCAAGTTAAGTGACAGTTAACTAATAAAACAATATTTAAATTAATTTGTTTTATTAAAATTTGACATTAATTAAATTATCAATACTATTATAACTATTTTAACAAAACAATAAATACGTTTATTGTAGTAATTCTTTAAAATTATATTAAATATTCAAATAATATTTTTTGTTTAGTTAAATATCATAATAAAAGTCATATTAATCAAATCTATAAAATACTTTTCACAAAAAATTATTTTACATATTATGACTTTTGTAAACATTATTTAAAAACAGAAAATTATAATAAATATTTTTTAGTTATTACAAAATACATTAAAAAAATATTTTTAAATAAATTAAACTAAAACGCTTTATTAATCCATAAAAGATCTCTAAGTTAGTAATATTTCTCATTTTGCAAAAATAAATTATTATAAATTTATATTTAAATAACATATTTCTTTCATAATTCAGTTTTAAGTTTATAAGTATTAAATTACACGATTATAGAAAATTTATTTTACAAATATTTTATATCTTTAATATAAAATAAAACAATCTATATATAATTTTTTTATAATAATGATTATTTAAAATTTAAAATTAAATATTTTAAACCACATAAACATAAATAAAATGTTATTTTAGTATAAAATTATATATTTTAGTTATAAAAAATAAATTATGTTATATGTTGTATGATAATTTGTAGTTAGCAATTTTAACCACATATAGTCAAACATTTTAAATTAAAATTAGTGACAATATATTCATTAGTTAATGACTGAACAAAATAGTATTATAAATAGTGTTTACAAAAAAATAAAAATTTATAAAATAATAGAAATTTATAAAAAGTTTATATAAAAAAAATTTTTATCAATTCAATCCGTTATTTTTGTTCTCGATATTTGTTATCTTGTAACTAGAGTTCGGATATCTTCTAAGAGAGGGAAGTTCCCTAATAAATTCATTCCAATTTTCATGGAAAATAGGAAAAAATAAAATATTTTCCCTCCTACACCGTTAGATTTAATATTTCTACACTAATACATAATACAAATACGTGATTAAAATATTAAAAAATATATTTGATTTCAATGAATTTAGTGATAACATCTAAAATAACACTCAAATTACAGTTTAATACAAGATTTGTTATTCAAATCTTATCTTATAATATAATTTGTTGTTTAGGGTTCAATATGTGGTAGTACTAGGAAATAGATTCCATAGGAATTCCCGGGGAACAGGAAAATAGATAACTTTTGGAATATATTTACTATATTTTTATGCAGTTCTCTAATATATTCTAAAACTCTGATCATTTGATTTATCGACACATTATATACGGAATTATTATCAATTAAGAAGAAGTCGAGAATAGCAATAACTAGTATAGAGTGGGCTTTAAGTCTCACTAATAGTTATATCATTTATTTAATGCAAAGTTTGAAAAGTAAATGAAAGCCTTTTGTGTAAAATTTGGTCATTATTTCTGTTCCTTTGATCAGTCATTGAGAGTTCCGATACAAAGGCTTTCGATACTAAATACCGATATATATAGAGACCGAAAGGATAATCCAAATATACCGTAACATCTAAATAGTAATCTTATAACAATCCTTCCATAAATTACATCACAGTTCCAAATCATATAAAACTGTCAGTACAAGCAAAACCATAACAATAATGGCTTTATGTCAACTTTTTTGACACTACTCTTAAAATACGTTATCATATTTATTGCTATTAAGYTATTGTGTAAGCAATTAATATGATAATGTAATTTAAGAGTAGTGTAAAAAGAGTAAATAAGTGTATCATAGCGTGGCGGTCATTATTGTTTTGGTTTTGTTTGTAATGAAACAGTTTTATATATCCAGTTTTGGTTATTGATTTGTAAAATTTATTTTACGAACATTTTAACGGTCAACACATCTACGAATTGTTACAAATTAAAGAAAATAATTATTTAATTAATTACATTAAACTATGATATTATACAGTATATAATAAAATGATTATTAAAATTCTACAAAACTTATTATTATTGATTATTATACTGATTATTGACATATACTGTACTTTTTATTAACATATTTATAAGTAAATTGTAAAACAACTAAAAAAATTTAAATGCAGTATTTTATTGTTATTTAAAAAGTAAAGTTATTATAACTTATAAATAATATATTCATTTAACTAGTTTTTATAATATTTATTAAAAAACTTTGAATACATTTACAAATTATTTTATTGTATATAAAAACAAAAATAATTTGATAACTAACTAATAAAATCAATATTTACATCTGAACTTACAATTTAATTATATCTACAGTATGTCTAACAGATCAATACGTCTAACTATGTTTGATATTAAAATTAAGTAATCATTTATTCAAAATATATTTTATTAAAAGCATTAAATAAATAAATACGAATCGTCTGAAAGAAAACAAAAAATATGTTAACAATGAAACACATTAACTATTTTTTCAATGATATCGTAATTTAAACATTTATTTCTATTTATTACTTATGCTAATTATATATATATATATATATATATATTCACAAAAAATAATAATTCTTAAATATTTTATTTTAAAATTTAAGTCCTTATGKCTAATAATACTGTATAATGTTTTAAGATTTTTTTTGTAAATTAGGGTTAAAAACAAAACAAAAATTAACTTAAAAATTATAATTTATTTTTATGAGATATATTATTGAATTATATTTAATAAGTATTATTACAAAATATAGAATAATAATTGGTTCAAAATAATAAATATAACAATCAAATCAAGATTCACATAAATTTATTTAAATATTGTCTATTTAACAAATGAATATATGAATAATTATTTTAATATAAAAAAGTAAATTTATTATTAAGAAATACAGTAATACTGTATATACACACACATTGCTATTTTCATATATTAATAATTGATTTATTTCTATCATCTTTTTGATGGTTTTTGTTGTCAAGATATGAAAATAAGTAAAATATTTGTGATGCTCTCCATCACTTTATTTTGCTTTTTTATCAATAATATTAAACATTATGAATACTTAAAGTTATCAAACATGAGTAGATATTGTCAATAATATTTTATTTACAACCAAAGGTATACAATATAAACATTATATATCTTTAATAAATTTATATACAGTATTAAAATAACTTTGTGTTCACTGCCATATAAATTATATGGTATAATAATTCATTTTTTGTGGATATATTTGATACTCATAAAATACTTTATTACTTACTATCATTGCTAATAATATGCTTTTATAGAATATATTGTATATATATTATGATTTATTTAAACATATTTTATAATAAATGAAATTCTTGAATTGCATTTTCCAAAAAAAATTATATGAAAATGGTGTATAGTTTATACACTGTATACTATAATTTTCTATATGATTTATACTACAATAATAATACAAAATATATAGAATATAATATATTCAATATATATTGAATACATTAGAATATTATAATATTTCAATAAATTTATGTTAATATGAAAATATTTGCAAATTAGTCTCAATTATAAGATTATTGGTTAATAATAATAATAATAAAATACAGTTTAATAGTAATATTATAAAATCACAATCAATAATAATATTAATAGCTTTGCTATTGAAAGTGATGTCTACAATAAAATACAAGTTACTATACGTACAGTTCATACTGTATGTTCAACAGAGCGACAATTGTCTCAATTGGAGTCAGTTATTGATTTGCTTATTGTCCGGTCAATCGTCGCCAACATTTAAGACAAACTAAAATATCAAAAATACTATTTGATGTGTGAGTGTGTGTATGTATGTATGTGTGTGTATGTATGTGTGTGTGTGTGTATGTGTGTGTGTGTATGTGTGTCTGTGTGTGTGTGTGTGTGTGTGTGTGTGTGAACATAAAAGCATAAAACTAAGCTCACGTTTGAGTTGTGTCTTCAATAAGTTGACACAATATTATTAGTGGACTTTTGTACTGTAATATACCAGTTGTATTTAGAGAGTGTTTGTGCCATATATTGTTTGATATAGTGGTCAAAAAGTACAGTAAATTGACTGTTCATTTTACTGGTCATCCTAAACATACCATTACTAGTATTCACTAAATTTTTAATTATTTTGCTTTTTGTGGAAAAATAATAAATATAAAATCAACAATAAATCTAATTTTTCTTTTATAAATAGCAATGTAACTTACATATGATTTTTACTAACATTATATGTTATATCTTATAATGTTTTGGATATATAGCAAAATTATTCGACAATTGTATAAACTTTAAGAATTTTGGTCAAAAATATTTATTTATTCAATTAAATTACTTTGAAACACATTTCTAAATAAATACAGATATATAAACATATATAAACATTGTTTTATAAATGTTAGACAATTTTTATATTTGAAAGCACTGAAAATATTAGTTAAAAAAATTAGGAAATTACTTTCATTATGTTATATTGTGTGAGTATTTATGCTATAAATTAAACGTTTTGATATTTGGGTCAATATTTTGACCGGATATTTGTTTTCATCCTTTTGATGATATATATGAACAATCATTAAACATCTTTATTAGGTTAAAGGCATGTATTATAGGGTCAATCGTTATTAAACATTGTTATCTTTTGACAATAATTCTGTTATAAATTATAGTTATAATTATAACAATTATTTTTTCTGTCATATATAAAAATTAATATATTATATTTATACTACAGCTACAGTACATTATCTAATGTGTAATTAAGTTAATTATAACTGATTTATGTTAATTTCAGCGTTTCCCTTATATTATTGATATTGTTTAGCATATAACTAATTTAAAATTATTATAGCTAATTAATTATTTTATTTGAATTTTTAAGTATAATATTATATTTATTATGGTAAATTATTACAATAACTTTTTAGTCAATAAATCAAATAAAATTAATTGCAAAATATTATATATTATATTATTAATACAGTATATAACTTGAAATTTAAGAAAAAGACTATTAAGTAATAATATAATCTTTCCTAAGCTATCATTTGATATACTGTACACTACTTATTGCATATCTTTGTATAAATGTTTCTTATAATAAATAAGTAAAAATTGTATTTATATTTATTATATTAAGATGATATTTGAGTAAATATTATTTAATTATTATTTTGTCTAAGTTTGTGTTTATTAAATTGTATGCTATCATATAATGTTGACATTGTTTGTAATATTATTGTATTATTGTATAATATTTACAAACACTCAAATTATGTAAGTTTATTATCATATTACTGATGTACAAAAATATCTATACCAACAACTAATATAATAGTTTGAATAAAGCAAAAATTGAAAGCTTTTTCGATCGTTTTATATTTAGATCAAATGTTTTAGTAAGATTGCAATTTCAATATAATTTAATAAAATAAAAATAATGTAAAATATTATTATTACATATTATTACAATAACTATTAATATAGGACTATATAATTTTATTAATTTATAATTATTATTTTAAAATATTTAATATATAAAGATATAAAGATTTATTAAACTCAATATTAAATTACAGAATCATTTGGAGGATATCATGAAAAACGATTAATCAATGATTTGCTCAAATATTACGACCCTTTGGAGAGACCGGTTGCTAATGAATCGGAAGCCTTGAAAGTACGGTTCGGTCTATCGTTACAACAGATTATTGATGTCGTGAGTCATTTACATAACAGTTATTATTTATTTTTATAATATTCAAAATTCTCTAACAAAATATTATTTTCTTATTATATATAACTTGACTTTTTAAGTCATTTTAAAAAATATTCAACTATTTAAATAAAAATAATGTCACAATAACTAAGATTATTGAATAGTAATATAAAATCTTTAATTAATAAATTTTGAATTAATATTACAATATAAGACTTTTCTTTTACATTAAAAAAGTTTATTTATTTTTAAGTCAATATAAAGATAAATATATTTAATTAATTCACTAATTTATATTCAGAATATTTTATTTGTTTTGTCATATTTATACAAAATAGAAAAGTGGTTCACTATTATACCAAACAAAGTAGTGATCAATCAAACATTTTTTACACTCAAATATTTTAGACTTCACTTTATGATTAAACTTTCAAAGAATTATATTTTGTGGTATATTTTAAGTCAAATCTAAAGCATGAATAAAAGCTGTACATTATTGATAGGAAATACAATAATATATGCATTTTTATATATCAAAATCAATTATAATTTATGCCTTTTAAATACAAAAAATCAAATGTCATTTTATTATATATTAACTGTATTTATTTACTGTACGCTTGATTTAAACTTAATTAACATTAATTAAAAAGTATTATTATATTATTATTATTTATTATATTATAGTATTATTATTTAATTAKTATTTAATTAGTATTTTTTAATTTTTATAAATTAATAACAATTATTTAACAACGATACTTAATATAATTAATGTATAATTTTTATTTGTTTGATAATAACTATATATAATATTTGAAGTTTTTTGTTATAATAAGTATTTATCATATAATGTTTTTTCAAAAAAACTGCTGACACATTTTTTATTCTTAAAACAAATGAATTTTAACAAAAGTTTATAATATATTTTTAAATTTTGTTATTTATTTATGAGAATTGTTTGAATTTTAGCATTAAGTGATTGATTCTTAGATTTAAAATATTATAGTTTAAATAAAAAAATACATTTGAATAAAATGAAAACATTCGTAAAATCTTAGTTTATATAAAAATATAAATAAAAATAACAAATAAGAGAAAATGCAAATTCATTGAACTACTAGACATCAGCACTATATTAAAACTTATATTATAGGTTATGTTTGTTGTATATACCGTATCTATACTTTAGTATAAGAAAAAAAGATGCACACGTTTGAAATGTTATAAATTAAAAGTGAATTGTATTGAAACATATGATTGATTGATAAAATGTTGTTTTAGAGACCTCACGTTCACTCAATTTATATATATATATTTGATCCCAATATACAGTATATACACATCKATTTATATGATCTCATATTATATGATGACATTATAGCTGAACTTGACTTAAATGTAATGTATAAGTGATTTACTTTTTTTTGCCAAAATACCACAATATCCTTTTAAAAACATCATAAAGCAATATCTATAAAAAATAAAATGCTGTATGATGTTTACTTTAACTTTAAACTAATCATAACATTGCTATTTAGAAATATTGCATTTTTACATTATAAAAAAGTAGCTGTCAAAATTTTTAAAAAAAATATTATGACTAATAAAATTGATAGATATAAAGATTTTTAAGCAATTTACACTTTTAATAATTATATAAAATATATTGCCTAATTACTTATTATTGTGAAATAATTATTTTTTATTTTAAATACATATTATATTACTACTATAATTTATTTAATTTTTTAAAATTATATTAAAATAATTTATATAATTTTTGATAAAAATAATATTAATTTATAAAAATAATTGTAAATAGGGTCACAATTATAATTTATTAAAAAATATATGTTGCATAATAATGATCAGTATAAATTGTTTAAAAACTTAGATAAATATCATTTTCATGAATTATATTTTTTATGTTTAGACATTTACTTTAAAAATAAATACAGTTTACAGAGTGTATATTATATATATATTATTTGCTTTAAAATATTTTTAATATAATTTTAGAAGCAGATAATTAAATTATTTTTATTATAGGATGAAAAAAATCAAATACTTATAACAAATATGTGGCTCAGACTTGTAAGTATATATTTAAAATTCAAAATAACGTTAATTATTAAAATTAATCAAAACTATTAATAATTTCACAAATAAATTAATATTGTAAATATACTGTATTTTTATCAAATAAAATGATATAAAAAATAGATTATAATATGAGATAAAAGAGTAAAATAAATATGTGGTTGTATTTGTAAATATTAGTAAAATTGTTTCTACTGTAATATGTCAATCAATATTATTTAAAATTGTATATTAAAATTATAAAGAGATACAGAATTTAATATTTAGATAATTAATTATTTTAATAAATTATGACAAATGTTTAATGAAAATTTTGTCATTTTGTCTAATAATTATATATAATTTTAATTTTAATAGTTTTTTGAAGTGTAAATACGAGTTAGGCTATAATTTTACTAATATTAATATTTCTAATTTTTAGTTTTCATAAAATAATTGTTGCTTATATTATACATATATACAGTATATTGTATATTGTATACTATATAAAGTTTAACAATAAATTATAGAATTGATAAATATGTCGTGTTTAAAAAACATACAGTAATTTTCTTTAATAATTCATTAAATTTTTAAATATTGTGTCAATTAAATGCCTATCATATGGAAAGTGCATTATTTTTAAAAGAAAGATTAAAATGATTTATTACACACACTTGTAGTTTTAAAAAACAATTTATCCACAAATAATTAATTCATTGAACATGAGTTGGAGTCTTATTTGAGGTTTTTTACTATAATTTATATTTTGTTGACAACACATCAAGTATAACATCTTTTTTTATTGAAATTAATTTGCTAATTAAAATAAGGATATAATACTATCTATCGAGTCAAATATTTAACGTAAAATATTTTTTTTTTTGCTTTACAAATTGAAATTTTACCTATACTTAACAGCTGTGAATGAGTTTTATTAAATATTAAAATTATTGCAAACAATAATAATATTTTAAGACTATTATAATTTCATCCGCAGTCACTTGAGTTTTCAAAAAGTAAAATCTTTGCACTTATTTCTAGCATTGAGTGTTCAAATGGTGTTAGTATTGATTTTTTAAAAATTTTAATGTCATATTTAGTTTTTAGACATACAATTGAGTACATTTATCAATGATATATTTATTTGATGACTTGAAATTGAACTTCAAATACGAAAAATTATTATATAATAATAATAAAGATATTTGCATTTTTATCTTAATCTACTATTCATATCAAACAATATATGCTATAACTTATAGCATATACGACAACTGTCAATGAATGTGATCTTCCTTTTTAAAATAATTATAAATCTAAATTATTAATATAAATTTTTAATAAAAAAGTAATTATTGAAAAATTATAGAAAACGATAAATATTTAGTAAATTATTACAAAGTCTTAGGAGTGGTTCACATATTACGTTCGCACTTGAGGGGAGGGGGGTTAGCCAAAGCGAACTTTTGCGAACAAGGGGGAGGGGAGGGGTAGAGACATTAAGAACGTTCGCATTTAGATAATATCATCTCTTGTGATTGGGGGGGGGGGGGTAGCGGTTAGGGACAAGCGAACGTAATTTTTTTAAATGACTACATGCGAACAATTGCGAACATAGGGGAGGGAGGGGTCTAGATTTCTTAAAAAGTGCGAACGTAATATGTGAACAACGCCTTACTTTGAGTAGAAATCTATTATTTTATATAATCTCAAGAGATTTTAGCTCATGTTTCTGAAATGTTATATCAATAATAATAGTTTCAATTTTTAAAACAAATATTTTAAATTTAAAAAATTTAAACATAAGATTAAGTGATTTTAAATTTCACAGACAATGACTTTAATAAAAAATTGGACTTAAGTTAGCAATTGATGGATAATATCTATATAAATGAAAGACCAATCACTCTTCAAACAAGTTGTCAAATCGGAAATCGAAAGCAATAACAATATTGAATACATTGAATACATTGAATACATTGAATATATCGAATACATTGAATATTTCTATTGTTTTGTGACATAACATAAAATCGATTTATAGATTCATAGCATAAGATGCTATTTGTGTGTTATTTCTATTACAAATAAAACAATTTATTTTCATAAATTATCACTTTTAATCAATATCATTAACAATGTTACAAAGTTAGAGTGAGTGAGTGAGTGAGTGAGTGAGTGAGTGAGTGAGTGAGTGAGTGAGTGAGTGAGTGAGTGAGTGAGTGAGAGAGAGAGAGAGAGAGAGAGAGAGAGAGAGACTTGACTAATATTTACTATTTGACATTATTGTATTAAACATTAATCTAAATTATTTATAGACTAATTGAAAACAAAATATTTATATTATTAAATAATAAAACATACGCTTAGTTTATATATAATATTGTCGTTTTAATTCAAATTTTTATGATATCAGTTGTTGATCATAAAATTCGTAGTCATATAATATAATAAATACTAAAATTTGTCATTCAATATAAATTGTGTATATTGTCAATCCTATTACACAACAGTTGAATAATAACTTAGGTTTTATTAAAACTTTATTTTTATTTAATATATGTCTCAAAGTTTTAAGTAAAAATATATGTAATAATAAAAAGAAATCAAATTCTTGACATACAATATGTACAATAAATTCAAAACAAATGATGAGTTTTATTAAATACGAAAACCAAAGAGTCGTTCAAAAGCATAGAAATAACTCTAAAACCTAATGTTTACTCAAATATTTTAAAATAAGTTTTTATGGTATTAATAGAAAATGCCTTTAAAGCATGAATTTAATTTTGTTTTCTATATCGTATACAAATAATTTTTATATTTTTTATAGTAAAGTATTATTTCTTTTAAAATTACTTTAAAAAATTAAAGCAAAATGCAAAGTATATTATAGAAAAATAATATAAATCTTATAAACATAATGTAATAAAAATCAACAAAAAAATAAAAACTTCTAGTTTTTAGGTTTTAATACACTACACACAAATTTATATTAATAATACAACATAATAATAATGATAATAATACAAAAATTACAAACAAATCAATGATTTTTGTTGTTGTTAATATAATATATGATTTACATATAATTTAATGTATATAAATATATAATAAATATATAATAAATATATAATAAATATATAATGTATAAAAATAAAGATTATTTATGATAATTATAGGAATGGACTGATTCTAACTTACAGTGGAATGTCTCAGAATATGGTGGAGTCAAAGATTTAAGACTTCCCACTAAAAGGATATGGATTCCCGATATCTTAATGTATAACAGGTCTCACAATTTAGTTATTATTTGTACATTGATTTTAGCAAATGTTGTTTTTTAATTTTTTAAATATTATTTAAATGAATATAAATTACTAGTTATATTTCTCTATGAATAAAATTGTTAATTAAAACTAAAAAATTTATTATGCATCAAATTTGTAAAAAGCTTTTAAAAATTTCAATTTTAATATTAATAAACATTATTTAATATATTACACAGTTTTTACAACTTATGTATTAATATATATACTGTATATTAATTAAATATATATTTATCTAATACCCTTAACTAATAAATACTAAATTATATATAAAATTATAAATACTGTATTATATTATAGTTAGATGAAATGTTAAATAAAATTTACAAAATATTTATAAATTAAAATAATATTCAATATATAGTTTAAAATACAAAATTTAGGAGAAAATTTTATAAAAATAATATATTTAATATTATAATCTTAGAAAAACATATTTCAAAATAAAATCATTTATTTAATGTTACACTCATTTGTAACTAATGGACAAAACCTGAAGCAGACCTCATTTCCTGATAAACCTTAAGTTTGACTAATATTTTATGTTATTTATAATATTAAGTAAATGCTATTTGAATATCAAAGTTGCGTATTAATGCTTACAACACACAGATCTGTATTGAAATTCAATATTAAGTTATTTTTGAAAAATTATAGATATTTATAATTAATAACAAGTAATAATATTTTATTAACTTTTTTACATTAAATTATATTAAATGATTATTAGCGCCGATGAAAAGTTTGACAGCACTTTTAGGACAAATGTTGTGGTTAACAATAACGGCACGTGCCTGTACGTGCCACCCGGGGTCTTCAAGAGCACGTGTCAAATAGATATTACATGGTTTCCATTTGATACCCAAAAATGTGTTATGAAGTTTGGCAGCTGGACGTACGTATATACAGTTTTATTTAATAACCATACATTTCAGCATTTATTCTATCATTTAATAAACATTTATTTAACAAAATATAATATTTGGTATAATATAATATATTTTAGATTTAAAAAATATACATAACCTTTACACAGTACTAACAGTAAATTGGATTGCTTTAAGAGGCACATTGTATGCCTCAATGAACTTACTGTACATTTTAAAATCTTACATTTGATCACACTTTAGTTATCAAATAAAATACAATTTTAAATAAAAAAAATACATTTTACACCAAAATCGAGATATATTTTTATATAAAACATTAGAGTAAATTAAATCATTGAGTTTTGTGTAGTTGGCACTCATTTTTAATAAATTTATGTGATTTAATCACTTACTTGTTGGCCAAACTTAGTTAACCGCAATAACTAGCGATATATTGGACACGTGTTTCGGAAAGAGATACTACTTTCCTTCATCAGCACTGGCGGTCAACTGAGATATATCTCAGAGCCGTGTGTTTACCATTAGTGAGGTTAGGGTGCGAGGGGTTCGAGATATGCAGTTATTGTGTATTTATTTAAGTAATTCAATATAATGTGAATGTTTATAGATTTGTGAAATTTTTAAATATAATTTTAATGAGAAAATTATTATTGTATATACAATGCCAACAGACAATAATATCGACAATAATATCCCCTAGTTTAAGAAATAGTATATATTCACTTAAAAATTCAAAACAATTTGTTGATGATATTAAAAATTACAATATTACTAATTCAGAGATAATGATATCACTTGATATTATTAATTTATTTACTAATGTTCCACTTAATTATACATTAAATTTATTAAAAATTAAACTAATTAAAGACAATACATTGAAAACTAGAACATCACTATCATTAAATATAATATTAGATTTAATTAATTTTTGTATGTATAATAATTATTTTTCATTTAATGGTAAATTTTATTTACAAATAGCTGGTTCCCCAATGGGTTGCAATCTGAGCCCAATAATAGCTGAAACTTTAGTTTCTCATATTTTTGAAATATCATTAAATAATATACAATTTAAACCTAATTATATTAGATTTTATGTAGACGATAGTTTTTTAATAATTAACAAACGATATTATGTAAAATATTTTAATCATATTAATACTATTATTAAAAACATAGGAAATCTAAAATTTACAATAGAAATTGAGAATAATAATATATTAAATTTTTTAGATATTTTGTTAACTAGAGATAATAATAAATTAATTACATCTATATATCGCAAACCAACACATTCAAACAGATATTTAAATTATAACTCTCATCACCCAACACAACATAAAGCCACAGCAATGAAAACATTAGTAAATAGATGCTTATCACAAATTAATGATAAATATAATTTAAATAATGAATTAAATTTATTAAATAAAATATTTACAGAAAATAATTATCCTAAAAAATTTATAACAAATACTATTAATTCATGTAAAAACAAATATCACAAACAAAACAAAATAAATATTAATAAATTTGATATTACAAAAACAATTTGTATACCATATTATAAACACTTAAGTGAACAAATCAAACAGGAATTGTATAAACATGAAATAAATGTTATTTATAAAAAAGGAAAAAATATTAAAAATATTTTAAATAGTAATCCCAAACCCACTTTTTTAAAATCAAATATTGTTTATGAAATTAAATGCAATGAATGTGATTTTGTATATATTGGTACTTCTAATAGAAATTTAAAAAATAGAGTAAATGAGCATAAAAATGCTATAAAAAATAGTTATATAAATAAAAGTAACATTGCTTTTCATGCAATAAAATACAAACATAATATTAATTTTGATGATATTAAGATATCATATATTGAAAATAATTATAATGCTAGACTATTTTTAGAAAGTTGGAGAATTGAAACTTTAAAATCTAAAAAACAAAACCTAATGAATGATAAACAAAACTCCAAAACATGTATACCTAATTCATATTTATCTTTAATTAAATAATATTTATATTCATTGAATAATTATGTAATGCCTTTCAGATAACAGCCCTATATTGGGCTGTTTCTGTTGGCATTGTATATACAATAATAATTTTCTCATTAAAATTATATTTAAAAATTTCACAAATCTATAAACATTCACATTATATTGAATTACTTAAATAAATACACAATAACTGCATATCTCGAACCCCTCGCACCCTAACCTCACTAATGGTAAACACACGGCTCTGAGATATATCTCAGTTGACCGCCAGTGCTGATGAAGGAAAGTAGTATCTCTTTCCGAAACACGTGTCCAATATATCGCTAGTTATTGCGGTTAACTAAGTTTGGCCAACAAGTAAGTGATTAAATCACATAAATTTATTAGAGTAAATGTTTTTTTTTGTTTTATTTTTGTATAATATTTGCAGTTACGATGGTTTCTCACTTGATCTCGACTTGAAAGCTGGCTCTGAGTCCGGAGATTTGACACTTTTCCTGCCTAACGGCGAGTGGGTGTTAGTTGGTATGACACGTCTCATAAGATTGAATTGCATTTATATCTAAAATATTAATTAAATATATGTGTTGTTGTGTTTCAGGTGCTCCGGCAAAGCGTACGCTTCAGTATTATGAGTGTTGTCCGGAGCCATATCTGGACATCACATTTACTATTCATATTAAGCGACGAACTCTTTACTATGGATTCAATTTAATAATCCCTTGTATTATATTATCGTCAATGACTTTATTAGGATTTTCATTACCACCCGATTCTGGAGAGAAACTACAACTCGGAGTCACTATATTGCTATCTATGACTGTATAATATAATCTTATTTTATTTATTTTATTATACATTTTTTCATAAAATTATTTATTATTACATACAAAAATATTCTAATTAAAATAAATACGATATTATTAATATAGCATTATTTATATTAATATATAGGTATTTCTCGTTCAATTAGGAAAGATACTTCCAGGTTTGTATATTTAATGATATTATAATTTATTATTATATTAAAATATAATACATAGGAAAAATTTTTTTAAATTAAATAAAGTAAATTAACTTTATGTTATAATATGATGTATAATAAATATCAATTAAAAAAACTAATATAAATGTTGCAGTATATTTGCAATTTTACTTTTATTATTGATATAAAAGATAAAACAATGTTAAAAAATATTTTTATGTTATATAGTATACAAATAATAAATGGATTCTTGGGTTAGAATTTTAGATTTTTTATTAATATTACGTTTTTTGCTACTAATCTTAAGTGTAATTATATATATACAGTATATATATATATATATTGTATATACCAAACCATTATTATAGTTATTAATAGTAAACTCGTGGGAAAACAAGTCATAAATTTATATCTCGAAAAGCAAATAAATCTTAATTCACAACACATTAGTGAAGATCTGAAAGGTGTAAATCAGTCAAACTTTTAGTTTAATTGATCTAAAATTGGCACACAAWTTATCTATTCATACATTTTATTTTATAATAATAATAATAATATAAATTTTAATTAACATTTGATATTTAATAATTAATTTTATTTCTAAATGAAGCCACATCTGAATCCATATCAATAATTGGTAATTTATTTTAGATTTCTATTATACTTTAGAGTAATGATTATTAATGATATAATTGTAATATTTGAATGTATAAACAAAAAGCTGCATATTTTGCCTCAATAATGGTAATGGTGGCATTTTCGGTGGTCATGACTGTTGTTGTCCTTAATTTTCATCACCGCAATCATGAGACACACGAAATGCATTATATGGTCAGTCATATTATCATTTACGACAAAATGTATGATTAATTTCATTTTAAATGTTAAAACAGATGAGAGCAATAATGTTAAAGTGGTTGCCGTGGATATTACGGATGGAAAGACATGGCATTAAACCTCCGCGACGTATAGGTGGTAGTGGTTCGGGCTCTTCAAACAAAGCTATCAATAGTCAACCAATTCATGCAAAAGGCAATAAAGACAAGAGTTTAGAAATGTACGCCAAAAGTGGTCCAACATTTGAAACAATTTGGAGTTTAGACTCTGAAAGTAAAGACATTGAAGCAGCCATTAGTCAAATGAATAAGAAATGCCACACAAATGCCTTATCTCACGGAACAAGCAATCATTGTAACCATATTAGGGATCAACACATTGACCAACTTTACTACAATCACTTTACAGATAACGATATGCTTTCAGTCAACTATTTAACTGAATCACCGAACACTCACACCAATGGCCAAAACGGACGGCCACTAAGCGCTCAACAAAAGAAAGTTAAAGAGATTTTGTTGGAAATGAAATTTATAACAAATCGTATGCGAAAACAGGATGACATTCACGACATGATCTCTGAGTGGAAATTTGCGGCAACTGTTTTGGATAGACTTTGTCTAATTGTTTTCACTCTTTTTACATTACTGTCCACTTTTCTCTGTCTGCTCTCTGCCCCACAACTTATAGTCTAATATATAAAATAGTTTAGTAAACAGTAGTGCAAAACAATTAACGGTAATTAGTTCAACAAATAACAAATAAATTTCCACTTTTGACTAATTGAGAAATGAAAATAACTTTAGTATAACTTTAGTAGATATTTATTATTGACAATTTTGCTGACTTAACAAAAAAATATTAAATAGTCGTCAATTTAATTAAATAATGTTTAATTGATTATTAGACTCGACGTTTCTCTGTTAAAACTTTGGATTAATTATTGCAAAAAAAACTGTAATTTAATATAATATATTATAATATATTGATACTATTGATAAATTATAAGTGTTGTAAATTTTTATATGTGTATTGTAATGTTTAAAATATAACTGTCTATTATATAATAAAAAATATTTACTGTAAAAATGTCTTTATATAAATTATCTTAGATATGGGTTATTCAATTGATTATTGTTTGGTTAGACACAAGTTTTTCAAACTTTGTTTACAAACTATCTCTGATGACAAGCAATCAAATCAATACTCAAACATTTTGTTCAAATATTATTTATTTATTTTAATGAATAAGAAATTTTGAAGATTTCTATTGTCAACTAATTGTAAAACCTATAAAACATTAGTTATCAAGTTATTTAACATTTAATTTGTAATCTAATTTTAGATATTATTATATTATTACTTTATTTATTTAAATAAAACTCAAATAATTATATTTTTATTTACAGAATATACTGTACATACACTATAATATAGTGACTATATATTATAGTTTAATATTATGTTTTATGAGCATTGAAATGTAAAATGTTTTGGTTTATCAATGAAAAGGATATTATAGTATATTGTTTTTAATCTAATTTAAATCTAAAAACAAAACAATTGTTTAGAAACAACTGCGTTCACTCATACAGCATATCATATATATATATATATATATATACTGTATATGCTGTATATGCTGTATATATATATATAATAACAATCATTTTGTTTGTTTAATCTTTCAATCAATAAAACTTAGAAAAATATATTCATTTTTGTTATGAAAAATATTAATTTTTATTATATATTATATATATATACAAAACTGTTTTTTAAGTTATACCAATCTATTTTTTTTAAATGCCAGTTTGTTTATTATTTAAAATTAAATTTTTGTTTATTGCTAAGTTTTGAAAACATAATTGTATTTTTATATATATTTCTAAAATTTATATTTTACAGAAAAGACTAGCAATATATAAATAATATAATTAATAATAATGTGATGAATCATATTTTATTGTGATTAAACAAATTCTAATATAAAATTACAAAAAATTATATTATGTCTATTTTATACTTTACAATGTTTAATTTTTTATACAGTATATAGAAAAGCTGTCTATAAAATTTATGATTTTATTATTAAGAAAATTGAAAATTTAATATTATAGTTAATATAATTATATACAGTATTAACAAAATAATTTTAATTATATTTATAATATCATTTTTTAATCTCATTAAAAATTAATATTTTTGTATTATTAGATTACTTTTTTACTCTTAAAGTTTTTTCAGTTTTTAATAATTCTTAAATAAATTGGTTTTTATATTGAAATACATATCATACAAAAAATATATATAATTTACAGTATTTTAGATTTTATTCTAATTTAAATTATAATATAAAAACTATTGTTGAGACAAATAGTTGAGTTGACAAGTAAACAGTATATACAGTACAGTATTATATGATATGATATAAAACAATGATTTTGTTTGTTTAATCTTTAGGCAAATCATTTCTAATTTGTGGCATTCAATGAAACCAACGTTTAGAATAAACATTTTGTATATTCATTTATAATGATTTAAGACAAAATAAACACATTTTATCTCATATTTTATTATATGTAAAATAATAATAACACCAATTACTCCATTAATACTGTATTATGAATCACTTCTAAATTTTTCATATTTAAAGAATTTTATGTATAAATTATATTTGAAAATATAATTTGATTTTTTGAGTAATTTTAAAGTAAATAACATTTTTTACATAAATATATTTTGTTTATTGAGTTTAGATTAATGTAATTTGCAAACAATTTTCGTAAAATTGTAATTATTATTAAATATTTATTTTTGAATATTGAAAAACATTCAAAACAATGTAAGACTATATATTAATAAAGATATAATATTTAATAATTATTAGTAATAATTATTAGAATAAAGATACAATTATTAATCTTAACTATTTTTTATTTAATTTAAACTATAATAATTTATATCCTTAAAAATTTATTATATCCGTTATTTCTATTATACAACATTTGTATAAAAATTAATAATTAAATGTTTTTACAATGAATTAAAAATAGTTACATTTAATTTAAATAACGTGATTATATACGAAATAAACATAATTTAATTGGCATAAAGAGGAATTTCAAGTTTAAATATTGTTATTTATATAATAATAATTGAATTTTATTTGATAAACATAAGTTATTGTAAACTAGTTTTAAATTACATTAAATAACATAAATGTTTTAAAACATTAATTTTGAATTTAAAATAGATTTTCCATTTTTATACATATAAAACTAAAAATTAATAATTATTTAAAATATATTATAAAAATGTGATAATCAATGACAGACTAAATGACTATATATTGAAGAGTCAATTGAGGTCATATTTTAATCAATATATGATTACAAAAATTTTTTGTATAACAATAAAAACTTTATTTTTTGGCAAAAACTTTTACTAATTTAGTAATTTTTTATTTTAGTTGTGTAACTATGAAAACGTCCTCATTTTCACAGAAAAAATATCAACAAAATTGTGTTTTCATTTATCATTTTTAATGAATAGCAAATATATTTACAGTTATAATGAGTTACGGCATTTGGTTTTATATAATTTCAAGAATTTCTTGTTATTATATCACAAACATATGTGTGACTGAATCAGACATATTTAGTTCAGACCTAACAAACATATAAAAAGCCTTTTTTCTTATAATTTTATTTTCAAACTTAAGACTTATGTGTAAATCTAAGTAAAGATTAATAAATGTATGAAAAGATTAAACTTTATTTAATTCAATTGTTATGTATATTGAAATTTTTAAATATTAATATTAAAATAATAATAATAAACTATCAATTTCATATTACATTAATTTGAAAATTTAATTAAAAATTGTGTCTAATCTGTGATTTTTTGATGAATGACAACAAATTATTGGTTGTTGAAAGTAAAAACTTAAATTAATAAGTAAATTATAATTTACTATATATTAAATTACTTAATGGTGTAATTTTTTATAATTACTATTAACAAAGTGGTGATTATTATTTTAATGAATACTGTTATCTGAGAACATTATAATTATTATTATTATTAAAGTGAAACAAAATACCAAAAAATCTGTAAAATTTTAATTAATTTGTTTGATTGGCATCTGATCTCCCATTTAATAATACGTTATGAAATTTGCATTTTTGTTGTCAATATTTGTCATACAATACTTGGTGTACAACCAATTCAATTATGTGGAGAGTCGGCCATCAATTCACGTGACAACCCGTGTGTGTGATTCCCGACAGTTCCTCACACTATACCAAAGGACGTGTACTTATTATGGAAAGAGAAATAGAAATTCAAATATAATTTTTCATTACGGATCCTATAGAGTCCAACGTATGTATATTACTGTATCTTATAATACATAATAATGTTTTTAATTTATTTTATGATTTACAGGCGATATATCAAACCAATTGGACTCCGATCCGGCGCCAGAATTGGCCAGAAAATGCTGTGAAGAGGGATGTAGTGTTGAACTCATTGGATTGCATTGTAATCGAGAGTTTAAAAGAAAATAAAACTTCAATTTAGCAATTAATCTTAACTTTGGTTTTATGCATCAAACAAAAAACAAGTTTATTAAAATTTATTTTAATAATTATAATTATAATAAATAAAGATAACTATTTATATTTTTGATTTCAATAATTATATTTACTTGTATATAATAATTTATATGTAAAATGTATTAAAGTTTACATTAACAATCTTCAATTGTATATATTTTATTAATGTACAGTATATATATATATATATAACATAATTTATTTAAATAATTTATTATATAGTTATATCACAGTAAAACTTTAAGCAAAATAAAATCAAAATTTATTTTTATATTTAAAATGTTTAAAATATGTTTATAAAATGTTCTAATCATATACATAATCAGCTAAAATCATAAATTTAAAATGAATCTTAATATTAATTAAACTACTGTATTTTTAAATATATATAATGAAAATATTTATTTTTTATATTTAAAGTGCTTATTTAAAATTATTTATAAATAATAAATATTGTATGTTGTACTGTATATAATTCGTTTTAAATATTATATTATAGTGTATAATATATACTTAATAAAAACTATTATAGAGGTTAATGCCATTGAAATGTATATAATCGCTCAATAAAAATAATATTTTTTTAAATATTGCATTTCATTAATTTTTTTAATAATATACAATAACTTATTTAAGACTAAATGACATAAAGATATACTATATATATATATATTATTTGAGGTATATATATATAAGGGCTAATTAGTAATAAAACATGTTGTGTTAGAGCGCACAATAGGTTAAAATATAATCTATACATTGTTTTTATATTTTATGATTAATTCAATGCTAAGTACTATAAAACAGATATGCAGTAGAATTTGGTTTTATTCATTTACTTATATTGTTTAAGTGATAGAATACTGTATAATTAGAGATGGGCAAATAGAAAATTTCTAATAAATTTCCGTGAGAAAGTTTCTAGAAAATTTCTCATGAATAAATTTCTATAGAAATTTAACTTTATTGTTATACTATGGGATCCCCATATCTATAGTTATTGGAAATACTATAAATATATTAATGAGACATAATATTGTACATATAATATACAAATGGGATACCTATATAAATAAGTATAATTATCCAATAATAATCAGTTTTGTAAAATTTTATTCACATTTTATTATATTATAGTTAAATATAATTAAATTAATTAATTTTTACCTTAATTAATAATTAAAATACTAGTAATAATATTTAATTATTACTTGTAATAACAATGTTACAAGGTAAAAAAAATTGAAATAACAAAATTAAAATGGGGATCCCATAGATAGAAATTTCTTTTAAAAACTTTCTAGAAATTTCTCTATTATTTTATAAATTTCTCTTTTTTGCCAACACTATGTATAATATACAGTATATATATAGTGTGTATATATATATAGTGTGTATATATATAGTGTGTATATATATAGTGTATATATTCTATAAATTTATTATAATCTCTGGAGAATAGATTTTGTTTAATACTAGTTATCAAAATTTAAGTCTTTTTTTGTTTTCAAATTAAATATAAATTCTTTATTTTAAATAAAATAGTTAACAGAATTTGATTTCCACAAAATTAATTTAAAAATTATTTGAATTTAAACTAATTATAACACTGTATATACAGTTTTATTGTTATTTTAATTGCAAAAAACTTTGTTAAGTATAACAATTATAAATTTATATAAAGTGTGCTTAATTTGTATAATGTGCACATTAAGCATATAACTTATGTGGCGATATTATCAGCTAAATGGACATAATTTTTGATATCGTAAACCATTAAACTGTTTTTACAGTTGTTTCAAAGATATCATCAATTTATAAATTATTATTATTACACTGATTTGTGCGAAAATTACTATTTTAACATAAAAACACGAATCATATACGTGTTTATAATAAATAATAAGTTGTTTAACCGTATATTACAGTAAAAACAATGTATATTCCGTATAGTTGTGTGACATTGATTATATTAATAGTGATGGTGTGTGAGTCCGATATGACAATAACAGTGTGTGATAGCCGTGAGTTGCAGTCAGTCATACACAAGGCCTGTACAGTCATTAAGCGTAACAAATATGGCTTTTATCCTAAAAAAGTCGATCACAAAGTTTTCCACAGAATTATAAGTGAGTCAATCAAATAATTTACAAAATAAATAAATATATATTATATATACTGTATATTTATATTCTGTATATAAGAATATATAAATTCTGTATAAATATTCTTTAAAACCGGTATTCTGTATATTCTCTTGACTTTAACTCAATTTATTTGTCAGTAAATAAATCTCTTTCTTATAAAATAAAAACTCAAAATATTCTTTTGATATAAACAGAGACCAGTATTATATTGATTTAAAATTCTGGTAATAATCTAATGGTTTTAAAATTAAATCTTATTTATTGATAGATTTTGTTTAGCTATATGTCTGACAATGCTTTTACATTTGTTATATAAATTAGTCGATACTCAACATAAAAAAGTTTATATATTGACTTAAACTTACAAATCGATAATCAAAATGATTAGATAAATATTTATTGGCCACTATGTTATTATGTGATTCTAGTAAATATTGATTATTTATATTGATTGTGATTCATTATTAACATAAATATTTATATTTTTATACAGATCATTGATAATATCAATTACTTACTACACTATTTTTATAATTAAAATTTTTAATAAATATTTATTATTTTAGGGTCTCTGGAGATACACGACTTAGCGCTGTTATGTTGTCGTATGGGATGTAATGCTCGTATTTATGCTATACTATGCAATCATATATAAAATATAATAATTTATTTATTACATTTATAAATATTTATTTTTTAAATATACATCTAAATAATTCTAATATTTTTTTTAATTTTATCAATACATTTTATAATCAAGTAAATTATTTATAATTAATAAAAATAACTTTATTCATATATAAACATATATAATAAATGCATTATATTTATTTATATAATTTTATTTTTTCTTATAATTTTAAATAATATAATATTGTAGTTATATTTATTTTAATAAATAAATGTTATATTTAATAAAATGATAAATTGTTATTCAAATTAAAAACATAATGCAATAGATGTCAGTGTTATGTATATAATGTTTATAACATTTATGTATTGTTTACTAAATATGGTTATAATGTAATTGAATACCAAATACAGTGATTGAGACCTAAATACAAGTCTGTTTCAAATGATAATTGTCTTCAATTGGCAGCTATTTTATCATTTTATTTAAATTGATTTGATTTTCATCCACTTTTAAACTTAACCATTGACTTAATTGATCGTAAGTTATATTTTTCATTAATTAATTATAACTTTGTCTAAACTGTTATTACTTTGATAATCAATATCAAAGAAGTCAATGTAAACAATGGTTAACACATATGACTAATAAATAGACATTTTTGATGATAATTAAGATAAAAGTTTGTTTTTTATTAATAAACTAAAAACTAATTATGAAATTAACTTAATTTGTGTGAACAGATGTCTTCATCACCCATACTATCGCGTCGATCGGCGACCAGTCCGACGACACCGACTAATGGCAAGTCTGAGTCATTCCTCGACTATTTGGGAACTTTGGGCCGAAAGAAGAAGTTAAGAGAAGGTATAAACTAATCAATCGATACGTTATCTCTTATGTGTGTCTCTAGACTGCAGTCATATCATATCATATGATAGGATGTGATCATTGATTACATATTGACTCTTATTATGCAATACTTGTTATATTAAAATTGTTTATTAAATACTGTTATATATTTAATGTCAATATTTATATAAACTATTTTTATTGTAAGCGATCTCTCATTTTAGTAAATTTAATTGAATTCATTTTTTTTTTCATTTGATTTATTTGTATGTCTTGTTGTGGTAAAAAAGTTGAAGAAGCGGTTAATATTGAAGAAGAAGGTCGTCAGGCTATTGACAGTAACGCTCAGCACCCGATCATTGATGCACTTCCAGAGGAATTCGTCTTAAGTTGGTTTCATTTTTGTATATTTGTATTATTGTTTAATTTATCACAATTTATGTTTTCTCTTAAATTTACATTTTTATAACAAGATTATATATAGAAAGATAATATGATATAATTTATGAATATTTATTATAATAATATACTGTAGAGTATTAATTAGATTTATTATTAAAAATAGATGAATTAGAGGAGAGGTCAATGATAGAGCCCGGAATGATCAACAATCACGACTATCAGGAATTGCTTAAGATATTAGTTAATTGGATTAATGATGAACTCAGGTATACTTAATATTATTAAAAGATTACCGAAATTTTAATATAATATTAATATAATAAAAAATAATTTTATCAAAAAAGTGAACAAAGAATAATTGTAAAGGATTTGGAGGAAGACCTCTTTGACGGACAGATTTTGGGAAAATTGATTGAAAAGCTGAGCGGACAGAAGTTAGATGTAGTGGAAGTGACTCAGAATGAAGACGGACAGAAAGCCAAACTGAGGACTGTCTTGGATCAGACAAACAGATTACTCGGCATTCAAGCCAAGTGGTCGGCTGTCAAGTGGACGGTTGGAGGAATTCACAATAAAAATATGGTTCAAATAATCCATTTATTGGTTGCACTGATTCGTCATTATAGGGCACCGATTCGGTTACCACAGAATGTTGTCGTTAATCTGGTTGTTGTTCAGGTATTCTTCATTTTGATTAAACAGTACTTTAAAAATTATTATTTAATTTTTATTGTATAGAAACGTGAGGGACATTTGCATACGTCTACAGTTACCGAACAATTGACCGGTTCTTATGATGAGTTGGGTATGCGTGTGGAGCCCAGGGATGCGTTTGACACCCTGTTTGACCATGCACCCGATAAACTACAAATTGTCAAGAGGTCATTAATTAACTTTGTTAATAAACATCTCAATAAAATCAATATTGAGTGCTATGTTGGACCCACTGGTGTGGAGTTAGATCCCAATCAATTCAATGATGGACTTCTATTGATATTTTTAATGGGAATGCTTGAGGGCTACTTTGTTCCGTTAGGTAACATATTTACCACTGCAGTCGATCCTGTATTAGAGGCTACTTCTAATAAAGAGACAGCAATACAACCGGATAATTATATTGATAGCTCACCCATTAATAAACTTCATAATGTAAACGTTGCCTTTCAGCTAATGGAGGACTCGGGAATTCAAGTAATACATTGTTTTAAATAATTTTATAACAATATATTTATCGGTATTTTGTATTTTAGGTGAAACAAAAAGTCAGAGCAGAAGATATTGTAAACGCAGATATGAAGTCAACTCTCAGAGTCTTATATATGATATTTACTAAATTTAAGCACTTGTAATGATTTCAATGAAATCCCATTTAATTACAAATTAGTTAATTATACTGTTTTTAAAATCAATTTATTTTATTTACAGTAATGTGTAACACAATAATCCTTTAAGGCAGCATATACTGTATTATTTGTATTTACAAAATAACATTTTATTAATTATGCATTTATTTAACACAATATTTTAGATATTTTAAGAATTTATTATTAATATAATTGAAATAAAATATGTGCCATATTAATGTGCTTTAATATAATATGTATTTGTATGTATTCAATAAAATTTTATTTACAATTTTTCTCGAAATAAAATCTGTTAAAATAATTAATTTTGCATAAAATGATATGTAAATATATATATATATATATATATATATACTACAGATAAACTACACGCTAACATATATTTTCTTTAAAGTAAATTAATGACAGATTATCTGTTTGGTTTTAAATTAAAATTTTAATCATTTTCAAACAATTAGTAAAGTAGTCATGTATTCAATTAAGATACAAAAATGTTATAATATATACCTATATGTCTACTAAAATGTTTATTATAATAAAATAAGGACACGAATAAATCGGATTCAATTACTATTAATATAACTTATTACGCCTACAATAAAATATATTTAAAGATTTAAAAGTTATAAATAAGTATTGTTATTATTAAAATGTAGATTTTAAAATAAAAACTTTATAATTATATTAAATAACCTAGTCTAGAAATAAATTAAAAATATTTTAATCAAAATTAAATGATTCACTTATTAAGTCATCGATATAAATATTCATATCGATTCACATATTTATGATAATACGATATTTCTCTACTATGAAATAAACTATTAATTAAAATTTAATTTTTAAGACACATTCATTAATTTCTTAAAATGTAAAAAAGTTAAAAAAACAAAAAGGTTGGAATAAGTTGTCTAAAAATATATATAACCAAAATATTGACACAATGAAACCATTTGAAACTAGCAATACATGTATACTTTACAATTTAACTATAAAAACTCAAATCACATTTCAATAGATAAGTTTGAAATTGTTTTTATCGTTTTTTGAATGACTTGAAGGCATTTAAATGTAACGATAAAATCATTTTTTAATGCCAATACTATTTGTTTGGTTTGTTCAGTAATGTAAAAAATGCGAAGAAATAGTTTTTGATTAGTTTTTATAAACTTAATGTCGAGTTTTAATGTCAATACTATTTAATTTTACGCAAACCTTATTATAGCCACAAAAGTGTTCACTTTGTTCACAAATATGCTTTCATTAGAAAAATACATTTCATTTGTTTTGGGAATAAAAGAAAATACAGTTTAGAGACAACTGTTTGTGTTTTTCTTTATTTTTGTTGATCTCAACTCTCAATTGTCTTTTAGTATAATATACGAAATTTTCATAAATACTAAAATACTAACAAATATGTTATACTATTGAATATTTTAGTTTTTTATTTAAAATAAATAAATATATGTAATTTGAAATTATTAAATAAACATGTATTTAATTATATTAAGTTTTTATTTTGCTTGCAAGCAAATATATATTTATATTATGATATGATGATAGCTAGTTTAGTTTTAACAAATATAAATTATTATACTGATTATATTACTACAAGTTTTTAAACATTTTTAAAATTTTAGTTAATATTTTAATTTAGTTAACACTGTAATTGTTTAGTTAAATTAATAGGATATGTAATTTATATCAACAAAAAAAATTATTAAATGTTAGAAATCATTTCTGATTTTCAATTTGTAATAATATACACGATATAATATTTTTACCAAAATAGAAAAAATTAATTAAAATAAAATTTATATTATTGATATATTTAATCACATTTTTAAAAACATTTTTTCTATTAATTTTACACAACATAAACAAATGCTAAAAATGTTTTTTTTATTTAACAAATTCATTGGAATTGAATTGGTTTCAAATAAAACTTGAAATATAAGACAACCCACTCCTGTGTCTATAATTTGACGTAACAGTGCTATCATTTCAATTGGTTAAACATTTTATAAGTTAAAGGCTTAACATTTAGTTTATACCATATGTAATATCAATACATACTATATTTGTTCAAATTTAATTTGTCTGAATCTCATAAATAGTTTATAGCACCCACTCTTTTAGTGGCAATTGTTTATTATATTATTTTAAATACTGTACTAACTATATATGTATACTGTATATAAATATAAAGTTATTACTAATATGTTAATTTATTATTTTTAATAAGTTTTCCACTTGCTAATTTAATTAATTTTTACATGAATATTACATTTTATATAAATAATATAAATTTTAAAAAATAATTTAATTATTATCAAATATTTGTTTTTATTTATATATCAAATTAAATTTGGTAGGATTTTCTGTACTCTTTTTTAATATTTTATTCATAAAACAATATTTATTATAAAACAGATATCAAAATATTTTATTGTTTAAACATTATGTCATAAACTTTTATTCTAAAAGCAAATCACAGATATTTTTGTTATATAAAAGACAATAATTATTAATATAGGTATACATATAGGAATAAATTGGTTTTCACAATAAATTATAATAAAATTGTAGTTTCAAAATTATTAAAATTATATACTTTTATAGTTTATATAAAAATTATAATAAAAAATTTAATTAAAATTACAATTGATGAGTTATTATAGTTTAATTTTTTAAGTCGATATGCTTTGTCTTTAAATGTTTTATTTAGCGTTTATATACCCACTTAGTTGACTGGATTGGACTGTACTATAACTTAAATGCTTATAAATAAATATTGTAAATGAAAAAATTATATAAAGTAGTTGTCAGGATATGGAATTGATGTTCTCAATCAAAAGTTGTCAGAGTTCGGGCAACTTTCCCAGGGAGTGAACTTTCCAAATAAAATCCTTACATTTTTCCCGAAAAATATGGAAAATATTTTATTTTCTCTCCATTTATTATTAAAAAGGAAAAATAAATTTCATATTATTATTATATATATTAATATTACCAAAACTCTAATATTTTGCATAAAATTTTTTTATAAATATAACAAACATAATAATAAAATGTGTTTCTTAGGGTTCGATAGGTGGTAGGACAAGGAAGTAATTTCTATGGGAATTACTATGGAGTGCGGAAAATATATCAAGGGATGGAATTTGATCTAACTTTAATTAGATTAGATTTTTTGTTTTATATTGTAATGAATGCATCAATATAACACTTTAAGATAATAGTCTCTGTTTGTCTGTTTGTATGGCACCTTTCATCAACAACCATATTTTAATTCAAATCTAAAAATGTATTGTTATATTTTCAATTTTAATTTAAAGCAATGTTATTTCTATGGGAAATTTTAAATGATTATTGAGCTCAGTTAGGTTTTATGGACAGGTAGGCAGGTGCTGTGTAATAACATTTTGCTATATTATATAAGTCACAGGGCACCGGGAGGTTAGTTACCTGTGTTAAGTTTTTGTAAAATTTTCTCAAATACAAAAATTTTCAATCTGTATTAAAATTTTCAATTTTTATTGAAAGCAATGTTATTTCTATGGGAAATTTTAAATGATTATAGAGCACTGGTAGATTTTAGGCTCAGGTAGGCTGATGTAGTGTAACTATATTTTGCTATATTATATGAGTCATAGGGCACCGGGAGGTTAGCAACCTGTGCTAAATTTTTGTAAAATTTTCTCAAATATAAAAAATTTTCAATTTGTATTAAAATTTTCAACTTTTATTTAAAGCAATGATATTTCTATGGGAAATTTTAAATGTATATTGAGCTCAGGTTGGTTTTGAGGACAGGTAGACAGATGTTGTGTACTTACATTTTGCTACATTGTGTGTCACAGGGCACCGGGAGGTTAGCTATATATGCTAAATTTTTGTAAATTTTTTTGCAAAAATAATTAAATTTTCAATTTGTATTAAAATAATTTAAATATATATAAAAATCTAAAATTTTTCAAGAGTTTAGATTAAATAATGTGTATTGGTTTAGTACAGTAGTTTTGTTACATTAGGTTATGTAATAGTTGTATAGAAAAATTAAGTCTCATTCAAACTACTTATGATGAATATTTTAAAATTAGTAAAAGAATTGGACAGTTATACATGTTGCGCGGGACAATCTAGTTTGTTATAGTATTATAATTAACTAAACGTATATAATATACTGTATATTTATAAAGTTTATTTTTGTAATTACATAATAATATTATTGTTTATTTTTCCATATATTTATATTATTGTGTTTACCAAGAAGTAAATTTTAATATAAGTTTTTATTACAAAAAATCTGATTTAAATACTACTATTTTCTTATATTAATTTAATGCTTAGTATTATTATTGAGTTTAATTTTAAATATTTCTATATGATTATAATCTCTATTGTTTTTAAATATTATTTAAATAGTCATAAATAAAACTTTTAAATTTTAACATTTTTAAAATTGATATAACATTATTTTTAGCGTAAATTACATTATAAATCTAATGTATATACTGTAATAACTTAGTACAGTATATTATAATAGTAATTATACAATAGTAAGTACAGTATGTAATGTATATTCGGATAATTAAAAAAATATTAAGTGTTTGTATAGAAAATAGACTAAATTTTACTGAAAAGCTTATATTATACAATATTTTTGTATTTACTTTTATTACAATTATTATTTAAAATAAATTTACATTATAAAAATTTATCTCAACTTGTTTATTTATCTAATGATATATATTTTATAATAAATATTTGTAAATAAATTTTCTTACATTTGACTCTTTTGATAACTTATGTTAAATTACTTAATATAATTTTATAATTATTTGTTTTAATTAGTTAGTTATTTAAATGCTTTAAACTAAATTTATGAGAGTATTGTCTGCAAAAGATTAAACATATTAAACATACTTTTATAGTGTGATAAATGGCTGTTCATATAAATACCATTTAAATATATTTTTTATAAACTTTGGTCTCTGTTATCACAATTTATTGCTAAAGTTGATCATCGGATTAAAGACACCTTTTCTGTCTATATATATATTGTGTTTCAATCAAATCTCACAAATAGTATAAACAGGTCTGAGATCTCAGTTGACGGCCAGTGCTGTGAAGTATAGTATTTATATTAATATTATTTCTTTCCAAAACACGAAATCTATTTCAATATATTTATAATTACTGCGAATCAAAAAGTTTGACCAACAAGTAGTGATTATATCACAATCTTATATTTTATACACTTAAATATATATTTAAATTTTTTAATATAGTAAACATTTATCTTTTTTAATATAAAAAAATATTTTTAAAAATAATTTAATATTTTACCTGTATATTTACAATGATATAAGTATTAATAGACTATATTATAAAATTTATGTTAAAATTAATAAAATTTTATATTAAAATATATCTATAAAATATAAGATGTATTGCAATTATAGAGTAATTACATAACATATTCATAATAAATATTCAATTACAACGAGATCTGTTAACTTAAGATTAATTGAGTTGGGATTAAATATAAACTAAGTTTACGAAATGATTATCATTTTTTTGTAAAAAAACATGAAATCATTGCTTTGAGTATTAAGTTTTAAATGTCTTAAATTACTACTATTTAAATGTTATTTAATATTTAAATTATTATATATACAAATAAAATGTTTTTATACTGAAATTGCACATAGGATTAAAAATCTAAAAATATTAAAGCCATATAAAAGTATGTATTTAAATTATTAATAGATTGAAAATTATCTAATATTTAAGTTGTTTACCTAATTATGTTTATTGTAAATATTGTGTACAAATGTTATAATAATATATTTCAAATATATTCAAAACTAATTTTTACCGATTTATTTATTTACTAGTTTTTTAAAAACAAAACATTAGCTAAACAATAGAAAAAAGCTTTTTAACAATAATAATCCTTATCTAATAAACCGATGACTTCCCAAAACTCACATAATTTTAGTTTTTTTTATTGATCTCTCTTTAATGATCTCAAAGCTCAACTAAAGTGTACAATATATACAAATGTCTTTTACACAATTGTTAGTTAGAGTCCAAATAATAATAATAATACAAATAAAAAAAAATAAAACTTGTCACTGAATATTAACTTTATGTTTCAATGATCAGAGTATTTAAATATGAATAAAAATTCAATTTAATAATAATATACTGTATATAAATAATATCTTCTTAGCTTTAATAAAATATTTTTTTTAAAAACATTGAATTATTCTGTTTATTTGATATACTGTCCAAATTATGTCACTCATGTATTATTTATCTTTACTTATTGTAAGACACAATTTAATTTATCAATAAATGTTAACAATTTGTTATTGAAATGTTATAATAAATTTAGGATATATTTACAAATTTTACAAACAGTCTATTTTAGTTATATAATATAAATAAATAATATTATTTTATATATTTTGATTTTATACTATTATAATTAAATGTTTTTTTGCTACTAAACTAAAACTTGTTTAATGAGTATTTAAAAAGACTCATAAAAGATTTTCTTTACATTTTTAAGATTGTTTTTAAGTACCGGAAAAATCGATTTTATAATATGTTGTATATTTAAATAATATAAATTATATTTTGCTTGTGTTATATAATAATTCTTTTAATTATCTAAAAAAAAATTAATAATTTAAGAGAGAATATTTCTAAGTATTAAAAAGAAATAAAATAAAAATAAATACTACAATATTAAAGTGAAATAAGTAACAATAAAATAATAGTAAGTTATCAATTCATTTTTTTTAAATTTATAAAAAATAAAGTCTTATATTAATTGTATAATTTATGTTTATTTAAGTATTTTCATAATAGATCAAAATCTTCTGTAAATTTTTGTGTGTGTTTTTGAATCCCAACTTTAATGTTAAAAATCTTTTACTATTTAGTATGTAAAGTAGTAAATGCATAACTGCTTGTATTATGTTATGTTTGAGGATTATCATAACTATCTATAATATTATAAGTTTTTAATTTCCAATATTATTATAAAAATATTTTTTCTAATTTTTTTGCTAAGTATATTAAAGTATATTTATAAGGTATATTTAATTATGTTATAAAATTTAGTCTTGTAAATATAATCAACTATAATTATTGTATTAAAATTTTTAAAAATATAAAAATAGATATTAAATAAGAAAAATGTTCTTATATTATTATATAATGCTTATAAATATATCAAGTTTACATAATTATCGATTTTATGATAATGTTAATTATTGAATTAATTAGTAAGTACCAAAAAAATTGAAAAAACTACAATATTTAAATAACTTTATGTATTTCTTAATAGTTAAAAACGTATTGTTTAAAAGTCAATATAAAAGGAGATCTAATTGATTGCGTAAATTTGTTTGCGCCGTCAGTTGGTGGGCAACAAGGGGTCGGCAGTTAAATGTATTGATAGCCGTATCGTATATCTCATCATCTCATAGACAATGGGCTACAAGTGGTGCGCAATCGTTACATAAAAGCACTTTTATAGGTCCAAAGTTAATATTGGAGATCAAATAAAAAGTGTATTTTGATTAGCAGTTTGTGATTCAAGTAATAGAAGAAAGCTTTTTGATTGTCTGTTTTATGTGTGTTTTAACAGTGAAAACACTATTATTACTAAAATTCTGTTAAAAATTCTGTAAACTGTCGTTTTGTGTCAATTAGTTGTTTCAGTTGTTAGTATTTTATCGATTTTAAGTAATCTTTTTAAACAAAAATTGTTTTGCAAATACTTTTTTACATAATCGACTTTTGTTTGGTAAGTTATTTTCTATATCTTATAAATCATACAAACTTTTAAGTTATTATTTAAAATATGGATAAGTTTTATTTAAAATCATAAGTTATAATTTATATATTAAAGTATAATTTAATAAATGTAAATATTAAGCGTATTTATAATGTAAATGAATATACCTGTATAAAGTTTAGTTTTATTTATTTAATATTATTATTTATAATGATATATATATACTTACATTTATGTACATATTAAATATATTAAATTATTTATGTGTATATATATAAAGAAATAAAATACTATTGCAATTATGCAAAAAAATTGAAGAATATAATTATGTTAGAATAAAAAACAAGATTATAAAAATTAAAATTATTTTTAATTTTAAATAAAATTAATCATAATTTGTAAGAGTTTTTAGTAATTTTTATTTACTTAATGATGTATACACTTTATAAAGCATAATACTAACATTTATGTACATGTTTTCAAATAATATATTAAAGTAATGTTTTAAAATTATTTCATTTAATGTTTAAGTGTAACACATGTTTATATTTTCAATATTGTTGCATATTGTTAATTTTTTTTATTGAATTTTTAAACATACAATAATTTAATTTTTAGTTACACATAGAAAAATAAACATTTATAAAGTAAACTACAAATAACTTCATATATTTACCACAGTATTAATTGTTTCACTTTAAAAATTTTATTTATATAATGAGTATTGTCTTGATTTTTTCATAATTTATTATATAATACGCTCATAGATTTGCATGTCTTTTACTGCTTTAATATAGTAAATATTAATTTTATAATTTCTTAAAATAAAAAATAATTTTATATATTTCATAATAAAAATAAAAAATATTAAATATAACATTGAATATTTAATAATTTTACATTTATCCTTTAAATTAAATTATTTTTTACTTGTTTGATAAAACAAATTTGTGTTTATCTTTTTTTAAATATTAAATTGAGAAACTTAAATGTAAATAAAGTTTTTTTGTGATTATATATACAATATTTTATAAGTATTTTTAAAGTATTTAAAATTTATAGTTTTAAAAGGATATGACATCAATAGTATAGTGTATATTGATATAACAAATACGGTATACAGTGTATACTATACACTATACAATTTAATGTGACATTTTTGATAAAGCTTGTGGGCATATATTTTGGTACAGTATATATATGCAAACCAAACTTATTTTATATTTCAATAGTTTGTTTAAGTTTTGAGTATCAAATAATCCATTTTTAATGGTTTGACATTTCCGTTAAGCCAGTTATCAAAGATTATATGAAACAATATTTATTTATTTCGATACTAATTCTAAATTGTGGTCTCAATGGAAACCAAACAATACTTTGTTAAACATTAGATATTTATGATATCACTAATAATAGTTATAATTATAGTTTTTAATCACATTGTGATGACAACTTTTATTATAGTTAATAAAATAATATAAATAGATTGGATTTATAAATTTGTTTATATTAATGACTTTTGTGTATAACACTTAAATAATGTGAATCAATATTAATTATTAAATAATTTTATACATAAAATTGCTTCAATATTTCAAAAATGTGATTAAATACAATATTTAAATTTATAAGTTATATATAATAATATCTTTAATATACATTCGTATGTATAAATGCAATTAAAAATCTATTTTTTAATTGTAATATTATTTAAAATACTTTTATAATATTTTTAATTAATAGTATAAGATATAAAAACACAAATAATATAGCAAATAAATTGTTTATAAAAATTAATTTTCTAAATGTTTTGTAATTAAATAAACTATTTTTACATATCAATCAAATATTTGTTTAACGTTATTAAGAAAAAATTATACCTTTATTAAATATTTATACGTTTATAAATAATAAATACATATATATTTGTATTTTTATAAAAGAAATTGGTGTTTATTTATTCAATGAAAAAGTAGAAAATTTACTTATAGTGTATTGCAATTATTGTATAACTATTGATAAATGTATATTGAAATCACTATTGACATCTGACTATTGTAGTTGTGCCGGATGTTTTAAAACTTCACATTAATAGACTTTATTTAATTGTATCAAATATTATAACTACATTTTAATAAGATTAGTATTGATATAAATAAAACTTTATTTTTAAATTTAAGTAATTTTTAAATAATAATAACTATGTCATAGATATTGAACTAAAATATTCAAGTTTCAAAATAAGATAAAATGTTCTAGTTTGCTTTTGTTAATAACAAATATTTAATTAATACAATTTTAAAAATGCAATGTAAAAATGTATAATTAAAATAATCTATATTTAACCTATTAATAGATGTAACGATTTATTTATATTTAAAAAAATATTAAATATTAAATTCTTGTTATAATTTTAATAACTTTTAGTAACATTTAATGATTAATTTATTGAAAGTTCCGGTGCCTTATGTTAAATCTATCAGACTAACCAGGCTAATACCGGTATTTTGTAGTTATATATTTTAATATTGATAATTAATATTTTACTCATTAAAAAATAATTAGTCATTTATTAGACATCTGATAAAATATATAATTTTGATATAAAATATTTGTTAAATGAATTCTATTATAAACTATACAAATTGTTATAACTATAGATACAATTATTGATATAATTGATACACTTGATCATCCAATTTGTGTTTTATAACAAAGTTTACTTTTATTTATTGTATTTTTATGATTGAATAAAAAATATTATATATAAATTATATATTATAACAATATACAATAATTATTACACTTTTTAACTAATTAATTGATAGAATATTTTACTAATTATCTAATATTAAATTTTTAATAATTAATCATTATTACTACTGTATATATATTTTATCGGTTTTATTGTAATAAAATCACTAAAATATTGATTTAATTTTTGGGAATAATTTAGAGTTTATGTTATTTAGGAATCGAGAGATCACTAATCATATCTTCGAGCGCTTCAAAGTAATTAAATTCAGGATTCAATTTCCAAAAAAAACATTTGTAATCTAAGAAATTTAAATACTATATTCTTGTCATTAAAATAATAATTTTGGATTATATAACACGTCATACATACTATCATATCATATGTATTTTTACTTAATAAGAGTCTACGTCAATAACTTAGTTTTTATATATAAATAAAATAGTTAATAAATATAAATATTTAATTGTTTGTAAAGTCTATTATATATAGTAAGAAATTAAAGTTTTAGTTGATAATTATGTTTAAAAAAATTTACACAATATATACTTTAATACTATTTATAAACAGTATTTATATCAGGGATGCTATAAGTTTTCGATATTAATGGGGGTATATGGGGGTGAGTAAAATAGCAAAAAAAACTCCAATAAAAAGTTTAAAGTTATATGGGGTACACTTTTTATTACATTTGTAAACGACAATTTTTACCAAATTTTAGTAAATTAATAAATTTTAATAATTTTCAATAAATTCCCCATATATACCTAGTAAAATTTTTAATATTTATTTAATATATTCATTTTTATTATTATTAAAACTTATTTTATGTTAATTAGTGAATAAACTTATTTTTATGTTTCAATATAAGAATAATTAATTTTTTGTTTTGTTACATACTTTATATTACATTATTATTTACTGCAAATAATGTTATATTGATTTAATTAATTATCTTTTTCAGTATTTTACTAGTTTTTATTTATTTATTCTGTATTATTAATGCGATTATTGGCGCCGATAATTGGTTATAGAAACCCCCAACTTTTTGGCTTTAGGCCAGGGGGAGGGGTAAGAACCAAAAAATCTTGATCTCAGGGGGTAAGATGGCTTACTCCTACCCCTTCGAATAGCAACCCTGATATATAAAYTATTACAATTTTACTCTATTTAACTCTAGAATAGGCGATAGCAGGAAAATCTTACTTTTTTAAATAATATTTTACGAAAATTTACACAAAATAATTTTTACTTACATATAAATTTAATATAACAAATTTTAATATAATATAATTTTTTTAATGTTTAATAAACTACGTTATCTAATATTTAAAAAATAAGCTAGTAACATTTTCCTGCCATTCCCTATTAAGTACTAAACTCTAGTGTCATTAATTTTATTTTATTATTTGTCATCATTTTAATGAAATATTAGACATATTATAAATAAAAAACAATTTTTACTTTAAAAGCAACATACAATGTAGTCAAGTGTCAACAACTAATAAATTAATAAATATTTTAATTAAATGTTTATTTTGCTAATTAATGCTAATTTTGGTAATGATTGGCATAATACATAATAAATAAAATTTATTAATTTAATAAATTATTAAAAAAAATATTAAAACCTAAAAATTTATTTTTATAGTAAAAATATGATAATATATATATATATATAAATTTTAAATAATGTCTGACTTAAGTTCATTAAAAACATATTTATATATATATATATTATGTATTATATAAAAATTAAACTATTTTTTAATTGTATAAATTGACTTTTTCAAGTTTACAAAAATATTTTTATTATATTATAACATTAATATAAAWGGAAAGTATTAGAATTAATTTTATTACAAATACATTATATAAAATTACAATCTAATTATTGATATATAATGTTTATATACAAAATACAAATATCAGAAATCTAATTATAATATTATTGTCTTGTGTTACAGCAATTAAATAAACAATTAAAATAAAATTATATAATTTGAATTGATTTTATAATGTGTTTTGTCGATAAAATATATAATAACTAGACTTTAAAATAATGTTATTATATTATTTATTTATTATAACACTTGTAAGATTGTACTAATAATAATAAGCAAAACATTTAGGAGTTTTTATTGAATAATAATTTAATGTTTATTGCAATTGTTTTCGTCAACACTAAGTGTCCAATGATTAACCATTAAGTTATTTAGCAATCATTGAAAATCTGTTAATAGTTATGTTTGTAAATGAGATTAACATTAATCTAATTATAGGTAGACCTCAATCATGACATACAATAAAGCAATGCAATCGTCGGGAATGACTGTATCGATACCACAATACTGTTATTATATTGTAATTACTTTGATGTTGACTTCGTTAGCCGTCGCACAACAAAATTGTAAGTTTTATTTGATTTCTCCTTATTTTATGTTATATATAGTATATTATGGATATAACAATCAATTAATTTTCAAAATAACAAAATTACAGTCAATACATTTACTAAAAACTATTTTTATAAACAAGTAATAATATAAACTCCTTCACAAATTTGTTATAATACTTGTCAATAGAAACCTACGGTTTTTTAATTAATATCTGAAGATTTTTTTTATCATTATATCATTATAGTGTATATAATTTATACACTATAATGTCAATTATATCTATAAATTGTATTTTTAAATAGTATTTAGTTTATATAAAATTTATTATCAACTATTTAACAATTAATACTATTAAACTTATTATGTAGAAAATCTAAACAAAATCTTTATAGGTATTGCATTTAGACATTACAATCATTGTTTTTCTATAAATTATAGAAAAGAGACACAAAATTTAATAAAACATAGTTTTCTAACAAATCAATACATGTGTTGAAACGTGATGTCAAATATAAGTTCAAATTGGTCTTAAAAAAGCTTTTATCTTATCCGCCGATAGTCTCAACACTGCATTCAATGAACATTAAGTTTAAGATTAAATGTTTAGCTTATGTTCAGTTAGTTTACTATAACAATCTCATGACTTAATCTTATCTTAATTTTTGTTTCATTGCATCTCTTTCTTTCCCCCACTCTTTTGTGTACAATATTTAGAGTATATATAAATAGATTTTGTATATATTAAATATATATATAAGTTATATGACGATCACTTAATTATTAACTATTTTTATTTCTTAACACAAAAGTATAGTTTATTTTTATTAAAATTTTTATAAAAAAAGTATGTTTGCTTGAGAGTAAATATAAAGTAGTATTTGGCAAATTAGCATTAATGGGAAGTTCAAATTAATTCACTTAAATGTTAGTCAATTAAAATTGTGTAAAACTATTGTAAAGATTCCGTTACACATTTCATTACTTTGTAGTCAATTATAATTTTGGATTCATTTAATTATTTTAAGTACGACTTTCCTATGATTTAAAAAATAAAAACTTTATATAACCTTATAATATAAATACAGTAATATAATTGACTGACAATTCCAACACTAAATTCATATAAATCCTAACCTATAGTTTTATATAGTATTTCAAATGAATTATTAAATCAAATAAACTTTTAACATTTGAGGTATAATAATAAATTAATTTACATTTTAAACTTTGATTTAAACTAATCCCACGAGATATTAGTCTACTCTGATTCTCAAAACATAATAATAGCATAAAAATATGCCGAAACTATAAAAATATTGTAATAATTTCGGTAAAATTTACAGTAATTTGTTTATAAGTTGTAGAAAAAAATTATATATTTTTTATTTTGAGATAATTTAATTTTTAGCATTATGTTAAATATTCTGAATTTTAGATTATTAATTAAAAATTATATTTTTATATTTATTCTTTTGATCTTTAAATTTTTTATATTAAATAAAATTTATAACATATTTTTAATATAATTATTGAAAATTTGTGTTGCAATGTCTTTCAGTGATCAATAATAATATAAATTAATTAATTAAACAAATTTTTTATAAGACAATTTAAAATTTGTTAAATATTATATATATATATATATAATTTACATTAATAAATAACAAAATCAGTATAAAATAATATAATTATAAATATTTTAGATTTTTTAACGTTTTTTAAAATAATTATTTTGTTTACATTAAATAAAGTTTATTTTAATATTTTTAGCTTTCAGACTAAAAAAATTGAATTAAGTGAATGACCTAGATTATATTTATATTTTTTATCACTTATATTAAAACAAGTTTGACATTAATAATATCAAAAGACGTGGTATATTTAATAACATATTTTGAACATATGTTAATTATTGTCAAAATTGTGGTCAGATATTATAATTATTATATTATATAAAGATCAGTAATGTTTGTTTAGGACGTGTCAACACATAGTTTACAATTTATGTATTTTATTAATGAATGACTGCAAGCTATTAGACTTTTGTTTTTTATATAACATTTACAGCAGTTATTGTTATTATAAAACAAAATAAAACTATTTTATACTTTATTATGTAAAATACAATGGCATTTGTTGTTTAATAAATTATAAAATTAGACTTAAATAAGAGAGTGAACATAATGTGGTGGCATTTAGATTAAATGATAGCTAACGATGGGTTAAGTCATTAATAAATTTTTTCATTAGTTTTAATAATGAATTACAAAAACACAAATTGAATTTTTATTTTTTAAGGTAATGCGAAACATTTAAAAGTCAATAATTGTTTTTAATGTCATAAAATATTATTTAATTATTTTAAAATATTTAAAATAATTGATAAATTAAGATTTATACATAATTATCATTAATAATAAATATGAGAAAATAATGTTGTTTATATTAATTATTTACCAACAAATTAGTATAAAAGTTTCTTTGATTATTACACTTTAAATATGTTGATTAAAGTATTGAATATTTTAATTTTATTATTTTAGTTTATAATAATTATTCATAAATTTTTAAATAATAAACATTAAAGGGTTTCATTAACGTATTTTTATACATTTGTATATCCCAAACGTAATTATAATATATTTAACAGATCAGTAACTAAAACTCTAAAAATATTAATAATCAGATTTTAAACTTTTATTTGAATTATTTTTTTTTAAAAAAGATGAAAAAGTGTTTATTATGATTGTATTTGAATTATTGAAAATATCAAACTAATGATATGTATAATTTTAATTAACTAATTATTTATTTTTTAATCAAAGTTATTAAACATAAAATTAATAACTCATACATTGATATAATGCTTAAAACTCGGACAGATATGTGTCACTAAAATAATCAATTGTTAAAATTAAAAGTGAATGCAAGCGATAGTTTTGGGTTAATTGGTGTTTATTGACTTGTGTTTTATCAATTCATTGACTAATTAATTAATTATATTTTGCAAACTTGATTAAGTAGAGCAACAATTACTATAGCAATACATTTATTGTTGATTATTATTATTATAAAATGTTTACTTTGCTGGACATTATTTATAATTATATAATCTATTAATTTGGTTCATCAGTTAGTCATTAAACCTGCAAAATACGATAAATTATAAGTTTAAACCGTAAAATTGATACATTAAATATCGTATAATTTGAATGTAACAMTAATTATATTTAAATAATATAGCAATTGATAATTCTGGTAATGAAGATGACTTAATAAAGAGGGCATCGACTCATAACCACAACATAATGCGGTTCGGAAGGGCTGGTCATAACATTATGCATTTCGGTAAACGTACTCAAGAGTTGGTCACTGATGACGGTTTGGGTGACGGCAAYGACTCATCCAMTGAATTAGACACTTCTAACGCCAATAGCGAACAACAAGATATCAATGCCTACGACAGCCGACCCATAAATATTGGCCAGAGATCGGTGCGGACGAGATATTTCATTCCCCACGCATTTATAGGTTTGAAATTATTATTATTTTTTATATTTCAATTATAATATTTAATATAATAAATGTTTTATAATTTAATGTTATTTATTTTTCAAACTATTTATCAATAGCTTCTCTATATACACATCCGCGTCCTTTCCTTAAAAAAGCTGCTGAAAGTAGGGATAATGTGTTTATGCATTTTGGTTAATGGCATTACTTTCAAGTGGCTCTCAATTATATGTTAAATATATTTACATTATTAATAATATAATTATTTATTGTGAACTTTGATTTTTATTAAAGAATAATTTTATTTTAAGTATTTTTAATATAATCTCTAATTACTAGCAAAATGTTTATCAGTTATTGAGATTTATTTATTATTATTAATAACCGTTTATACCTGTGTTTGTCAAGCGTATGGTTACACATATTTATCATTMAGTATTTTATAATAAGTTACAAACATATGTTACAAACTATAGGATATTCATTTGTGAATTGTTAAAAACTCATTAAAAACTTGTCTATTAATTTAAATATCAATTTTTAAAATTTTAAATGTTAAATTTAATTATAAACAACAATTAAATTGTATGTTATTGTAATTTATTGTAATTTATCATATTTAATTTATTTTAAATGATGTAGCTATATAACTAAATCTTAAATGAATAATTATATTATTATATTAAAATAATTTATTATAATTAATTAAAATACATTTCTAATTATTTATATGTCTCTATAATAATTCATTAATTAAATATTATTTTAGCATTTATTTGACCAGTTTTTTATATATTAAATATAATAAAAATATATAAATTTTTTATTTCATTTTTAGGCAATTTTATTATTTCATTTAATAAATATAAAAAATAAAGACGAAATGAAATAAAATTTTGTAATTTGAAATTAATACTAACTATTAATACACCTAAGATATTGTTGAAATATTAGTTTGAAATGTCATATATTTATAATTAAATGATTTTTGTTAGTAAAGAGTCTAACAAATTGTTTTTTTGTTAGATGTATCTCATATTACATGAGTCTAAATGTCGTCTATTAGTAGTCATAACATAAACGAGTGGAAGACGAGTAGGCAGTAGTTATGTGTTATGTGTTAACTGTTATCTGTTTTTGTGCTAAAACTTGAAAAAAATTTGACAATCATTACAATGTTATGTTGATTGTCGTGGAAATTATCGCATATTTTTTTGTGAATCAAATGACCAAAAAGATAAAAGTTGTTAAATCAGATATATATTATACAACAAATGACAACAACAATGTATAGTACAGTATAGGCAAAAATGTGTCTATATTTACAATATAAAAATCACATGTAAATCATATGATTATTTTGTTTTTAAAATATTTTTAATCAAAGTATATTTTTCAATACTAATTATAAATATGACAACTATAATAAATAATAACTATAATAATTTTCATTGTGTCAAATAATCTTCGAGATATTCGACTTTAAAGTCAAAAATAAATATTTGTGATATTAAATAATTTTAGTATAAAATTTAGAATTATTTAATTATAAAATTATTTAGTAAAAATTAAATATAATTTCATTATAAATAAAAAAATTAGTTTTATTATATTAAAATATATTATATTATAATAAAACTAATCTAAAAATTATATTTTTAAAAATTTTTAAGTGTAATATACAATATAAAATTTATATAATAAAAGTATTTAAAATTAAATTTAAAAATTCTCTATAATGTAATTAATAAAATAAAATAAAATAAATGCAGAAAGTTTAAAAAATAATATAATGAAAAATAATTAAAAATTTCTTTCGATAACTTTCAATTAATTAAGATTTATAATAACAAACATGACGAAATTACTGAAAATAATAATTCAATGTGTTTGTAAATTTTGATAATTTTTTATAATTTTTTGTATTATATATTTATGCAATTATTTTTTGTGTGTATTTTTTATATTTATAAAATACGACGTTATTATTGCTAACTCTACACAACCATACGTAGACTGCCGGCGATTATGTATAGTACAGTATAGGTAGTGTTGACAAAAAAGAAATATTTCTAAAATAATTGAGGTTTTAGAAAGTTTCTAAAACAAACTGTCTATAGGATCCCAAAATTAATTTTGGTTTTTTCTCAATTTTTGTTATATTGAAAAAGTATATTACAATTAATAATAATTACCAAATACTATTATAAATATTTTAATTAATATTCAAAATAATAAAATAATAAAATTATTAACAAATTTTATAATAACTGAGTGTAATAACATTATTTTATTAAATTTAAATATAAATATAAAGATCCCATTTGTATAATAGTTATGTGTATATTATTTATCAATAATACAGTATTCCAATAACTTTATATGGAGATTCCATAGTATAAYAATAAAGTAAAATTTYTATAGAAATTTATTTCTGAGAAACTTTCTAGAAGTTTTCTTAGGGAAATTTATTAGAAATTTTCTATTTGCCCATCTCTAAGTATAGGCATAAATTATATATATATTTTTAATAGAAATAATTACATAAATTTCTTCAATTACTTATGATTACTRACACATACTACAGTATATTTATACAGTATATAAATATTTTTTATTTTATATAAGATATATAATTGGTATAAAATATCAACAAAATATTTACAAACTATTCTTACAATGGAACATTTTCATCTGRTTCGCCCCTTTTTGACCATGGTATATTATAAATTATAGATAATATATCTAATTTATTATAAATATRAAAACCTAATGTTAGTTAGTAATTTGCAAGCATTTTAWGYAATTAAAATAATTAAAATAAGACAATAATAWAAATAATAWAAATAATGTACTACTATAGGTATAATCACAATTTCAGTTAACAAATTATTAAATCCATCAAATATTTTACAATAGTATATAAATTTTATAGAAAATATATTTATATTCTATAAATATTCCAATAAAATTATATCCCTATTATAGATTAATTATACAAATTATAAAAATATTTATTAAAATTATTTCTAAATATAGCAAGTATTAAAAATATTCATTTTATTTATTAATAACATTTTATTTTTGTAAAAAGTATTATTTATATATATAAAGCAATTTTGTAATTATAATAAGTGACGTATTTTTTTATTTGAATTAAATATAAAATAAGTAATAACTAAAATTTATTGATTTAACTCTGAAAATGGTTATCGATTCAATTTAATAGACGTTTATAATTTTAAATACTTTTTTCTGACATTATGACTATATTATCAATTTTTGTTTACTTTTTTCATTTTCCTAACTATTGTATATACTGTACTATATACCGGTATATACTGTATTTTTGCTTTTATTATATCATCAAATAATTAGTTAACAAAAATTAAATGCCTAAAAAATAATTTTTAGTTCCTAATTCCTAAGTAATAAATTTTATCTATTGCATAAATTAAATTATTGCCAATCAACTAAATAAACATTAAATATAACATAATTAACATTTATTAAATTTTATGAATCAATAAATTGCTTTATTAAATGTTTTCCTTTTTATAACATAAATTGAAAAAATATTCAATAAAATAATTATCTACTATTTTTCTATTTTATTTAACTTATGCAATAAACAGAATATTTTTTATCTGTTCGCATATAATAATGTTTAAAAATACATTAGAAATATAATATTCACTAACATTAGCATATAAAATTTAATAGTATTAATAAAAATTGATAATGTTTATTTATTTAACAAATATTTAACCAATTTTTGTTGACAAGTGGTTAATATATTATAATTAATGCTTTGATATTTAAGTGTTAAAGCACAACAAATACTGTAAATCTAAACATATATATATATAKRTATATATATATATATAATAAAATTTTACGGCACAAACTTACGTCAATTTATATACCAAATCAAAACAAAAATTTTACTATTATAACCAAATATATAACTGTATCACTAACTATATACTAGACTTTTAACACTAACTAATAATGTAATAAAGATTTTTATATTCAATTAACTGACACTTGTATAGAAAACCTAAGCGCTTGATATCAAACAAGTTTTAACCATTAAAAAGTCATACTATAGTTGAGTTGTAGGTCTCAGTGTTAGGCAATGAATATTCTGTACGCAACTGACTTACAGATGAAAGAAAGTAATAAAAAATTATAATTGAATTCAATCTACTTTTATAATTGATTTGTTGTCTGTTTATACATTAAATATAAGTGTGAAGTCTATTGAAAATTGAATTTCTTTGAAATATAAGAAACAAATATTAAAACCAGATATTAATACACTTGTTATTTACTATTGTTTTCAATACAATAATAGCAAAAACGATAGAAAGAAAGAAAGAGAGAGAGAGAGAGAGAGAACTTATATTTATATTATTCCTTTCGGACAAATTTATAAAAAGCATACAAATTATTCTTTATTATCTGTATATCTTATAAGTTATAACCTCTAACTTATAGATCACATTATAAAGTTAAACATCATATTATCACTTCATTTATTTTGCAACAAAAAATTTAAACATTTATGTTTATAAATTTATATTTTCGGTTTCTATATATTGTACCGTATATTAGATATTATTATTAACGCTCTTAGACCTGTAAAATATAGCTATTTTTACCCTTAGCTCCCGATTATTATAGCTCGCGATATTGAATTAATACTAAACCAATCAAAATTTAGAAATAATTTAAATTGTTTAACGGTTTCACAGTCATTAATAAATTTTTAACTCATACTAGCAAAACCCATAAGCATAATCTAATGGTAAAATCAGCTTAAGAAGTTGAGGAATAGATCATATTATCATTTAATGGTAAAATCAGCTTAAGAAGTTGAGGAATAGATCATATTATCATTTAATGGTAAAATCAGCTTAAGAAGTTGAGGAATAGATCATATTATCATTTAATGGTAAAATCAGCTTAAGAAGTTGAGGAATAGATCATATTATCATTTAATGGTAAAATCAGCTTAAGAAGTTGAGGAATAGATCATATTATCATTTAATGGTAAAATCAGCTTAAGAAGTTGAGGAATAGATCATATTATCATTTAATGGTAAAATCAGCTTAAGAAGTTGAGGAATAGATCATATTATCATTTAATGGTAAAATCAGCTTAAGAAGTTGAGGAATAGATCATATTATCATCTAATGGTAAAATCAGCTTGTGATCTAAAATTATACATTTGCTATTAGTATTTCCAGCTATTTTTACCATTAGATGATAATTGGATCTAATTATCATCATCTTCAGCTATTTTTACCATTAGATGATAATTGGATCTAATTATCATCATCTTCAGCTATTTTTGCCATTAGATGATAATTGGATCTAATTATCACCATCTTCAGCTATTTTTACCATTAGATGATAATTGGATCTAATTATCATCATCTTCAGCTATTTTTGCCATTAGATGATAATTGGATCTAATTATCATCATCTTCAGCTATTTTTACCATTAGATGATAATTGGATCTAATTATCATCATCTTCAGCTATTTTTGCCATTAGATGATAATTGGATCTAATTATCATCATCTTCAGCTATTTTTACCATTAGATGATAATTGGATCTAATTATCACCATCTTCAGCTATTTTTCCCCATTTTATAATTTGTGACTAAGTATAAATGAAAAAATTTAAACATATTTTATAATTGCTTATTAAAGACATACATAAAATAAATCTTTATTAACATATGGATAAATTTTTAAAATCAACTATAGTTTAAATTTAATTCGATCAATTCTGATTGGTTGATTTGCTCTGTGCCGACGGCACACTTTAGGATTCAAAGGTATACATCGATTTGTGCCGATGGCACACGTTTGTTGTTAGCGCGTTAATAGCTAAGTTTATAAATTTAATAATTTCACAATTATTGTGAATCACATTTTAATCTTTAATACAAACAATACATGTTTAATATAATTGTTTGATTTTAAAAATTATATTTACTATTCATAATAAAATAATACAATTTACATTTTTAGCTAATTTGCATTAATTGTGTTTCAGTTTAAAACAAATCGACAATAATTATTATTGTATGAAAATATGAAATTCTATATAAAATACAAAAATAATTTTCTATACAAATACTATATCTGTTAATAATTTCTGTTTTCTCTAATTTGCATTTTCTATAATACACTTCTTAATTGTATTAAAAAAGTATTAAATAACATTCAAAACTGCAATTATTGTCTTTAATTTGAAAATTAATTAATACAATCGATTATCATTGAGATTAATAATCATATTATCGATACCAATGACTCAATCAGTGCTAATAATTTAAAGATTTCTAAAAATTATTTGAAATTTCTAATTGCAGTATAAATGAATATAAATGTTTTAGTCTTTACCTGTGTTTAGGTCTACATTTGTTAAGTATTTAATTACTTATTATTAAAGTAATATTAATACAATTTTCCATATTTTTAGTGTTAGTTTGTTAAGCATTTCATAGTTTTATTGATTTTAGGTAATTCTTAAGTAAAGTAAATCATATAACTATTTATGGTATTTATAATATCTTAATTCATTTAAATAAATCATTTGATTTTTTTAAAAAGCGAATATAAATTTTAACAAAAAAAATTAAATTCTAATTATATATTTGTTTTTAAGAATTTAGTAAAAACTTAAATATAAATAAAATTCATAAAATTTCAAGAAATGTTCTAAACATAAATAAAATTTCAATGAAATTCTTAAACATAATAATTTTACAAATTTTTATTATATTAAAAATAATAATTTAAAATGTTTGCATTCAGTTTCACACAATATTTATTTTTATTTCTGGTAATTTATTTTAATAATTATAATTACTGTATTTACCTATCATTTATTTTCAGTTTTAAAATTTATATAGTTGTAGATTAATATATCATTTAATTACACTAATTTTTATACCATTTCTTAAGTATTGTTTGTAATTTATATACTAATATACAGTACAATACTTAACAAAAAGAGTTCTTTAGTATAAATAAAAACAAACTCATAATATTTATCAGTCATATATAGTTAAAATTTCATTTAGTCAACAAAAAAATATTATAGTTAAATAAATACCTTTTAATTGGGTTTTTAAAATGTAATATTTATTTTTTCAATTGATTTAATAAATAAAACTTTATTTTATTAATGGGTCATACAAATGAATTCACATACTTTAATCAATTAATTGAATTAACAAAAATGATTGCAAAATATAAAATATAATTTGTGAGTAAAATTAAAGCTAAAACTCTCGTCTATGATATCTGTCGGGATCAAAGAAAGAGGTGACAACTACTCTGTTTGCAAACTTACGTCCTGTTAGACTCTGTTGTGCTTTTTGACAGTCCTGGATGTTATTGAATTCAATAAATACCTATACATTTATTTAACAAATTTTAGTTTATTATATATTTAACAAAAGATGTCAAACAAATCCAAATGACATACCTTTCCAAGTCCTGGCACTTCGACTCCAGGTATAGGTCTGGGAATCTCCAATGACTTAACAAAACCATATTTAGAACATTCTTCACGAATATCTTCGAGGATATCTTCATATTCTTCATCATCATTAAGCTCTTCGGGTACAACCATATTCATTAGACATAACACTTCAGTAGGATTTTCAGTACCGCCGGTAACAGTGGTTAGTCCCGGCACTTGTATTTGAACGGGTCCCTGAATAGCCGCAGCGCTAGACAAAGCAGCGGCCAGTGGACCACTCTTAGCTCCGACACTAGCTCTTTGAACAATAAGTTTTTTATCGCCCAATTGCATACCATTAAGACCAGCAATTGCCTATAAAAAAGGGAATAAAACGAAAAATTTCTAAAAAAAGAAAAAGTGCTGCAAATGAAACAAAAGAAAACCAAATTAGAAATATTTTGGTCTCTTTTTGTCCAAATCTAGTCTTAAAATAAAAACTAAAATTCAAAAAAACATTTACTCAATCCAAGTATCGAAGAAAACAACTGTCAATTAATAATAAAATTAAATAATAGAGTATTAAAAGTATTATTAATTTAGAGATTAGATATACGTTTAACGAATTGTGTTTTAAAGTATAGTTTAAAATTAAGTGAAGACTCTAATCAATACCTGGTCTGTGATCTGTGTGTCGGCGTATTCACAAAAGGCATATCCTTTACTAAGACCAGTAGCACTATCTTTAACCAAATTAAATGCTCTCAATTGACCGAAACTCATCAATAATTCTAGAAAATTGTCAAATATTTAAATCTTTTTTCAAATACCTATAACTCTCATGATTAACAAACCTTTGACTTGATCTTCATTAAGATAATTAGGAAGACCTCCAATAAATATCTTAAATGGAGAGTCATTTACAACAGTGGATATAACTCCGGGAACAGCTGACTGCGGCTGTTCACTCATTCCTGGCATCGGTTGATAATCATGTGGTCTACGAATTTTTAAAGACTGTCCTTTAAAATTGATGCCATCAAAAGCCATGGCTTGAGTTGTTTCGTCAATTGATCGAAACTAWTAAAAAGTTTTAATATTATAAATTGATTGTTAATAATATAGACTTTTCGAAATTAATGGAAACAATTAGTGAATCATTTAAACCAAAAAAAGTCAATTACTTTAGCACTCATTGCGAACTCTTAAGTAATCGTAAGTAAATAAGAGCTATTGAGTTGAGTGCATATATTATCATATATTATGGTAAGTGTCTAAAGAAATACCTCAAGAAATGCAAAATTTTTATCCAAATTGATCTGACAGGCGAGCACTGGACTGCCCGGTGCCTGACTGAAGGCACAGGCGTGCATCTGAGCGTTGAAGAACTCCATCATCTCCTCTTCACTGCAACCAAATGGTATATTACCTGCAATTCACACAAACTGTTATGACTTTCCAAATATCTATTATTAAATTACAGACCAACATATAGACGTCTTGCTTGTCGTGTAATAGTACTTCCAACTATAGGAACGGGTGCCGTACCGGGAGCTGCAAATAGAGTGGTTGGTATTTGACCGGTTGCTTGCATTGCTTTATATTGTTGAGGTGTGATGTGTTCAAATCCAGCGGGTGGTACGTCCCAGTACTTCGATGGCTTTTTGCGACGACTACGACTACTTCGATTCGGTGAACGCGACCGAAAGCGCTCCCTTGAACGCGATCTCCGCTTTTCTTCGCGGTCTTTCTCGCGTCGAGACGACCGCTCTGAGCGCTCTCGTGATTTCGACCGATGCCTTCGTGACCGATCGCGATCTCTATCCTTATCCTTCTCTTTATCCTTATCTCTGTCTTTTTCTCTATCTTTCTCTCTGTCTTTCTCTCTATCTTTCTCTCTATCTTTCTCTCTATCTTTCTCTCTATCTTTCTCTCTATCTTTATCCCTATCCTTATCTTTATCCTTATCTTTATCCCTATCCTTATCTTTATCCCTATCTTTATCCCGTTCCTTATCCTTAGAYCTGTCCTTATCTTTATCGCGATCCTTATCCCGCTCTCTATCTCTATCCCTGTCTTTATCGCGATCTCTTTCTCTGTCTTTATTCCTGTCTCTGTCCTTATCTCGTGTACGGTCTCTGTCGCGATCTCTGTCTGATTTCACATCATTGGATTCATTGGTCTTCACCTTTACATCCATCGGTTCCATCTTAATGTTAACATCCGATAAATCTATAGACAAAGCAATTTAACAGTTAAATCAATGCACGTGTGGATCAAACAGTCACCACAAACCGGGTTTAATGTCGTAAATGTCCATTTGGTCGTCCATTAGTTGACAGATATATTGATCACAAAGTTATTGGCGACAAAACAGCCGGCAATTCAATGACCAATAGATCGGACAATACAAAGATGGCGACAGACTTTCAACACATGACTGACACGACTGACACTCAACGGTATATAAACACACTATTGATTGCAATCATTGTTTGGATCAAACATTTCTAACATTTACTGCAATGTCTGTGCAATCAATTGACAACACTTTGACAATACTTTGATCCAAACGTTTGATATCTGTTTTTATCACCACTTCTTAACATTTATTAGTGATTTGTTTGATTTTTTTTTCAAAAAACATCTTAATTTTTGCCATTATTTTTGGTATTGATTTAATTAAATAACAAATGATCCAAATTGATGGCCAATACTTCAGTCGATAAGATATCGCTTTTGTTGAATCAGTAGTTGTGATGACCCGTGAAGTGTAATGTCTATCAATTGGTTATAATTACCAATGAGTTGATATCAATATCTGTTTTTGTCTAATAATCGTAATGAATGTCAATCAAAATAAATCCGTTAATAACGTGATTAACTCGTCATCGATGGACGCGACCAATGGTACCGAAGAGCAGCAGTCGAGCAGTCACTCAAATCTTAGTCCAATGTCTGTGACTGACTCTTCTCCCTCTTCTTCATCACATCTCTACTATGTTTCGGACAGCGATGTCCTTAATGTGAGTAATGAATAACAATATGATATCATTTGATATTTATATTGTAATCATTAATCAATAAATCGTTTAATTACTTAACATTAATATTACAACTTTAATGATATTTTTGTTTAAATATATCATTTTATTTATTAATACAGATATAAAACGATTCATTTATTTTTACATTATTTCTAATTTATTTAATTTATTTTCTTTTCAAATGAAACAATAATTATGAATAACAATCATATGTTTGAATACATATACAGTCTTCACAACCCGTAAATCAGGCGCTGAATCGGGAGTCAAGTAATTTCCGACGCGATATAGAGATGCCATACAACGCACCGACCACTTCAATGTCCATAAGCCCGTCATCCAATGCAGTGGCAGCCCTTAATTTAGGTGCTAATCAGGCCACCAATCAGGTCCTCTTCAATTGGCAGGCGAGTAAACCTACTATTAAGGAGAGGATGTCATCAATCTTTAATCGGGAAGTGTTGGCCGACGTGCACTTTATTGTTGGTAAAGGACAACAACAATTACGAACACCGGCTCACAAGTTTGTCTTATCTATTGGAAGTGCTGTATTTGATGCCATGTTTAATGGAGCCATGGCKGCCAAAACTGAAGAGATTGATTTGCCAGATGTAGAACCGGCAGCTTTTCTGGCATTACTTCGCTTCTTATATACAGATGAAGTACAGATTGGACCCGAAACAGTCATGACTACAGTATGAAAAACCATTAATATATATATAATAATAATAAATAATATGTTTTTATAGTTATATACGGCTAAGAAATATGCGGTTCCGGCGCTTGAAAAAGAATGCGTCGATTTTCTTAAATCTAATCTTTCATCAGACAATGCATTTATGCTATTAACTCAGGTATTCATTATATTTACAATTTATATCTTATTATAATTGTATTGAATGTATTTGTATTTGTTTTATCATAAATATGTGATAAATATTTAAATAGGCGCGACTTTTTGATGAAACTCAGTTGGCGGCCATGTGTTTGGAAACAATCGATAAACACACTGTAGAAGCGTTAGCTGCCGAAGGCTTTCTTGACATTGATTTCGACACATTAACTACTGTTCTTGAGAGAGACACTCTCAGAATCCGTGAAGTGGTTTTGTTTAATGCTGTGGTTCGTTGGGCTGAACAGGAGTGTCACCGACAAAATAGTGCTAATAATCCGGACAATCAGCGAAAAACACTATCACGAGCTCTATATTTAATACGATTCCCTTTGATGACAGTCGAGGAATTTGCTGTAGAAGTGGCGCAATCGGGAATTCTTACCGATCGCGAAGTTGTTAGTGATTGTTCAAAATTTGTTTTAAACTCTATTTACTTAGTTTTTAATTTTATTACTGATTTAGGTCTCATTGTTTCTTTACTTTACGGTCAACCCTAAGCCAACAGTCCCTTTTCCAGATGTTCCTCGTTGTTGTATAACAGGTAAAGAACATGTTGTAACCCGATTTCAACGCACAGAAAGTCGTTGGGGTTATAGTGGAACCAGTGATCGGATTCGCTTTCAAGTGGATCGAAGAATTTTTGTCATCGGGTTTGGTCTTTACGGTTCAATACATGGACCTTCTGATTATGACGTGACCATTCAGATTATACATACCGGTTCAGGTAAGGTATTGGCCTCTAATGACACAACATTTAGTTGTGATGGAACTGCAAATACATTTCGAGTGATGTTCAAAACCCCGGTTGAAATTAATCCAAATACCAACTATACGGCCGCCGCAACTCTGAAAGGTTCGGACTCTCATTACGGAACAAATGGCAGTCGAAAAGTGGTGTTTGATTTGACCGGTTCTGTCGGTAAAGTAGTCTTTCAATTTAGTTATGCCGCCGGTTGTAATAATGGTACTTCAGTTGAAGATGGCCAAATACCGGAAATTATATTTTATACATAAATTGTCCATCAATTACCACTAAATATAGATTTGGTTGCAATAAACAAACAACAAATGTTTTAAAGAGTCTTATTATTAATTCCTTAAATTTTATTTATCAAGGATTATAATATACAGTATATATTATATAAATTATAAATACATTTATAATTATATATAATTAATCAAAAATTGCAATTATATTTTTGAAATATACCAGAATAGTCTTTAAAATTATATTAATTGTGATATTATTACTTTATAAACATAATTTAAATTTGTTTTAAAAATAATTTATTAAATGATTATTTTAGATTAATTGTAAATTTATAAATAATTATATTATATATTACATTACTTTAAAAAGCATTAAAAATGTGAATAAAACACACTAAATTTTAATTTGTGTTTTTAATTATTTTTAATTTATTAAACAATTAAAATAGTGCTAATTAAATAAATGGGACTACAAAAGAGTAAACTCAAAGATTAACTATTTGTCATATGATGTATATTATGTTTAATTATATTAATTACATTTGATTTTATTAATAATCTCACGGAAACGTTATAAGTAAAGTATATTTATTATGTAATTTAAGGATTTTATTTAAAATCATTTCATTTATGGTACATGTTTTGGTAACATTTGATTAGTGTCTATATTGATAACAGTATCAATGAACCGATAAATATGAATATTAAAATAAATTTAAAGTTATCTAAATTTTTGTCAGTTTAAAGATTTAAACGATAATTATTTCTTATTTAATATAAGAGAACAATAAAAATATATTATTAGTAAAAATTTTTACTAAATATTTTGTTTTATTTAATATTATATAAAAGTTGCATAACTAAAATATTGCTAAATTCTATTAATATTGAAGGTTAACTAGTTTTTATATACATTATGAATAATTTTAGACATTTTTCTAAATTTGCTTTACTAGTAAAGGCAATGTTTTCATTCAATATATTTATTAATTCAAGGACTTATAGTTATATAATAAATACAAAATTTATTTATTTTTTTTGATTACTAAGTATTAATATTAAATGAACAATATATCTGGTTTTAATTTTAATCATGTTTTAAAAATTAGGGACCGTCTAATAATTAGATATATTAATATCAGTATGTAAATGTAAACAAGGATAATTTAGTTTAAATTATTTTATATTATAAAAATTATAATAAGMTTACAATAATTAATAGAAAGTTGTCTTATTTTATATTATTTAATAAAAGGAAAAAATTATTCTACTGTGTAATACACAGTGTGTATAACAATTTAAATATTAGACTATGATTTATTACATTATTAATATTTTTTACTTATAAAATTCATAGTTTTAAATAATTTTTGTTTATCACAAAATTAATTTTGTTAAACAAATAAATTAATTATAATTAGTGAGTGGAAAATTAATACAAGAATATAATTATACTTATTGACAAATGATAAACTTGTTTCTATAAATTTATAGATTGGATATACAGTATCAATATATTGTCAGTGTTTATCAATTGAATACGATTTTCATAAACATTTAAACAATAAATTGGAAAACTATTGAAAATAACACTAATGTTTAACCAATGAACTCATAATTAATAGTATGATATTCGCAGATATTTTTATCTAACTTTTTTAATATTAATTTTTAATAACTAATAATTAATAGGTAAGTCTGATTTTTAAAATAAATTATTGATTATATTTCTATTAAATTGACTCTAAATTAAACTGATATTACATTCTGATTCATCATTAGAGTATTACAATGGTTACAAATATCTTATAATTTAAAATTTACAAATGAAAACTAAAATTTCTATATTATTTAAAAAATTTATTTGCATTTTTATCAACACTTTTTACTATGTGATGAGTCATTTATATTTATTAATAACTTTTAAATAAAATTAATTAGCATACATTAATACTATAGTATGATTTGATTGATAAAATGTACTGTACATATTTTTGACCAATTACAATACAATTTGAAACTTTTAACGTTAATGATAATTCAACATTTATATATTTTGATAATAATCAACTATTAATATAGTATAGTGTACTACAATTACAATATAGAAATAGTAATAGTAATAGTAATAGAAATTGACTAATTAGTAAAAATAAAATTGAAAAAATTTTTAAAAACTAAAAATTAATAATAATCTAAAGTCTAAAAACTTAAATATAGAAATGTTGTCATTTTTAGTCACATGATAGACATAATAAGGAATTAAATGTACTAAAAATTAATATATTATGAGAAAAATTGAATGAACATTGAATTTAGTTTGACTTCAAAGTTCATTTGAAATTAGTATATAAGACAGTGTTTTGTTTGATTTTTTTCATATCGTCTTTAATTTTTGAGTTCGCACTTCATTTTATATTTTACTCGTCTCTTAAATTATATTTTATTAATATTTTTAATTCAATACAAATTTTATTTGAAATTTTGCGAATAATGGCCAGTAATTCAAGTGTGCTTAAGATGGAAGCCTTAAATAAGTTGTCATCTCTTCCTCTCATCAAATCGGCTATTGGTATAGCAAGTGATGGATATTCACGTTTTAAGGCATATAATGGTCTGATTTCTGCCACACTTTCCAAAGCGGAACAATCATTGCTTTTCGTGGCCACGACTGCTAAACCAATGATCGACAAGTTTGAAAAACCGAGTAATTATGATATAAATTATAATTAAATAATTATATTAATGTATTAAATGTATTTCAGTTACATTTGCCGATAACATTGCCTGTCAAGGAATCGATAAGTTAGAAGAGAAATTGCCGGCAATTAAGAAATCGCCCGAAGAGGTAAATATTTACAACTATTTATATTTGTAACTAATTATATAAAATATTTAAAAAAAATTTCAGATTAAAGACGACACCAAACGTATATTCTCGGGCATTGAGAGTCCAATTGTGAACCGCATTGAAGGGATGAGAAAGTATAGCACCGATACGTTCAATGAAATGAAAGATTACAGTTATAACAAAGTTAATGGTGTTCTCCACTCGTCTTACATCCAAGTCTTCCGCAATTCTATCGATACGGCTATTGAATTGACACACAATGCAGTTGACCACTACTTTCCTCCCGCCGATAACGAACCAAAAGTTGAAACAATTGAAGATCAGACACTTGGAGTCCGAATGTCAAACTTATCCGAAAAAATCCGTCGCCGAGTCTATAACCAGTTAACTAACAAATGGGTCCCAACTGTTTCCAATACAGTCAATACATTGAGAAGCAATTGGTCCAATTGGACTCATCATAATAATGATAAAATACAATAGTTTAAAAAAGTTCATGTATTTTCATTCAAATCTTATTTAAACATTATTTTTTATTATTGCCAATTGATTTTAGGTTTTTTAAATTTCTAATCTGTAATACTTCTCTAATCTTTATAAATGAATAAAGTTTTACTAAATTTTAATAAATTTCAATACTAAATGAAAATAATGCAACAATTTAAACTAAATTTAATTGATAGTACATGATTTGTACTTGTATAACTATAATTTGTAATATTGATAAAACAAATTATAGTTATACATAGTTATAGTACATGATTTGTAATTAAATTTAGTTTAAATTGTTGCATTATTTTTATATATTTATTACCGTATTAATTATTGATAATTTAACTTGAGTTATACAAAACTAATGAATTTTATTTACATTAGAAAAAATTCAGATTAAATTTTATTCAAAAATAAATTAACCAAAAATAAATTTAAATAATATTACAATAATATTGAGAAAAATAAGCGGAACTGAAAAAAGATTTAAAAAGTTTTGAATGAGTGGACAGTTATTTTGATTAAGTGGTTATACCTCTCATAACAGTACGAATCGAGTGAATCATATTAAGCAGTTGTGACTTAACATTGCCTTCCGATTGATGACCATATGTTTGTTGAGCCATATTTAGTGACTTCCGTCCCCAACCAACTGTCCAAACATAACAAATTAATCAATCAATTAGACTATCAATAAGTTTAAACAAATAGTAATTACTTTTGGAGAGAAAGCGGTCTTCATTGAGGACAACGATTGCATTTACTATAAGAAGTCCGGTCTCTAAGAGACTATAGATTGACAAAACCATTTTGATTGATCTAAAACATTACAAATTCAATGAAAATAATATTAAGACTAATACAAGTCACCAAATCTGATCCAATGATGTCATACAATGTGATAAAGTGGTCACAAATGTGTGGTTTGTTTTTCAGACACAATTCAAAAGTGTTTACATTTGAATCACTCATTCAATACATTCAATGCATTGACTAATAAACTTCAATGTTGTTTGTTTGTGAGATACACTAGTGTTGTATTAATCAATAAATACATTCATTGATGACTAGACTTGATGTGAAAAGTTTAGCACTAATTGATAGTATATATGTGTGACTAGTGTTGTGTTGAGTTAGTGTTGAACATACTTTAGTTATAGTCATCTAATGGCGTTTGTCTGCAATTACTTGCCGTCAGTAATCATATTAAATATATTGTCATATTTATCACCGAAAGACCGATTAAGAGCTTCCTCGACATGCAAGACATGGCGACAGTGTTTGTTAGCGCCGTCCCAATGGCCATACAAGAGATTGACTGTTGATTTGTATCGTATTAGTGGTCAAAGCCTTCGACGCAATAGATATCACAACAAAAGCTGTGACGACTCGATAGCCTTGAAGTCATTTCTATACAAATGTTGTCGATTTCTCACTGATCTGACCATCACTTTTGATCCAAACTCGCCATCAAATGTTCATCACTTGATTGGACTCATCGATATCTTATTAGCCAACAATGCGGACCATTTTATCATTACTGACGGCAGTAATGACCAGAACGTCAATAACAATAATACTAATAACAACTATTCAACACTTCTCGACAACCAATGGGTATCCAATAGTCGATGTCTGCGACGATTTACATTAAATCCAATTGCAATCAATAAAACACTGGATTACTTGAACAATGAGAACAACGCGAAGATGTGCCAACTGTTTCAACAATTGGTGCAAAGGTTGGAACAGCTGATAGATAAGTGTGACTTCTTAGAGCACATTTCATTTGGTTGTCTACAACAAGTGCTCAATCACTCGAACCGATTGCTATTGACATTAGCCAAACATCACTCACAATCACTTAAATGTCTTCATTTGTCATCAGTAAAAGCAAATCCCGATTATTATCCCGTTTTTGAGCTATCAATCAATTTATTGGAACCATTTTCTATTCTGAAAGTACTGTCAATTGATTTTGATATAGTAAGCGATCAACTTCTTCAACTAATGGCCAGAAAGACAACAATCGATACATTTATAGTTAACGTTCACGGAATAGATGACGAACACAAGGGTCTCACTAAGTCTTCATGGAGTCTATTGGTTCAAAACAATTGTAACCTCAAAGTGACACTTAATCTCATTCATACAGACGACTCATTGGATGTTTTGCGCGACTCTTTACTCGATACAGACATGCCGTTAGCCCACTTCAGAGCATATTTTGTAGGCATGTTTGGCGCAACTGATAATACAATTTGTCATTTAGTCAACTTAGTAGCCAATAGACACTCGAAGACATTACAATCTATGACTCTTATGACTACTATGAGTGGACCCGCATTGGAACCAAACCCGGTGTTTGCAGACCTTCAGGAGAACCCATTAGTTATGCTCGCGTGGAGATCAAAACAACTACACAGTCTTACCATTATTGGTGAGCTTTAATTACACACTTTATTAAAAATATTAAATTCATATTTTAATGATTTTCATAAATTTAAACACTATTTTTAAATGATATTAATATTAATAGAGAATTTTTATTTAAGGTTATGAAGTATGTGATGCAGACTTGATAGCCATAACCCGATTGAGAGGCACATCACTCAAAAATTTTATGTTTCCGTTATGTTGTATATCATTATTGCATTCTCCCATTGCTGAAGACGAAGGCTATTATGATGACTACTTTGATCGTAGAATTGCCTATTTATTAGACGGAGCGCCACAACACATACAGACCAAAGTGATTGAAGATATCGCCCAACCATTAAACCGTAAGTGGACACCAATGACTTTTGATCAGTTGCCCAATGCTTTAATCAATGGGTGTAATTCATTACAAACTACTTACTTGTCCACTATTTTAAGAGATCAGACTCTTTGTGATGAGTCTCATAACAAAACCTCTGACACTAATTAATAGTGAAGTTTTAGTCGTTTCACTATTAATAATATTGTTGTTATTATTGATGTTGTTGTTAAATATTGATATTTAGTCGTCACTTGTATTTATAGTATTTTATTTTTAACTTTTATTATATTAATTATTATAATAATTATGTTTCTTTTAAATTTGTTTATTTTTTCAATTTATTCATTATATATTTTATTATTGAAAGATTAGGAAAATGTATGTTAAAAAATGGTTAAAAAATCAAGTCGATATCTATGCATATATCAATACAAAAGTTATAGTAAATAAAAATAATACTGCAATTAAATGAATTGAACCAATTATATTAACATACATTGACTAAACTTTCACTTTGATTATTGTAATTATGATAATTGAATTAACCCTTAATTGAATGTTAGCTATGTTTGGGTGAATGGGTGTGTGTTGTCTTCCATCAGATATCAAGCATTAATAATAGGCCCAACTGTTAGTATCTATTTGTTATAATACGAGCGCACACTTATCATGAGATTCTCAAACAAGTTATACTATTATAGTGTAAATGATTATCAAATAATTGTCTCAATTGAAACCATTGCCTATGAACTGAACTGTGATCGATGATGTAGTCATTACAATATACCTGTATTATTGTCAGGCAGACAACCATCGTTTGAAAATATTTTGTTATACAACTATATTATGACATACTGTGTGCTCTCAAGTGATATATTGATAACTCTCCCTCACTTATCCATTGAGATCCAATATATTGAAATATGTATTGATATCTATAATTAGAAATACCATTTAAGTAAATGTCACATCTGTTTAGTTATCCAACAAAAGGAACTAAACATTAAAAGTTGATAATTGTGTATAAATTTAGTTAAATATATTATATAATATATATATATATATTAAAATATTATAATAACGCGAACCAACCAATTGTAACTATTCTGTGATAATATGTCCACAAATTGATAAATTGCTTCATTAAGACCATTATTATCATTGCAGCCGATATAAGGTATCAACAAAAACTGCACGAATTTCTAAAATATCATAACAATAATAATAATAAATACATTCAAATTGTAATAATTATTAATTAGCATAGCTATAGGACTATGTGATGCCATATAAATATATTAAGTTAATAATTGTTTTAAATAATCCTAGTTTATACGTAAATTACTAAATTATATTTAAATCTAACTTAAATGCAAAGGCAGTGCAAGATAACATGCAATTTTACATTGCTATTAATTGTTATTCATATTTTTATTGATTATTTGTTATTATTTATGTAATTTGAGTGCCATTAATAATTGGGAATTATAACTAACCTAAATAATTATAATTTTTTAATAAACTTAAACTTAATGGTGAGATAACGACTACAAATTTTAAATTGAGTTTTCTTGAGCTGACTATTGAGGCACTAAATATCAAATCCATTGCCTTTTCATTTTAGTTGAAGTATTGTATACATTCCTCTGTTATATTTTATATATAATTAAATAAATTATTGTTGTTATACTTTATACTCATTTTAATGGAACCAAACATTTAGTAAATTAGTTAAGAATTCATTTGAATCTCAGGGTGTAATTAATCCCAATTGATATTAATAATCATTAATAAAATATCGTTCAAATTAAGTAGAAAATGTTATTTTTATGAATAATATTTTCATAACAACTTGACTATGAATGTGTTATACAAATCAATTGTAATATACATATTAATATTATAAAACATATGAACTAAAAGCCAATGAAAGCTATTTTAGAAACAAAATATTTATTATAAATGATAAATTAATATTAAAATCAATACAACTATAAGGCTGTGATACAATAAGCAAAAATATAACAAATAAAACGTTAGATTATAACGATTAGATTAATATCAAGCGATTGTATTATAATTAAATTAATAAAAATTTTATACTTGAATTAGTAATCTGGGTTTTGCGCACAACATCTATATATTTATTATTTAATTAACACAAACAATCATTAAAATAATTACACACAAATTACAAACATTAAAATAACATCCATAATAAATAAGTATTTTAAAAACAACAAACAAATTGCAATGCAATTAAAAGTGGGGAGAGATTTATATTAAAATGCTATTAGAATATTGATTAAAAATATTTTTATCACATTTTGAATTAAATGAGATTTTAGGGTCTTTTCAACACATGTTTTGAGTTAATTGTGTTACGATTGAGTCCATCAGATATTTTATTTTCCATATAATTTTATTAAATATATATACTATAATAAATATATTTATATTCTTATTAAAATTCAATATTAATCTATATAAACCATAAAATATATCATATAATAAATATATAGTCGATGTATTCAATGTGCTTTAATTAAATCAATTATTACTTATATTTATTTATCTAAAAATATTCTATATTCTAAGCTCTAAATTATATATAATATTTATTATCATTGAAGTTAAAACAAATATATGTCAATTGTTTGTTTAATAAGTTTTATTTATTAATAGTTACAAATATTTTTATTATTTTAAAACCTGTTAGATATAAAATTGTTTTTTAATGCATTCCCTAAAGAATAATAATTTTATTAAATATTTGTTATACTATATGGTAGTTGTCTAAACAAATCAGTTGATAGATATTTAATAACTATTGTTATATTGTTTTAACTTCAATTATAAATATATATTATATATTTGTTATATATATTTGTTAGTATATATCTAATATTGGACTTTATTTTAATCTTGTTTTATTTAATACATTGCTTTAATCAATTGATTTTTTTTGAGCAATAAATTTCAATAATTGTTGTTTATTATTGTAATTATATAAATAATAAATGTTTTAAAGCTTCAAACTAAATAAAATAAATAACATCTACGGTTATGTATTACTAGTCAATCATAATTGAATTAATATCATATTGTTGTTAAATATCATTGTAAATGTTATCGATATAATAATTTAAATCATTTGTAAATTACTGATTGTAATGCATGTGTTAATAACTATATTAATTAAAAACAGTTATCAATGAATAAAAAGAAATAAAGTTTAGAAGCTTTTAAACAAATTAATAAAAGTTTTATTCAATTATTAATAAAATTTATAAATATAGAAACGGATTAAATAAATATTTCAATAATAAGTGAATTTAATTGCAATTCATTAGTCAGTGACTGTCGGAACAGTTGCGAGTGTTGCCAACCATTTTTACCGACGCCTCCCTCGAGAATAGTCTCCAAAATGAGTTCATTCTCTATCACAGCAAATGGTAATTCACTTTTCTTAACAATATTTTCATTGTTTGCCGTAATCTCAATGAATGTGTCCTTTGTTTTTGAATATAAAAACAACAGAATTCTTCCGTTTTCAAAGACTTTGCATCTGAAAGTGATCCGCATTTCAGACCAATCGAAATCATCATTGAAACGCAATTTCCAACTGATTTTACCGACTTTGTTATCACTCGGTGACCAATCATTTGTCTCAATACGTGACAAATAACACATTTTCCAATCTTTTTCCACTTTTCTCATAATATTTTCACAATCAAAGACACACTTTTTCCACGACTTAACTATCTTTGCGTTAAATTTGTATTCATCTGCAGAACAGTTATATGTTATTAGCGTTGGATTAATGGATGGATCAGTCAATTCAAACACAAAATGGTCGCTTAACTGTTGTTCAGTTATCTCTTGTCGCGCCAAACGCCAGGCCTGTGAACCCGATTGTCTTCCTTTTGCTTCTGTTTGATTGACATTGTTTTGTTGATTGGGAACTCTAAGAAACTCAACAAACTCTAGAAGTCGTCTTAATTTTAATTGTTCTCTTTGTGGTGATGTGAGTCCGAGTTGTAAATTATTAGTGACTTTATTGAGTACATTAGATAGCCATTCCTCACGACATGAGAGAGCTCTTCTAAGTCTAATAGCCGAGTGGTCGTTGCTGTATCTCCACGACACGTCTTGGACCTCATTATAAGCAAAAGCAATACAAAAAGTTAGCGTCTTTTTCCAACCGCACTCATAAACAAGCGGTGAATCGCATATGTCTTCACAAGGATCACAATGAAGCCATCGTTTCTGTGCATTGCTGTACACTTCAGTCCACACGTGATCAGTCCAGTCCACTACAAGACGTGCCTCATAGTTGAGTGCCCGACATATTAATGTGAAACAGTTGGCCCATTCACCGCAACGTCCCTTTCGGGTGATCAACAATTTCTCGGGATTATTATAGCGCGGAAAACGGTATGTCTGTCCACAATCGGAACAGTTGTATAACTCGACAGTCATAGCATTCCAAAACAATTCTTCAGTATTTGGTGTGATTGATGAAGAAGTCATTGTTTTATTGCATTTATCACAAACCGCTGAATCAAACCATTCAAAGAACTCATTCTTAAACCAATGAATTAAATCTATAAGAAGTAGATCTTTACTATCAGTTCCAATGTCTTTGTCATCACAATTAATAGATTGTTTTAATTGAATCATTTTGTTGATGGCATTGATGGTCAACTGTTTCCAGGGAACCACATCTCTGACCAATTCTTGAACCCTCACGTCTTCATAAAACTTGACTAAATTCAGGTAAGACTTGATTTTGGCGAAGAATTGCTGTTCCGAGTCATTCACTGGCATTAGGTTTGTATCACTTCTCAGAAAAGTCGGAATAATTGACATCTTCTTCAATGAAATCTGTGTCTAATTGTCGACAATATATTTGAAACTATTTATAGTTATAATAACAATGTATTCAATGAATAATAATAAATAATTTATAGGAAAATAATATTAAAAATATATAAGAAATCATTGAATAATTGAATAACTGTTTAATCAATCAATTAATTAAAATTCATATTTCATTAAAGTATTGAAATTCATATCAAAACAAATATACAGAAAATTAAGTGAAAGAATGAGAGACCTCTTGTGGTATAAAATAAGACGACTTTTGTCGCCATTTATTAGTTGTTATCATATATTGAATGAATTGATTGATTTGTCACACAATTTACCGATTCATACAACGCGACCATTGATTGACCGATAGTGACCACAACATGTCGGCCACCGAACAGATGAGAGCGATGTTGGATCAGCTGATGGGCACTTCAAGAGAAGGAGGTTTGTTAAACCAACAGATTATTAGTTAATTAATTACTCATTTGATTGTCGATCTGCAGGTGAGGCTAAACATCGCTATCACTTCACTGACCATCGCGTTTGCAAAAGTTTCCTTTTGGACTGTTGTCCGCACGACATATTGGCCTCAACGGTAAGTTTTGATTTGATTGATTGATAATAACTCAGTTTGTTTATAATCAGCGCATGGATTTGGGTGAGTGTCCCCGATATCATGACCTGGCCTTGAGAGCCGACTACGAGAAAGCGTTCAAACTTAAGGACTACGGATATGAAGTGGATGTAAGTATTGATTGATTTATTACAGTCTTTAAAACTACATTTTAGACGACATTTGAGACATTGATTGAGTTATTAGTTATCGGAGTCTCGTCTGATTTGAGTACCAATTGATCCGATGGTAAGTCTTTTGATCTCAGATGACGAGCTCTGAACAACCTTTTAATTGACACAAAAATTAGTTACAAAATATGAATATAATTAATATATAAATAATAAATGTCTGGACATTGAATGCAAACAATAAGTAAAACAAATCGTATTTTCCTCTTCTCTTGATATCAAATATCAAAAGGTCTTTGGATTAGATAATGAATGTTTAAATTGAATGAAAGAGACAAAACTTATTGTCAGCGAAATAAGTACTTCCAGTACTTATAAGAAAACTTGTGTCCACTCCTTGTTTGTGAGTAGTATTAAATCAATTATCAAATCAAACAATGAGTCCTTTTTTCATATATAATGCTATTATCAATATATTGACCATCAATACAGTTATTGCTGACACATATAAAGAGTGACCATAATCTCAGACCAATTATCATATCTATGGTTGAGTTGAGTTTGAACTAAAGGTAATGTATTGAATGTGATTTGAAGACTTGGTTTGTGGTAATGTATTAAACCATTAAATTGTTAACAATTCTTACTGTAAATTATATATATATTTTGTTTTTAATGTAATTTATATAAAATACTATATATTATAAAATAAATAAATTTATGTTTTGGCAGTAATTATAGATATATTTAGTCTACAATTATCTTTAAAACTTTTCTCTTTAACTTTTTTGTTTTTAAGATAAAAAATTATTTATATATTGAAAATTACAATTTGTGGTTAGACTCGAACTGTCTATATATATATATAATATTTATTGCATGTGTTAAAGCTTTATAATTAAGTGATTATGAAGTAAATTAGTTAATTGCTGTGAATGAATATAATAGGCTTTTCAGCACTTGGAGTCATTTGTGGCCGAAGCCGACAAAAAGACTGAAGCGGCGAAAAAGAGATTGGCTGAGACTCAGGAGGAATTGAGTACTGAAGTCGGAGCTAAAGTATGTTTTAATTTTATGATGAGTTGATTTATTTTTTGTAAAAATTATTGATTTTGTTTATTATAGTTAAATAAAGTTCATGATTTAGCCGAACAAATTGGTAAGAAATTGGCGGCTGCAGAGAAAGCAGGTGCAGATGGAAATGTGGAGGAATCGCTCAAATTGATGGAAGAAGTGGAAAAAATTAAGAGAGAAAAGAGTTTGGCTGAAATTGAATACAGAAATTCAATGCCGGCATCCAGTTATCAACAACAAAAACTTAGGGTATGTGAGGTCTGTTCAGCTTATCTGGGAATTCATGACAATGACAGACGTTTGGCCGATCATTTCGGTGGAAAATTGCATTTGGGTTTTATTACAATGTAAGTGATTGTGTCATTGAATTTAATTATTTTGTTAATTCTTGTAATTATTTTATTTATTAACTTTAGTCGCGAAAGACTTGAGGAATTGAGAGTAAGTTGTTATTTAAAACAACAGTTATTACAAACTGACAAAAATATTGTATTTATTAGCAAATTGTAAGTGAAAGGAAAAATCGCGAACCAGTTGAGGACAGAAACGATGATTACGATAACAGATACGGTGAACGTTACAATCGGAACCGCGATAGAGATAGAGAGAGAGATAGGGAAAGAGATAGAGGAGATAGAGATAGAGGAGACAGGGATAGGGATAATAGAGAGAGGGATCGTTATGATGATAGACGTCGTAGAAGAAGTCGCTCACGGTTTGTAATTATTTTGATGATAATATTAATTTTATAATAATGTAAAAATATTTATTTTTTTTTTATTTTCTAATCATATATCAGATCCCGAGAGCGCACTCAAAATAGTCATCGAAGACGTCGTTCAAGATCTCGATCTCCGGGCCATCACTCGCGCGACCGACGATCGAGATCGCGATCGCGTGATAGAAATGATCGACGGGAGAGAAACAGAGACATCTTGACATCGACTGAGCGGTAAAAACGATTCATTAATTAGTGATTAATTGATTTATATCTTAAATGCAACGAGTTTTGCAATTTGTTCTACAATTCATTTTGTATTATCACTTATTACTAAAAATAATTTTTCATTCAACTAAATTGAATTATTGTTTATTTTCCAAAAAATTGTATTAATATTATTTGAAATAATAAAATATTTTTCACATTATATTAATTGATTTGCATTTAATTTTTATCTAAATATTTTGGTAATGAAATAATATATGAAGAATATTCAGTAAATTATAGTAATTTTATTGATAGGTCTTTGTTTTTACAATGAATTAATTGAATCACAACAATATAATTATTTATCATAATTAATAAATTTGTTACCCTTTTTTAAAAAAATTATTTTAAATGTTTATTAATTATTCCTGAATTTATCACTATTATTATATCAATTTTTATTTTTAGTTTTTAAGATTTAATTTTCAATTTGTGTCACTTTACTTGTCAATATTAATATTTAACAATTTATACAATAACATGAAAAGTATAATAATTTGTAAAATTTTCATTTTCAACAATTTTAAATTAATTTCTAATATTTAAATTTATAAAATATAAAATATAAAAATACATTTACAAATTTATCACGCATCAATAAAAAGCACAATATTTAATGTTAACTTATAGTAATTTAATAAAAATATCTAATTTTTAAATTAGTAATTGTATAAAAAAAATAAAATATGTTAATGCATTTAACAAGTGAAAATCAGATGATAGTTTCATAAATATTTTGGACCCAAATTTAAGCAAAAAAACAACTCAATTATAAATTGTTTAAATAATAAAAAGTTGTTTTTAGTCCACATGTATGTAATATACAGTTGATATAGTACTGTATATTAGATAACATAGTAATAATGTATTGATAGTATTGTACATTACTTTTATAAATAATGATATGTCGAGTAATACTCTTTAATAACAAAGAATTAGTTTTATAAATGAAATTATGTTTAAAAATAATTCAATATTTTTTTAACAATATTATAATCGAGTCGTTGAACAAATTGAATCTCTCTTTCCGTTTGAGTCATTATTTTTAGTTAACTTGATTTCAGATTCATATGTTAGACTCTGTCTCTCTATAATTACCTAAAGTAATGTTATTAATAAAAGTTAATATTTTTTTATAAATTGTTTATAACTTACTATCTGTTGTTTCTCTGGCAAATACTTTGTCGACCATATCTTCCAAACTAATGGCGACAATAACTTCGGATTTATTTTTGATGCCTCTGAATACCCGCCTTAATGCCAAATAAAACTAATTGTTTTAATGTAATTAAAATTATTTAATATAATGAATGATAACCTGATAATAGACTAGCAATGGCTCCAACAGAAACACTTATAACAAAACCAGAAACAGGAACTAATAGATAAGCGATGTGATAGAGACTCAGTAGACCTTCCGATTGAACCAATGGTTCTCTTGTTATTAATGTTATATTCTGTAACATATCTTTGGGACAGTTGGTCACCGATGTCTCCATAAAATGCTGTCCTTTAGGATATAGAAGAGATCCAACCAAAACCCAAATCCCGAACAATTCTCCAGTAAAAAGTCCGCAAAGAACTCCCTATTTGATTATAAAATGATAAATTAATATTTATTTCAATTATAAAAACAACAATTATTGTAATCTATCAAAAAATATTTTTTTCTGCACATTAATAAATAAATTTCAATAATAGCTAAAATATGATTGTATTTATTTGATACAAAAGTGATTAATTACACAATTTGTATATTATTGTAATTGATAATTTTTAATTAATTTCAAATAACTGTTCAAAATTTTTATACATAAAAATAGTTACCGGTAGTCAGCAATTATCTAAACAATCATAAAATGACAATTATAATAGTATTCAATTTTGTATTATCAATAACTTTGTTCTGGATCACTTTTGTATTCAATGTACTTTTGACTTTATAATAATTATTGTAATAAATACTATCATCGATCAATTGCTGGCAATAAAAAAATATCGCCGCTATTTACCTTAGTTTGAGACTCTCTCTCTCTCTCTCTCTTTTTTATTAGCACAACTATTACTGTTAATATCTATTTTAATTAAATTCAATAAACAATTAATAAAGATATGAATATACTTACAAAAGTGTTGGCAAATGGGAATAACACTCCTAAAAGAAAGAGTCCAAACATTGGGCCAACCAATGCACCCGCTATTGAAATGGCAGCCTATTTCATAAAACATAAATTTATATTTGTTTGAATTGTAAAATATATAATTAAAATTTAAAAAAATATAAGACCTGTAAGACACTGTCAATACTGCTGACAACAAATGCCATACAAATAGCAATGAGTCCGTAACTGAATGCAAGAGCTCTGCTTATTCTTCTTGAGTTCACTTCTGACTGTCTTTGAATCCATGGATATCGACACAAGAAGTCATCGTAAGTGACGGCAGATAAGGCATTAAAACCCGACGATAGAGTGCTGAGCGATGCACTAAAAACACAGGCAACAAACAGACCGGGCATTCCTGGCATTATTGTCAACTGATCCATCACGAAGTATGGCATCAACTATTGATAGTTGGAATTAGTTATGACTACAATAGTTAAAGGATAACTGTGTCGATATACCTGATCGGTCTTTTTAATGAGTCCTAAAGTCAATGGATCGCAATCACTATAGTAAGCAAATATAGAAATACCACAGAGACAGGCACAGCTGATCAGTAATACCATTCCTATGAGATTCACATATAGAGATCTATTAACAAATAATATAATAAAAGTTTTACTATTTATTATATATATATATACAGAATATTCATAAAAAATGATTAAAAAATGATTGACAAACAGCTTAGCCTTTGCTTGAGACTCAACATTACAATATCGTTGTACTTCCGTCTGACTCGTGGCATAATTGCCGGACCACATGATACCCATACCAAACACCGCATTCCAGAAAGTAGATGTCGAGTACGGATCGATCTGAAAGCTATTGAAACCAATTTTCATTACAATATTATCATAACATTCAATCAAATATTTAATACTTAAAGAATTGAATTCTTCCCTTTTGATTGGCTATTCTGAATGCCTGTTCTACACCACCGACCAAATAAAATGCCTATTATTTTAAATATTTTATTTGTAATCTAATTAGTATTTAATGATTTATTGATTATATTATAACATATATATTAATAATTATGTGATTCTAGTATATGATAGAAATAGATCTTACAAATAACTATAAATTTAATAGAACTATATTTTAAAAAAAATTTTGTTAATACAGTATTTTATATAATACTTCAAATTTTAAATGTATAAATCAGCATTTATTTCATAATAATAAGGCTACTAAAAAATTAAAAACAACAATAATTTTTATACTATATATCGTCTGGTTTTTAATTTGTTTTAAATTATAAAATTTTGTATAAAAATTATATAAAAATTATATAAAAAATAATTGTTAAACGCTAATGAATGCAATGAAACGATACGAATAAAACTTTTTGATACATTTTTAACTTATTCTGTATAATCATTGATTGTCTGTTTAGTTTACACTATCAGATGTTTTATATCCAAAACATATTTTATATTTTTCTACAAAAACAGACTCTGACCTCAATTCTTGAATAATAACAAAAACTAATGGTACAGAAATCAAAATATAATAATTGTATTCAATATTTTTATTATCAAATACATGACAACTAAATCTAATATCTAATATATATTTTTAATTATTTTATGGGAGCAATAATTTGTTAAAATCATATAATATATTACCCGAATCATTACAACGATGAGTCCGCCAAACATTAGGAATACCTGAACCAAATCAGTCCAAACAACGGCACGAATTCCTCCCTTTATTCATCAAAATTTATTATTCAAAACTAATATTAATATTATAGTAATTATTCTTTAATAAATTAAGTGTTCATTTTTTAAATTCATATACATTTATATTGAATATATAATATTATATAATTAATTTGTAAATCTTACAATTGATGTATAAAGAGTACAAATTCCTCCAATTATGAGCACAGATGTTGAAACATTTAAAGGAGTTACTAAAAGAAAAATATTTAAATAACTATTTCATTAAAATTAGCAACATTTTTGTATTTTAAAAATATCTAAAATAAATAAATTTATCAAATTTATGTCTATTATCCAATTATTTTAATTAAAATTAAACTAAAAATTAAAACTAAAAGCTAAATTAAAAATATCAGATATTGGTTTAAACTAAATATAATATATTTATTTAAAAAATTCAAGATATGAGTAATAAAAATAGGATAAAATAGAGTTCAGTAAATATAATGAGATTTAAATAAAAATTGAATGTTTTGAGGATAAATGGTGTTTAATAGTAAAATCTAACTTTTTTGCTATTAATATTATTTGTACTGTAAATTTATTTATCAAATTTAATATTTAATAAATATTTAATCAGAATTGTTATGCAATGCAAAATAAAATTAATTTTTGACAATTAAAATCAATGTAATATTATATGTCAAATAAAATATTAGATGAAAATACCTGATGCCAGTGCTAGTGCGGGTCCATATAAGACAACACCCATATATGGAATGGTACACAATAGGAATGACATGGAAACAGCTAACCGTACCTTTTCATTGCCAAATCTTTCCTCCAAATACTATAATAATAATAATAATAATTATTATATTTAAAAATTTATAAATGATTTGTGTAATGATAATAAAACAATAAAAAATGTTTTTGTTTATCTAATTACTGTATGATAGCAATGTTAAGTTTAACTTACTTTATTAACACTTGTAAATTGTAAATTATAATAAATAGGAAGAAATATTTCCGCCGCTATTATGGAGGCCATCGCTCCCGACAATACAACTGCCCTTCAAATATAAGTTCAATATTTACATTATATGCGCTTTTTTTGTATTTTATAATTAAAAATAAATACCAAAATTGTGTTCCTCTATAAAACATTTCTGCGGGATATCCGAGAATAGTGACAGAGCTCTGAAAGCTGGCCAACAAAGACATCGCCACCGGAAACATAGACAACGATTTGTTGGCCGTAAGGAACTCCTTATTCGATGCATTCTTCTTCTGTTTATTTCAGATCATTCATTAGTTTTACTATTTTTTAGATTTTTAATTATTTTTTATATAAATTTATTTTATTAATTTAACTAATATTACACATATACACAATTTATAAGTATAATAATATTATTATACGGTATATATATATATATTATAATACAGCTAAGATTATTTAATCAGTTTGAATATTAATATTTATAAAAAAATCATAAATTTTAAAAATATTATTAACAATATCTATAATCTTTATTGTGTTAAATAAATATTTATATAAATTGAAATGAAAACTTTTATTACGCAATAAATTATATATATATTATTAATCGTGATACTATAGTGTAGTATATAACATAAATTTATAACAACTGATTATAAATTATAATATTTCAATATTTAAGTGCATTATTCAAGTTTGTATACACATTATACTGTATTAATACTATTGTACTATACTATAGAACTATTGAATATATATGCAATATAATTAATGAAAATTAAATTACATTATTTAACAAATTAGTAAAACATTATTAAATGAAGTATATAATTAATTTTAGTAATTAAGAATATTTCAAATATTTGTTTCATATTAATATAAAATAACAATTAAACAATCTATAATAATAAGTTAATCCCTATTAATAGGTCAATCAATTTAGATCAGTTGTTAATCCGATTTAAAGTTTCTTTATAGAAGGTAAAAATAATTTATTTTATTTCAAGTACATATGGATATTATATTTATTATCAATAAATATATAAACAGTAAATATTTATATAACGTACTGTAATTATATAATTTATATCTAACTTATTATATAAAGTTTAAAAATTTGATTACATAATATTGAAAAATTAATTTTTAGAAATAAGAATATAATGTCTATGATGTTTAAAATGCACAAAATTAAAGTCAAAAATCAATAAATCATATACCGGTATAATATTTAAGACTTAAAATATACTTTATATTAAATTACGATAATAATCTTAATGTTGCGTTTTGAAAATTACAATTTTATAGTCAAAAATAATACCATGATATCAATTTATATTCAATAAAAAATAATTTAAAGTGTTAATGTATAATTTATTTAAAAATTAATTTTAGATTTATATACTAAATAATATGAATAATTAGTAAAATTTGAGTTATATTATAAAAATTATAAATTAACTCAACTAACATTTATAACAAATAAGAATTTTAAATTTAATCTTAATCTAAATTAACAATAAAATTAAATATTTCACTATTTAATGAAATTATTTAACAATTGTTTATTTTAATCACGTGAACTGCAATTATAGATTTAAAAAATATCTTATAATTAAAAAAATATTAATTAAATCATACCTTAAATGCATAATACACTCCAATAGCTGTGGATATACAGAGCATAGCAGCAAAAACACTATAATCAGCTAAACTAAAATTGTTTTCAATTTGATCGACTGTTTTCATATTGAATACCATTTTGTCATCAATTCATGAGTTAATTAACTTAATTATCAATATATATAAATTTAAATTTAAAAAATGGTTATTTACACATAAATATAATTACAAAAATATATGACTATTTAATGGATGATGTGATGCGTTCAAGTGATGCTGTAATCCTTAACTCATTGAATCAACACATGAATTGGTGAGTATGTGTGTCAGTGTCTGTGCACAGGGAGACTGTGTTATACAGATAGGTATGAAATGTTTAATTGACGCAACTATAAGGACAGTTGTGTTGTATTGATATATCAATGAAGTTAGTCTTCATAAGTCATGCGTCTATTTCAATGACATTACTATTATATAAAAATACAGTACATATTATGTATCATACATACAGTAAGTATTATAATATATTGAAATTCACATTCATTGCCATTAAACTAGTGCTGACTTCAAACGATTTTATCAATTGTTAAATTTATTGTCAATTAAATTATGTATACAATTGTGTTCAAAATAATTAAAATACTAAATCAATATATGAATGATTGATTAATACATCATAAAATACGCCACAATTTTTGATTGTAATAAAACAATGCATATAAGATTTACTACTAGTTTAACACACATTTGTTGAATATTCAGGTTATATGTTAATATCAAAAGTACTGTATTATCACAAATTAATTACTAAATAATACACTTTTATGATAAACTCAGGGAAAGTTACCACTTTTAATGACCTCTTATATTATTTTAACAAAGATTTTATTATATTTATTAATTATTAATCGTAAAATATTTTCTTTTTTATTTTGTTTTATTAAATAATTATTATTTTTATTAATAATTGGTTTGGTTATTGGCTATTATTTTGTTTTCAATTTGCATATTATAATACAATATACTAAACCAAATACATCTTTAAGTATTAGATTATTTAAGTAAAAAATTCAATTATTTTAATAAAAATATATTATTTAATTAATTAAAATTTTATTATTTTTAAAGCACAAGTTTAAAATTACATTATCATATCAAAAATATTTTTAGTGAAAATATTGATTTAATGATGAATGTGTGCTAAATTCATATTTGTTTTAATTGTAGATTATATTGCAATTTATTTCTAGAATTATATTAATATCTATAAATTTTATTTATTATTAACACATAAATTATTTTTTACATAATTAAGTAAATTATATACTATAATATAGCGATCAATTATTTTATATTGAAAACATAGATAAACATAGTATTTCTATTAATATAATAAATAAAAATTCAAATTTTGATTGATATATTATAAATTAATATTTTGTATTTAATATTATACGAAATAATTTTTCTATTTAAATGTTTGCAAAAATATCGTTATAATATTAGCATTGTATTAACATTGATGTGATATTTTGAATATATACACTGTATATACAGTATACTCTATATAAATAGCATTACTGTCAAACAAAAGATATTTACCATTATTTTAATTGTAAAGATATTTTAAAATTAACGGTATTTTTATTTAAAATACTCAGAATTAATTCATTAAAAGTTACTTAAAAATAATTTTAGTAAATATCATATAAATTTATTTATAATATAAAATTATATATAATTTAACAAATATGTAGTTTTCCATTAAAAAATATGCTTTAAATAAATTTAATTCTTTAAAATTATACGTTTTAGATAAAAATGTTATTTATTTAAATTATATTTACAAAACATATGTTTCAAAAAATAATATATTTAATAAAATGCACATTATTTTATATAATACTTTTATTTTTAAAAATACAGAATTATCTGTAATGTATTATATTTTTATTAAAATATATTATTAATATGATCATGGTAGTATTTTATTATGTAAACTGTAAATAACAAAATATATATACAATATGTTTAATTTAAAAGAGTAGTCAATTAATCATTGAGTTATTCATAAAGTTTTATAAATATATTGTACTTTCAAACCGTTAATAAAAAAAAGTTTAATGTTTAAAATGAAAAATTTAAGATAAACTTTATTGAATTTATTATAATAAATGAAATATTGCTAAAAGAGATTATTAAACGCACATTCATGTTATATATCAATAGTAAAACATTATAAAAATATTTATCCAAAAAAAAAACAATTTTTCTTATATTTCCCGATATCCGTCAAACAACTTATTCATAAATTTTCAAAAATGTCATAACTTTATAGTCATAAATCACAACTCATTTATTTAATAAGCCATTCAATGAATTATTCAAAATCATATTTAATGGGATTTATGTCTAAAGGTTTAGACTATAGAATAAAAATTACTAAAAATAATCAGTAATTTTATTTCACATTTTATATAAAATCTATTTTATGACTTTTAGGACTGTATTACATCTAAAATTACAATTATTGTGAAATTACTAAATTTTAATTGATGTGTATATGTTTGATGATTATTTTAATTTGTAATTAGGATCTATATATTAGTATAATTTTTAAAATAAATTCAAATTGGGAATCATTTAGTAATTTTGTTATATTAATTTTACTGATTATTATAAATTTAAAATATTAATCTAATTTTAAGTAACTTTTAATCCATGATTTAATATCTAATAAATGTTTTCAATTAAATTAATCATTAGATTTGATATTAAAATCCCGTAATTTATGATTCAATATATTGTGTAAAACATGTGATTCACACAACACTTGCATTTCATAACACATTTGATTTTAATTTAGTGTTTGATTAAACTGATCATCAATTTGTTAGCAAACAAGACATGTCTTTATCAACTGATCCACAGGTGATTCACGCGAAACCAGTGACCGAACGAAAGCGTATTATAGGATCTGTGAACAAGAATCAGATCCCGAGCGACATATTGGACAACAAAGAGCTGAACCACTCGATCGCCACAAGACTTCCCAATAATTATAACTTTGAATTTCATAAAATCATTTGGAGGTTAAAGACATGTAATGCTCGGAGGGTTGGTCTCCAGTTTCCCGAAGGACTCTTTGTCTTTGCCATCACTATTGCCGATATCATTGAGCACTTTGCCGAAGTGGATGTCATCATAATGGGTGGTATGTTTTAAGACAACTTATTTAGCATTAATTGGTCTCTAATTGTCTTACTTTGTAACAGACGTGACATACGGCGCGTGTTGTGTTGAAGACTTGATGGCCGATGCCATGGACTGTGACTTTATCGTACATTTTGGTCACTCGTGTCTCATTCCGGTCAACCAAATGGTTAATAATATCAAAGTTTTGTATGTCTTTGTTGACATCAAAATAGATTTATGGCATTTGATTGAAACGATTAAAACTAATTTCAATCCACAAACTCATTACTTGTCGATCTCTGGAACCGTTCAGTTTGTCTCATCAATACATTCGGCGTCAAAAGAGTTGCGTCAAAGACATGGTTTTCAAGTGTTAGCACCACAAGCAAAGCCTTTATCACCGGGAGAAGTGTTAGGATGTACTGCACCACAATTACCACAAGAAGTTAATACAATTATATTTGTTGCCGACGGAAGGTTTCATTTGGAAGCACTAATGATTGCCAATCCATCAGTGAATGCATTTAAATACAATCCTTATAACAAAGAGATTACACAAGAGTTTTATGACTTCAATAAAATGATGTCTTATCGCAAAAATGCCATAAATTCAGCCACAAAAGTGTGTACCGATTCGGGTGTATTTGGTATCATATTGGGAACATTGGGACGACAGGGAAATCCTAAAGTACTAGAAAATCTTAAGTCAAATATTTGTAAATTTTCAAAATGTCAAACAATAAGTGTTTTATTACCCGAAATAAGACCCGAAGTTTTGGGTATGTTTACTAAAGTGGACGCTTGGGTTCAAATAGCTTGTCCTCGACTTAGCATCGATTGGGGCAATAATTTCACACATAAACCTCTTTTAACACCTTTTGAATTGAATGTCACCTTAAATACAGTTACGAAGGAATTTATAAGTTTGAAGAGTAAGTATGCGATGGACTTCTATGAAACCAATTCATCCGGAAATTGGACACCAAATCATAAGTGCAATCAAAACTGTTGTTGTAATGAAAATAATAAATAATATTTTTCTGTATTTCTTAATTGTATATATTATTAATTTTAATTGTTATAATAAATGTTAAAAAGTTATATTTGAAATTTAATTTGTTATTATTGATTACAGTAAATATTAAACAATTCTTTAATTGCTAAGAAAACAATAATTAATATTTTCAAGTATTTTAATATTACTAATAAGATATATAAATATTTAAATAGAAATATGGATATAGTGTTGATTTATGATCTCATTACTAGTATATTAATTTTAATATACAGTATAATACAGTATTTAAATCAATTTTCTATAGTTATTATTTGCGTTGCATTACCGTTAACTATTGATTAATTCCTCGTATGGAGATATGTAAGTCATGGTTAATAATGCGAGTTTTTAACCATATGAACAAATATTTTATGACTAAATTTTAATTTGCCACTTGTTTTATACATTTTCAACTTTTACCACCCCTTGTATTCAGACGTCTCAAATAGTTCCAAACCCTTGGAATATGCTATCTATTTACTGATTTATATTATTTAAAAATACTGTAAAAGTATACAATTATGTCATTTATTGGTTAAACACTGTTATAACTAATTAATTACAGGTAATATTTATCTAAATATACCGTTTTTAATAGACTATTGTTAAATATACATTACAGTTCTCCATCCCCCATTTTTGCTTTCCCCATACCCTCATTTAATTTACCAAGGGTGGTAAAAAATGCCAGTTTTTACCGAATGAAAATGTTTTTTTTTGATATTTTTATGAATTTCATGCGGGGAATTAAGCAAAGAAATACGGTAATATAATATCTGTCAATTGAAAAGTAAAGATATTCTTGAATATTCAATAATAATAACATAAATAAGTTATTTAAAAATAACATCAATTTGTAATTTTGATATTTTGTATATGTGTGTATGTATGTGTATGTGTGTGTATGTGTGTGATTATATCTATTTAAACTAATAATTTAAAGTACTACAGTATGTATCAAATTTGTTTGTTATCCTTATAAAGATCATTGATCTCATTGTTAGATGAGTTTATTAAGTTGAAAATATTTCAATATATCATTGATCTTCAATTGCATTTTGTTTTGTTTTTCAATAATAATAATATAGTATAATTGATATACGATACAAAAAAATATACAAAAATAAATATTAAAAATTTTATATTAAAGCTATAATATAACATAAATATTAAAAATTTTATTATACAGTAATTTGTGTAATAAATTTTAATAAATAATTAAATATGTCAATTTCGATAAAAAATATTGATAACTTTTTATGAGATTAATTAAATAATATACAAATTTATTTTAAAAGTATGATAAATATGTTATCTTAAATAATAAATATATATATATATTAATATATGTTATATATATTATATACTGTAGTATATTCAGGCGCTTTCTGTGCAATTAAACTACAAATAACAGGATTTAAAGTTGTTTTTGTTAATAAAACTTCTTTAAAGACGGTTTAATCGAAAATATTTACAAATTTAATTATAATTTATTGGAAATTACAATAATTTAATGCAATTATCCCTATTTTACTGCCTAAATATAGTGGCAATTATATTGAATCAATGTTGCAAATTATTAATAATTAAGTAATATTAACTCTCCTATTAAGTCACGTTTTGTTGGTTTATAATGATATCATAAGTTATAATTGAAGATATCATTGTTAAATAATATATTTAATTTTTGATAAGTTTTTAATGAGAAATGCAAAAAAAAGATTTTATAGTTATTAATTGTAAGAAATATCCTCAAAGTTTAAATACAGTATATGTATAATATTTATGGTATATATAATGGTATTAAAATAAGTATTAATACCAGTGTTGGCAGAGACAAAGTGTATGTATAATACAAAGCGTATTATATAGTATAATACAATGTAAATTACATGACAATTTTAGTTTACAAAAAAATTAGCACCACCTAATAACAAAAATACTAAGATTCACAATTAACACATGTTTTGTAATAATTATTTTTTTTATAATTTTGAAAATTTTTTTAATTAGCTATTCAATTTAATTCTGGGATCGAAATTATTCAAATATATTAATAAAATAATTAATATTAATTTTTAATAGTTTTAGAAAACAACGATTCTAATAACGATATTGAAATTATGTAATAATAATAATTTTAATAAAAAATAAATATTTTATCATTGTTTATATAATTTTTCTAAAATTGTAAAATACATCCAGTACATTGTATTTTTCCAACCCTGATTAATACTGTAAACATCACATAATTAATCTCTTATTTGAACTCTCATATATTTAAAATCTTTATAATGGTTTTTTAAAAGTTAACAAAAATGAAAAAAATATTAAGTTTGTAGTTTATAACCTAATAAAAAGCGACATAAATTTTAATGTCAAATGAAATAAAAGATAGATTTATTAAATAAATTGAATCAATAAATTACTTAATAATTGTGTAAATATTGCTTAAAATAATAATATACAGTATATAATATAAACAATACATATATCATAATATATAACATTATTATAATAAACAATAGATTATTTATGCATAAAAAATATTTACATTTTTATATATCATTATTTAAATCATGTTTTGTTTACTCATATTAATAAGTCGTGTTAATAATAATAATTTATTTCCAATACTTATAATATACTTTATACTGTATTATATAATATTGCTTATTTTATTAAATAATTTTGTTGATAAAATCATTAATTATAACATTTTTACTTATTTTTGTTTGTTTGCATTTAGATATACAGTAATTTCAAAATTTATATTTGAATTTTGTAGACACAGTATTATATTTGCCAAAGGCTTCAAATGTTACTTAAATATTCACAGAGTGTCTGCTAATACAGTATCACTAAAAATAAGAGATAAACTGTTTTCTCTGGATTTTTGGAAATATGAGTATAAAATCAATATTTTCATAATTTAAGTCTATATTTTAGCAATAATATTGTATTCAATGCTAAACAGATCGCATAAACAAAGATATATTATATTTCGAGAGACAAATACAGTAAACTATAAGTTATATTATATATAAACAAAAATTGTTTTACACAAAACTATTAATTTATTTGTAAATTTAGTATTATCTAACAGTGTTTATGAAACATAAAATATTTATACAGAAAAAAGAGTATCATTTTTATATTTTTCTTTAAAAAAATTGCCTTAAGTTGAAACTTAATTTAAGTTTTTTTTTAAATCATTTATAATAACAAAATATATTATGTATAGAAAAAATATGATACATAATATAGTCTAAACAATAAGTTAGTGTTTTTAATTGTAAATTAAATAAATAACTTTTTAATAAAACTATTTTTTCGTATTTAGTAGATATACAGCACCGGTAGGTAAGAAATGAGCAAATGATTACTTCTTAGTTTGAGAATAGCCTCCGGTATTGTTTGTAAAGATGAAGAAGAGATATGAGAGACACTAAAAGTCACTTCAAAAAAGTCAAATAAAGTCGATGTCTTAGTACTGAAAGTTAATTTATATGTATTTCTTGTTTTCTATACATTTATATAAATATAAAAATTAATTACTTCTGGCGCTGAATATAGTGTTATTCGGATTATTATTAAATATATTTAATAACGATTTGAATGTTTTAAAGGCATTCTTTCGCCTCATTTATCGTCGGATCGGTTGTGTATCCAAACTATTCATTGAGTTCTTGAGAGTTCCCATGAATTCCTAATTGATTCCAATAAATACCATCTCTAGAGTTAAAACAGACCTCACAGTCAAACACTAGTTTTATGTGCATTAATATGTGGATCATTACAAAGGCTTATCATATTTCTAGAGGACAAACATATGATACATATAATCAAATGACAAAAATAAATCAAAACAATTTTTTAGTTCACATTCACTTTTATTAAAATCAATTATTAATAATATATTTATAATATATAGTAATATATAATTAAAATTTTATATATAATACAAATACATCACAATTATAGTACCACCAAATAAAACATGAGTTGTATCATTTTTTTATCTTCTAAACAATTAATAATTTTATTATAAAAATGAGATTAAATAAATTGTTACATAAATTTAATTATGACTGATATTTTAAAATTGATCAAGATGCTTTATAGTAGACATTTTATATTCATTTTTAGTTTAAATGTTAGTTAAATAAATACTAGTCATTGATTATAATAATGTTCATTATAAAAATATGAACATATTTGAGATTTGGGAAAATAATTAACGTAATATTAAATTTAATAAAATGCAATTGTTAAATCGTTTATAAAATTATTTACAAAAATGTAAAATATATTTAAAATAGTAAACTATACAAATTTGGCTTTGGGATGATATTATGACTTTTAAATTAACATATAATTTACTTGTAATTAATTTACTAAATATGTTAAAATTTTAAATTGAATAATGAATGTTAACACTAGAGAAAATTGTACTCAAAATTATTATTATTTAAAATCAGTGAACGATGTCTACTACAAAACAATGATCACATTTTTATTTAATTTAAAATTTCTTTATATATTTTTAATCAAATACATTGCGTAAAAATGTAGCACATATTAATGTAATTAAATTGTTACCGGTAATACAATTTATGTTATATCACTTATTAATTGATATAGCTCATGTTTTATAAATGGTACTACAATGTAAATAATATATAATGTCATAAATTGTACATTTGTTTGGTTCTTAATAATAATAATATACTTATAATAACGTTTAAAATTTACAATAAAAATCTCTTTATAACTTAAATTAAATTAAAATATCGTTAAAAATGCCATATAAAGTAAAAGCAAATTGATATATTTTGACTGTCAAAAAATTCATACAATAATTAAACATTATTTACAATTTATATATATATATATTCAGGGGTAATTTTAGAGTAAATTTAAATATCGAAGTTATTAAATAAATTTACTTTAATACCTATATAAACATTTTTTTAGTTTGCGAGTTAAAAATAATTAATAGCTATAAAAATGTAATACAATTTATAAATAACTCTTTGCTAATAAAAGAATTATGTATTTTGCAAATAAAAATTTCAAATATTAAAGGGACTAATAAATTATAAAAACAAAGTAAAACTTGTATTTCGTTGTAAATCAACATTTTTTATCTAAAATTTTTCTTATTTATATATTATTTATCTTTTATATATCGATATGTAATCTTATTTTTCACATCTCAGCAAAAAAAAGTTAATTAAAAAAGCAATAAAAACATAAAACTTGGAGCAATTGATTGTGAATTTGATGTAAACCCTGTCCTCTTTTTTTGGCATTCAATTGCTTCGTTTGTTATTAAAAATCTAATTATATATCAATTAATTAATTGATTTAATTGCTTGTGTTTTTCGCATCATTTAAATGTCGCATCAATTTTTGTGACACAATTTAATCATAAAATAAATATTATATCTATAATTATTTATAATATACATAATATAATATACTGTAAGTTTTCAAAATAAAACGAAATAAAAGCAAAAAATCTAAAATATTTTAACAAAAAAATCACAGAATTTTCAATTATGAAACACTGGATGTTGTGATGAAATGATATAATAATTGGTGAATGAGTTGTTGTCTTGAGTGAGCAAATGAAGCGAAAATGAGACGAACGAACACATCATTTAGTAGTCAAAACTTCTCCACAAATATATAAATCTTCAGTATTTTTGAGTCACCTAATGGTTAGTCGGTTCTCAAGTTATTAACAGTTTTATACGATATTTGACTTAGTATTTGGATTGTTTGTAATTTATTATAATTATAAAAGAAATTTTCTTCCCATTAAAACGGAAGCACTAAATGTAAAGTAAAATTGCTTTTAATATTTACTATTAAAACATAACACTATTTTCTGCTAATATTTAATAAATTCCATAATCATTGCATAATAAGTATTGTATAATAATTTGATGCATAGTTTGCATTATAAATATTAATATAATATTAAGACTTCGTTTTGTAGTAACGGTATGTGAGTTGAGTTTAGACTGTCGGTGGAGAACAACACTATAATACAGATCCCATTCATATGTTGTTCGAAGTCATAGTTCGCTAATATCCTCGTAATCGGAGTCATATGAATCACTGGTGTCGAGAAACCTACGGTTGAGCTGTCGGTGCCCTACAAATAGATCTTCTTCACCTTCTGAATGGGTTTGTTCTCTACCGACAGATTCAAGTTTTTTGAGTTCTTGTTTGTCGTTAAAACTAAATTAATTGGTTTATTATTCACCGGCGGTTGCGTTTGGAATGTTTCACTAGCGGCCAGACGGCCGTCTAAATACTGGTGCGGGTCGTCATAAGGCGAGCATATATTGGGGTCCTCTTTCCTGCAGCGCTTGGAAAATATATAACCCAATATGAAACCCAAGACTAATGATGTGATTACACTTGTGGTGACCGCCAATGCAAATGACTCTCCCGTATAGATCGGAGTTTGTTGTGTTGATTCCAAATCTATGACATTTTGATCGTCGGGTGCATATTGTGGCGGTAATTGTGGGTCAGGACTAAGCATTTTAGTGCTTTCCGTTGGCGGGGGTCGCCCATCCGGACATCGAGGATCCCAACCGTCCTCAACGTTCTGCACAAAATTATCGCGATTCCAGAAACGAGATCTACTACTAGTGCACTGTTGTCGGGCCAAATCAAATGCACAGTAAGGGTCTTGAAGAGCCACACACTCTCCACATGTTTTGGCCAAACAGTGGAACAGTTTTATTGATTTAATTTCGTTGTTCGACACGACCAACAGTTTTGCTTCATAAAAGGTGTGGTACACCAATAGGTTAGTGATAACAGTTCCCAATGGAAACACTGTTACTTCTTCAATAACTATTGGAACTACAGTATTATGATAGTGATGACCACTTAGCGCACCACTCGCTGCGTTAATAGCTTTAATGACACGGCCGTCATCAGTGGCAATGAAGAGCACATCAAACGTCTTGCCCGAAGCCGTTTCAATTTGAGGATCGACTGCTATTTGGGTGAACCGATACTTGAAACTAGTTTGCACTACAATTGGTGAGCTCCAAAACGCAGGTACAGCCATATCCATTAATGTATGCTCTTTATGAAAATTGAGTGTCATATCAGGCAATTGTCGCGAATCATTGACACAGAGACCAGGTCTGGGTTCGGGCACTTTAGATGATGGCACCGGAAGCCAATTTGAATCAATAGCTTCCTGACCTTTGAATGAACCGTCAAATGCTTTGTGGATGTCATCCATTTTGAATGCACATACAGCTGAACCACTGATACTATTTGATGGAGTAGTAAATACTCCGTATATGATTTGTGCGTTATGTCCGCCATATATGCCTTTTACCAATGATGTTGTCGATTGTATTTCATTGAAATAGAAAGGAAAATCTCCAGGAATTGAACAGTTGAGTCGTGCCTTTTGAAAAGTAGTCCAATGGTTGCGAAATTTATGGGGTCCTCCCTTGTCATTGGAACAAACTCTGGCTACTCTCGAGTATATCGATTTCCCACAATTCATATATTCAACGGCTGTCTCTCTGAAGAAGAAATATACATTTTGTTGGTGAGAGAATGAGTTGACAAAACTGGGCGCTGGAAGGCATACACACAAACAAACCAAGCATTTAATTAGTTGTCACCAAATGATATGTCATTTACAGTAATTGCTGTTTACTTATGTAAACATCAATAAACTTAAAGAGTGTGAGAGTCAGTGAGTCTTACCGTTTAAATGTTTTGGATTGAACTGTTCAGTCCTTAGTGGCAATCGATATATGAGAGGATCGGCACCATTAAAGCCGGCAACAGTAGCAACATATAGACTGTCGTCCACGAAGGTTGCCGTCGACAGGTGTGTCGGATCGTAAGGACAAAGACCTTCACCCGAAAGTTCTTTAACTAATTCAAACTCTAAACTATTTTCCACATATTGTCTACACTTTGGTTTGAAAGCATTAGTTCCGCATACAAACAGACCGTTTGCTGATCTCTTTGATAAAACTCTTATATAATTTTGACACAATTCATCCGACTTTCCTTTATATTTACACATTTTAATGTCATCATCACTGCTATACCATTGGAGTCTCTGTTTAAATTGATATTTAATAAAAATATTATTTTAATATTTCATTTTGAAAAATAGATTTATGGATAAAACAAGAGATGCTTTTACAAAGACTAAACTAATGTTGTGTTGCAAACCAAACCCCAACCCAATCCCCGTTATGTCCTAAAAATAACAACAACAGTGCAACTGATTGATGATTGAGATGGGGGTAAATGTATAGTAAATGTCTATTTCATATATTTGGGTGTTTTCTTCATATGAACGCTAAATGGCAAATATATTGTGTTTTTGGGAAGACATTTGTGTGATATGTGTTAGACTTGAAGCTTATGGAGTCAATTGTATTAGTTGTAAGAGTGTTTGGCCATCACTACAGTCGAGTCAAACAAATCGATACATACATTGTGTGAACATTCAGTTTATAACTTATGAGATAACAATTGTAGCGAATATAATGCGAATGAAAAGTTAAAATTTTTAAAACAAAAATTTATATATATATCATAAATGATATGATTGTATATAATTTATGGAAAGCCATAAGTCATAAGGACAGGGATGAGAGCTATCGACTCATTTATCACAGGTTTTTCATACTGTTTGACTATATATTTAAACCAATTCTGTTTTATGTATTATCTATGACTAACTTTTTGCTCATTTAATAAGGATTTGTGGTTTTAAAATCCCTTTTTAGTTGAAACCCGACATATAGTGCTTATATCGGTATTGTACTAATCTTTAATCCTCAAAAAAGTGCCACAAATGAGAAGTAATATTAACGAGTATTAAGATTCATAGCATAGGCACAGGGAATAAGTATTTAGCAAAAATATAGTAAATAAAAAATGGCTAAAATAAATGGTTAAACGAGTCGTATAGTCATTACTAATACACCGGTTATATGAACTGAAATGATAATAAATAAGGGAACCAGTAGTTAGTCATGTGTTAGTGTTTATCACACACTTGTCTAATACATATTCCCAGCATTTGATGGTTGCCTTACAATGGCTAACAAAAGGGACGTCTCGGTGCTCACCAGTCATTGAGCTCTGTTTGTGAGAGTATAGCATATACCGTATAATAGTTGAGCTCAACTACTGGTCCTTAATTCAGCCACATTTGAGGCCATAAGTCAGTCATAAACTTGAAAGTATGGGTAATAATGAGTAGCTCAACGACATGTGAGAGCGTAACCCCTGGTTTGACATCACTCTAAATGTATATATGTTATCATATAGTTTATATACAATGTATGCTATTGTATGTGTGATGTGTGGCCACACCAGTCATAGGCCCAGTACATCACTGGCTATAAATCATTTGATTTCAATTCAAGTCAGTAAATGTATAATACAGTCAATGTATAAAATCGATTGATTGCTTTGATAGCTATTGCCTTATAATACATGAAATACATTGTATATAAAATACATTGAAATATAAACTTTATATACAATAGTATATATGAATTAGTGAATATAAAATATGAAATCAAAATAAATCTCAATTTTGAATCATTTCCTATGAAATAGTGATCACTACTAGACTTGTCGTTGCCTAACAATGAATCCAATCATTTCTTCACTATATATAACATAACACGGAAATTACATTCAATATAAATGTCTCAATATATATAGTATACAATAGACACTGTATATAAATAATTTATATATATAAAAGAGTTGTCATAATCTTAATGCTCTTATTATTGGACACAACAGTGGGGTTGAGTTCAACTAATCTAAAGTCATCTAAAATAATGTTATTTCAATGGCATTGATTAAAAAATAATACTTTAATTTTGCTTTAAAAAAGTCATGCAAATTGAGATCAATTAACAATTTCGAGTCAATTGTATATTTGTATTTATATATAGTATACAAATAGTATGAATCTGTTTGTCAAAACAGTAATAATTATTTGTGTCTATATATGACTGCTTTTGTCTTATTGTTTGAACACAAGTCTAACACTAGAAATGTGGATAAATAAAGCTTTTATTAGTTGAGTTTTATTCAGCTATCGGGTAATAATATATTGAGATTAATGGATATATATGAATGAGAAAATGCCAACAAATGGTTAACTAAGTTTGATAGCAATGAAATATTGGGATAAATTCAATGTAGACGTCACTACAAATGTTATGAAACACCAATTTTTAGGGTTAACTCACATTTATTCAAATCATAGATAATTCAAACTACTTTACCATATATTATAATAAAATTGTAGACAATAGTGAGTATTGTAAATAAAACATCAAAATATAAGGGATTAAAAATTGCACTTAAATTTAGGTAACGCTTTGTGACTCCAATATTATGACATTATTTTGTTTATGTCATATAAACTAATTATTTTATATTATTTTTCATTTACTCAGTCAGTGTGAGATAGATCTCAAATAAAAGCAAATTATTATTAATTATAGACAGCAATGGTTAACACATTTGTTCGTTATTTAAATTTTCAATCAGTTATAAAATTTTTTTACTAATTTTATTATTATGATTCACTAATAAGTATTTTGAAAGATAGTAATTAGATTACAAATCACTTTTTAGGTCTGAAAAAAGTAATTATTTTGATAAAAGGTCAACAATGGTATATGTGTTGGTGTTGTGGTGCGTAACCAATGTATAAAATCCACGATATAATCAAAGGAAATGTTATTAAAAAATATATGATATTATTATTATAATTGACTTAAACATTACTAACAACTATATTTGAATTATACTCTTTAGAGGCGCTAAATATAGGCTTTTAAGGAGAAGTCTTGAATAAATTAGTGAATAATATGTTATAAAGTTAAAACATAACAACACATGCCATCCCTAACACAACCAAACCTAACAATAAATGAAATAACGTTGAAAACGTGCAAAAAAATAATTTAATTTTAATTTAATAAGTTTGGATTCAAATGATGGCAATGCGATAAAAAGTGAGCCCTTATTGCCACCATTTAATGGGGACAGACATCATATTGTTAGACATAGTCGACCCCAACCAGGGGTTCGGGATTTAAGATTCAGGTGTTACTCCTGAATATGATATATATAGTAAACTAATAGTCTTATTGGCCATTGCCTGGAAAATGTGCTATTTTTAGCACTCATTTGACTACTTTCAAGAGCATTGAATGGCGTCTAAAAGGGACGGGAATCTGGTCTTGTCTGGTGATAATAACAAAAACATTTTCCATTATACAGATGGATGTTATCATTTGATGGTAAATCTCAAGTACTCATATTAGAGAGCCTTCAGGTGTTGTATGGATAGTCTAAAGTTGTCTAAAGTATGGATGAGAGGGTTCACTATATTTTAAGTAGTAGTCAATGGATACCCTTATAAACCCAAATACGGTATAACCTCTTGAGCTAATGTTTGGCATCAGCTGTTGTTCATCACAAGTAAATACAATACCTTATTCTCATTAAGTGTCAAAAGACTAATATTATAGACGATATTAGTTGCGCCCACAAGAACTGAGTCTCCGTCCTGTTCAAGAAGTTTGAAGTGATCTGAATCCGTCTCATTCCCCAAAAACCTCTGAACATCCGATTCCTTCAGTTGACTGATGCGTCGCTTTGGTATCTGATTGTCTGTCCAAAGGCCTGAAGACAGGCCACAAGTCATTGATAGCAATATCACTATTAATGATGAATACATTGTCACACAAATTGGTCACCGATTTGAGTGATAACTCATGTGATTTGGTTTCAGGTCATAATCACCAAATGGTTGGTTGTTGTTGTTGTAGATGTAAATTAAGTCAAACTAAACCCAATTATTATATCATTTTTAAACAATCCATTCATCACTAAATTCATTATAATCACAACTAAAACACAATTAATATACAATTGATTTGAAAATACAATACAAAACAATAAATCAATTGATTATAGTTCACAACAAATCACATTCAATGCAAAATCATTTCTTATATAATATAATATATAGTAATATATGTTATGTTATGTTATATTCAATATAAGTGTACTATTTTACAGACAAACAACTCATATATGAGTCAAACATAACAACACTTGAATAGAGCTCAGAGTCAGAGCAACACTACAATAATGGCTGTCCTTTTGGTGCAAACACTAAACACAACACAACTGCCAAACACAACAACTGACGACTAGAGCGCCGCTCTCTATGTGTCGATGCCTTCAATCAGGTCTACCATTGAAATGTTAGACATATGTATTGAATGTATTACAGTATATAAATTTATATTATATAAGGATAAATAAAATATATAACATATACAATATACAATATACCATGGTCAATTGTCAATTGTCAATTGTATTTGCATTATACTAGATTATCAAATTATAATTAGTTAATATTAATGATTATAACAAACATTATCATTGGTCTACTTATACATAAGTTTGATAAACTTTTAAATGTAATCATTATAAAAAAGTTTAATAATCAGTTTGTTTTTCCTAATAAAACATTATTTTCAAATGATTAATGAATTATTTCCGGAAATTACATAAAGGTGTCCACCAAATGGCTAATTTTGGTGGTGATGTCATCCAATCTGGGAACTGGTTATAGACCCGACACTCCGCTCATCATAAAGTGTAGCGCAAACTCATTACTTATAAACCAATGCAGTCTTTTTACTATTAATAACAAGAATCAAGTTTTTAAATAAAAACTATTAATACTTTATATTTCGATTTTATATATATTTAATACAGTATTGCCATTGGATTTAATAAATATATTATTAAAGAGTTAAATTTAGTTTTAATTTTTTTCTATTAAGTGTTAAGCAGTACTGTATAATAATTTATGATTCATAATATATTGTTTTAGACTAACTCTAAACAATCGATTATCTCTAATAGTAATTTACAATATTTTTTGGCAATGGGATAAAATAATAATAGCAAGTAATGGTATGATATCATATAAGTTGGTTTCAAATGAGTTTACACTCATATAATGGCTGATATCATATGATAGTTGTTGTATTGAGTAAAACATTTACTTTAATATTAAAGTAAGGATTTTAGTGTTAGTCTAAAAGTTAGTTAACGCTTAGCTGAAAATCTTATATAAATATAAAAATTGTTTCTCACAAATCAAATACAGTATAAAATACGGTATGTTGTAATATACCGTACTTTACAGTACATCATATGATATAAGCTATAAATAAGAAACATTTACGACACATATAGATATCGTAATATTTGTATATTTATATTATAGAAAACCTGATTTTTGGTTGTTTTTTATTTATTTAAATGCGTTGAGCTTTAAATAAAATTTACAACTATTTTGATCAAACATTTACTTAAGAATATTTTTATATTCAACTAATTTTTCTAGTTTTTGCAATTTTTAAAAAGCTAAGCAATTAATTAAAATAAATTCAATGAGAAAATTAAGAAAAATTGCTATCAATAGTGAAAATCATGAATAAGAAGGACACTCGAGTTTAACATAAAATAATTTTCAAAGATTTAACAATCAATTTAGAGTCGTTTAAAGTGAATATATTTGTTGTTTTGTTTTAAATGCCATTAAAGTACTTAAGAATCATAAGTTGTGATTGAGAGTCGATATCATTGAAGTGTCGATTATTTACTTAAACCAGTGTTTTCTAAAATACTCAATTAAATGGTTAGAAAGGTCTAGACTTTAGGTTTTATAAATGCCACCAATGAAACCAACAAAATTAATGTAAAATTTTATTAAAAATTATTACATACTCTTTATTCTCTCGAGTTTAGACTAATAAACTCCTGGATAACTCAAGATATAATTAAGATTGTAAAGTCATAAATATATAATTTCTTTTTTATAATAAATTTTTATGATTAATTAAAAAAAATATTCCTCAATTTATCATTAAATATAATTTTTATTTTATTATAACTATTTTGGATAAAACGATAACTTATGCAAACAATGCTAAATAAAAAGTCATTTCAAGAACACAGAATATTTTTTAAAAATAAATAATTTATAAATTTTTGTATCTTAACAATATTATCAATTGTTATCAATTGTTAAAAATTAAAATATTTTTCAATATAAACAAAATTTAAAATGACATCTCATTAATTGTAAAACATATATATGGATCGCTATAACAAGCAATCATTTAATACGACAATACTGTATAATGCTTTGAAAACAAAGAAAGTAATAGTTTTAGAAAATAAAACAGTAAAACAAAAAAGTATCACAAATGAAGGCATTTTTACTTATTTCTATTGTTTATCAAATATCTACTATTTATTTATGTAATGATATTTGAGTACAAACTCTTTCACAGCAAACATTGTTTAATCTATAATATGATTGATTGTTATTTCATAAGCAATGCTAAAGATTTATGAGTGAGTGTGTGTGTGTGTGTGTGTGTGTGTGTGTGTGTGAGTGAGAGAGAGAGAGAGAGAGAGATTGGATGAAAATAAGGTTAGTTTCGAGAGTTTTCAGTTAGTAGTGTTTGTTATGTCTGTCCTCATGGATGGATGAGATGCGATCGTCAATCAATTTAAGCCAATTCAAGGACATTAAAGCCATGATTTTCTTAGTTATATTTTTGACTTCACTTTCACCACAAACTATACCTATAATATTGATATTTATATCCAGAGATCAATATAAAACTTAGTTTTAAGTTTAGTTATTAGATATACAACTATATAATAAGCTCTTCATCTCTTACTCTCTTTCATTGATAGCGTTTCCTATATTTCTATATAAATGAGAAAAATAGGCGTATTTTGAATCATATATATATATATATTTTAATTGGTAGTCAAGACAAGCGAGAAGTCAAAAGTTAAGGATGAGTTGAGTCATGCTTTACATCCGTTTTAGAGGACTTGTAGTCTCCCTGTAAGGCATACCTGAATTACAAGTTGTTTATTATAGTATACTGTATTATGTAGAGAGCTGTTGGTTGAAGAAAATTGATTCACTGCTGATATAATGTTAGCCAACTGTCAGATCACTTCAGTACTATTACTATAATCATAATTATATACTAAATCACAAACTAGTGTTAACTATATGCCTAACAATCTCAACACAGTTAACAATGATATGAAAACTAATAAAAATTATTAGAAATTAAAGTTAAAATTACTATACTGTGGACATAAAAGTCAAATTAAATCCAAACAATATATTCTTATATAGAGTTAATTAAAATTAAAGCTCATATTCAATCAAAGCTATTTATTCAGTCTATTGAATCTCAATCTCCATTTCCACTAATAAATAGTCGCTCTCTTTATATATCTCTTCCTCTTTGTCTTTATTTTTGTTGATTCCCACAAATGATGGCATATCTTAATGTAATTTATTTTGTTTTCTTATTTAGTCTAACATTAGATTTAATATAAAGTTTGACTTAGTCTACATCCCGAGCCATTCAACCACTTCTGGTCACTAAACTCCACATAAATACTACACTACTTAATAACATTAACACTAACTTTATTTTTATATTAAATCACAAATCAGTTTATATTAATAATTATAAAGTATTATAATTTATAAATATTTCTTATGTTAAATATTTTATTATTTAATTTATAACTATATAATATTAATAATATTAAAAAGATGTTATTTGTATTTTAATTAATATAATTATTATATATATCCATCAAATGAATGTCAAATATTTATAATATAAAAATTTAAAAACAATTTGTTATACAAATTTATTTAATGGCAAAACACTATTAATTTAAAAGTTATATTTTCAATGAATTCAAAGATCTTTTAAAAATAAGACATTTATATTGAAATCAAGAGGAAATTGTGTCTTTGTTGGTAAAATAACTACTGTTTGAAAAAGCATTAACATATAATATATTAAACGACCAAAATATCAAAACTTTTTGATCCTTGAATTTATAATAGAGCTTAACGTTCAAAAAGATGTCGTTTTAATGTTTTCAACTGAAACGTTCAATTGTTATGCAATATAATTACATTTTTCTTTGTTGTCTTATAATAAACAGCAATTTAATGCCCCACAAAAATTGTCAACAATTTGCATAATACATTGCTAGTTATAATTTATAAATATTAATATTTACTAAAATCTCATCTTATGGTCACTAGTTTTATATTACTCACTGTTTACTAATAAAACAAATAAATAATTCATGAGATATTCACTGACACAAACTTTACAGCCAATGAAGACAATTATGTATAAGCCTTTAGGATAGAGTACAGTATTTGTAATTATTTGATAGTAATGTCAAAAGTTTTGATCAATGATTTTATCAAAGATTTCAATAGAAGATTAATATTATTTAGTGTTTTGACAACAGAAATTGTATTAATTACTTAATAAAATGTTATACTAATTATATATTAAAAATTCTGATATTTTTTATTTGTATATTTTTCTTTATTTAATATAAAACGTGATATTATCAATGAAATATTTTTTCTAAACCTCAATGGTTTTAATTTATCTTAATTAGTGTACATATAAATTATATCTTTCAATATACACAAAAAAGGTTTAGACTTTATTTATTTAATTGCTTGGTTTTATTATTTTGTTTTAGAGTTTTAGTTTTTTAATAAGCAAAACATTAATATAAAATATAATTTTATTATAAATTTTTATTATTTTATAAAACAAAGTAAGTTTTTGCTAAATTGTTTTAACTTTAAAGTGTTGAGAAAACATATTGATATTATTTATTGTTTTTAAATCTGGGTTTTTATTACACTTTAATTTCACACAAATTTTTTCATTTAAGAGAGTAATTGAAAAATACTTTTTCTCACATTAAACTTGTTAGGAAAAAAACATTAATTGCAAATTTATAAAAAACATTTAACTGTTTTTCATGTTTGTATTATAAATTATAATGATTGCTTTAAAATAAATTAAATTTTTGCAACAAATAGTTATCTAATAGAAATCTCTAATAAATAGAAAAAAATATATAAAAACTGAGGCAACCCTGACATTAATTTTGATAATACATCAATTATATTAGTTTAGTTGTTAGGGTTATGTATTTCACGCTTTTTTGAAATTCATTATATTGTTAAATATATAATTCATTTATATATTTAAAACAAATAAAAGTATTTTGTTATTAAAATCTAAACTAAAAATATAATAACAATATAGACTATGCATATTTGATTACATTATTAATTTAGGAAACATTTAAATATAGCAATAATTGTGTTTCAAAGTTGTTTTTTGTTATTGTTTTTATTATTAAACATTTTTATCAAAGTTTATAAATAGTATAATGTTTTATAATTATAATCAAATATAAATTAAGGGTATAATCGAAAAAAACAGAAAAATATGTTTTAAAATTATTAAAAATAATGTATTGAAACTAAAAAGTTAAAAACTTACATTTACTTTAATATGTGTAATAATTATATCTGTCAAAATTATTATTATATTTAATTAATATAAAAATAAAAATATTAAATTATATTATTATTTTGTATAATAGATAAATTTTATTTTAGTATTGAAATACCATTTTCATTTATTTTCATTGTGTATTTTGAAATATTTTACGTGAAATATCATAATTTTAATTGTCAATTATTTATTTTTTAATTGTAAAGCTATTTATAGACGTTATCTACAATATTATACTTTATTATTTATAATCTAGTTTAATCTTATAAAAAATAAAATGTCAATATATTTGATCTTTAAAATAATAAAAAATAAATTGCATTATAAATGGATTACATTTACATTATAATTAGCATAAATAAATTTTAAAATAACAGATAAACAAATTATTAGATTCTCGTTATGCAAACCGTGATTATTATTTTTAAATTTTTTTTATTATAAACAAATATATATTAATTTTAAAAAGTTTTGATCACAAATGAAAATTTTAAATAAATTTAACTTTGGTTTAACCCAAGTCATTGGACACATAATATATATTGAGTATATTTTAAATAGATAAAGATTTAGGTCACTTCTATATATTGATATAATATTTCATAAATATAAAAATTTACTAAAAAAATATAAACATCTTTTTATATAAAAATATTTAAAAATATATTTATAAGTTAATTCATTATAAATTCGCAACTTTTTATAAATATCTTTGTTGTTTTTATACACAATTATTAGAAAATTATTATCGATATTATGTTAGTTATTTTCAATTAAGTCTACTAACTATTTTAAATACCAAAAAATATCTAATATAAGATAATTTAAATATTAATTTTAAAAGTAAAATTGAAATTTTAAATGTTTTATAAATGCAATTATTTAGCAAAAACGTATATAACAATTAATATTATATATGTATTATATTTTTTTAAATATTCAATGAATTTATAATCACTAGCAGTAACGCAAAGAATTAATGTTATATTAAATAATATATAATTGTAAGTAATAATAATAATAATAATAATATTTAATCATATAAGTATCATAAACCCTTACTTTATAATGATTATAATTACAATTATTTATATTTTATTAAAATACTTATGTTAACATAGATTTTAAACAAACAAACAAATAATTTTGTAAAATAACAAATAAAATTGTAGTTTTTATTGTTTAATAATATGATTTAAATTATGTGGTAATGTTTTAATAACAATTTATTTAACTTATTTTATGAAATATTGTTATGTTGAAAAATTATTTACACATAACTTATTTTATTGTAGTATACAGTAATTACAATATAATAATAATATTTACTGTGAATGTAATAAAATATTATATATTTATATCATAGTTTAAGTTTGCATTCAACTATTTTGTCAATTATAGTCATTAAATGAATGTCACTTTGAAACACATATTTCAATGTTTTTATTTAAAATATTGATATTCTCTCTCTCTCTCTCTCTCTCTCTCTCCCTTCCCCTCTCTTACTATCAAATATGACTTAATATATATAATCTTATCTTTAATGGCATATAAGCTAAATATTTAATCATTTATTGTTTAATTAAACTTTAATTATTTATGTTTTAGAAAAAATATGTAAAATTTTACTTTAAATACTATAAATTTATTTTGCATTTTATTTTAGTAGTAGTAATACATTAAAGTGTATTTAATACTGTAAATTAAAATGAAATTTTAAATTATTAAATGTATTGGTGATCGAGATGTCTAAAAACAAGACATCGCTGTCAAACATCAAGAATTGGAGACATTTACGCAAATCAGTTGACGCGACCAATACATCCGTGGACTCGACAGCCAATAATAATAATAATAATTCAAGTAATGAAGTCAAAGCCCGTACTCAACGATCAAACTCTCAAAAACGTCTAACTTTTAGTCCATTTGAAGACATATCACCCGAATATAACAGAACAATATGTTTGGGAAATATAAGTGTCGTCTCCTCTGGTGTTTCCATATCTCAAGCTCACGACTGGTTGGGTCTCGAGAATACAGTTATTCAAGTGTTTGAAGGTTCGGGTGTTGTGTTATTAAATGCTAACCAATTGTCTGATGTTCACAGAAATGTCAAGAATTTGTTGGATTCAAATATCGGATCTTTTGTTTACGATAGATATAAGAGTCAAATGTTGAAAAAGGGTATGACTTTACTGAAAGAAAGGGTCAATTTGATGACTAATCTCATGGATGGGTTGTCTAATATATGGATTCATTTCTACACTAATATATTGCCGACTTTGGATGCTATCCTTTATAGAGTTAAGCCTAAATGTGGACTAACTGTAAGACAGACAACACTCATTGAATTTAGAGATGAAGTGATTTTTGAGACTCATTTTGAAAACAAACTCAAAGAGTTAGTCACCGAAAATAAGATAATCCCTACAGATATTAAACAAATGTTATTAGTATTGCAGAGTATATGCGAGTGTTTTCCTCCGTCTAAAAACAAGATCCATATCGAGTCGCTGACAGCTCTGGCTATTAGTCCGTATATGGCATACAAAGGTTTATATGTAAACTACAATATCTCAGAGCCAACTGTTCCGTCACGTGAACCTCATTTGAACGCCAAACGCAAGTCTATAGACCTATTGGCCCGATCTCTATCACGACCACTAACTATGCAACCGAAACAATTGGAGACATTGAATGAATTGTTTGCCTCAGCTATTGGCAGAAAATAAACTCAATATTACTCAGCTTTATGTCTATCAAGTCATACAAACTTTTGTCAAATCAACAAAAAATAGTGATTCAACTGTAGATAACAATTTAGGAGACGTGAACTACATGTCAGTCATATATAAATTTAGTTATACGTTATGTTATGTCTCAGCCCAGAGTTCAACTCCTCTCTCTCTCTCTCTCTCTCTCTCTCTCTCTCTCTCTCTTTCTTTCTTTCTTTCTTTCTCCACTATCTCTTAGTTCAACACATTTCTCAGTGTTTTTTAAAAGAAACATTTTAAGCAAAAAAAATAACTTAAGTTATTGTGATCTGATTTAATGTTTCAGATGTTATAGCATTTATATAATATTAAATCCCTATATTTAGAGTAAATCATTTACAGTTTATTATTATTTTAAAAAATAACTTCAAAAATTGGTTTAATTTATTTCACAGAAAACTGTTACGCAAAACTTGAAATAATATTATTTATTAATAATAAATATAATTTAATTTTTATAGTTTAAAATTTAAGGCATAAAAATTGTATTAAAAAACAATTTAGATATTTAGCGAGTTTAAGGAATAAATAAAAAATGTGAAAAAAATTATTTGTACCAAATATTATTATTAATTATTGTGTGAAATTTAATCTTAACTAATATCGATAATTTGGTGCAAAATTGCCAATTAATTATAATTTAGATTAAATTTTTTTATCACAATGTATTTATAATTCTATGCACTTGATCTCTAAGTTACAAAAAAAATAATTATACGGAACAAAAAATATATAATTAAATAACTTTAAATAAATATATTTATATACAGTAAATATATAACTGTTAAATAGTATATCATTTAATTATTATAATGAATGACAATAACACCGAAAGAGAATTAATTATGATTACTGACAATACCTTTAATATTTAATTGATAGACAATTTACACTTTTTTATTAGTATAATAGCTATAAAATAAGATTTTATTTTGAAAGATAAAATTTAGAATTAATGTATAATTAATAATAAATAATGATTTATTTTTTTAAAAAGTTATCTGTAATGTTGCAATAATATTATTTATATTAAGGTGTTGAATATAAAATCAATGTGTATTATATGTAATAATTTTATTGGATTTTTTATTAAAATGTATGAACAGATCTATTATTATTTAAATGGACCACATTTTCACCATTTGTATTGCAAATTATTTCTTGTTATTCACTAAACTTTTTTCTACTTTTTCAACATATTGTTTATATATTATATGATAGAGAAATTGTAATTATAGGTACTGTCAATCATTAAAAACCTAAAATACAGTACTTTATGCATAGTATAAATTATATATATATATTTGTTTAGTTATGTAAGAAAATATAAGTATAGATCCATACCCTATAATAAAAGTTTGATTTTTTGTTTTTTATTTTTGTTAAATTATATTATATTATATATATTTTGAGTTTTCTTAGATTTAAGAAAACATTTCAAAACGTGATGTTGACTTCAAAAAACAGTGTCAGTAAATACTGTAGTTATATCAATGGCACACACATTCACTTTAGGGGACTAAAGTAAGTCTGGTTTAACAACAATAAACAACTCAATACATGAGTTTCCCTAAACTACCAGTTCTTTTGTAAGGATTTAAAATATAATTATATTAACAATTTATAAACAATTTATAAACAAAAGCCGAACACAAATCAAATGACTTGAAGTTAAAAGTTTTTGTCAGACTTTTAGTTTAGTATATTATCAGTGAATTAATGGTAAAAATTTTATTTAACATTTTACTACTAATACTAATTAGACTACATTTCAGTTACAATCATTTATTTTAAATATCAATTAATTAATAAACACAAAATTTTAAATTAATTAAATTTAATTAAACTTTAATTTATAGCTGACATAAATATATACTTATAAGTATATACTATATATATATATATATATATATATATATATATATATATATATATWTATTTATTTATTTACTTGATTTGAAAATGTTAATGTTTTAGAAAAATATTATGTCAAAGATAACAAAATAATAAATGTTTGTCATAATTTTTTATAAATAAGTATTTCCAAAGTTTTATTAATTAGTTTATCATTGATGTGTTAATTAACTGTAATCTCTCTCTCTCTCTCTCTCTCTCTCTCTCTCTCTCTCTCTCTCTCTCTCTCTCTCTCTCTCTCTCTCTCTCTCTCTCTCTCTCTCTCTCTCTCTCTCTCTCTCTCTCTCTCTCTCTCTCTCTCTCTCTCTCTCTCTCTCTCTCTCTCTCTCTCTCTCTCTCTCTCTCTTAAACTGTTAGAGTATGTTTTGAAATGAGTAAATTTTAATGCAAAATATCTAAAGTAGAGAGTGAAAATTCAAAACCATTTTCAGAAACCGAACCCGAATTTAAAGAAACGACAAATAAAAACCAAATCAAGTATAATATAAGCAATAATTTAATACAAATACTTATTGTATAAGAAAGATAATTTGCAAATTCTAGTTATATATTAATTTTTATTATAATTATATTTTAAGATTATTTTTTTAAATTAAATAACAAAAATCTACAGTAAAATCTGTAATCAATGATGAATTGAATCGTTGAGAAACCGATTCGGTATCGCTTTTATTAACCCAAACCCGAAAATATTTTATACTAATGTATAGTAATATTATTAAGAGAGAGTTTATTGACTTATTGATCTCAAAAAAACAATTTAAGATTTTTCTTTATTAATTTCTTTAATATATATTATTAGTTATACAAAATGTATAATAATTTTTTTTAACAAACGTCTGAATGCAAACAATTTCTGTGATAAACATAATGTAAACTCTTTTTCTAACTAAACGACAACACAAATGCACTAATAATTCAATGACTCTGTATTTGTTTGCTTTAAAACACATAGAAAAATCATTTGAAACGAAGTTTCGTTCAATAATAAGTTATTATTATTATTATTATTATTATTATTATTATTATTATTATTATTATTATTATTATTATTATTAGTATTATTATTATTATTATTATTATTATTTATCAATATATTAAAGTGCAGTCTAAAGATTATATTTTGGATAACTATTATATTATATAAGAGCTTTAATTCAGATAATTTGTTGTCCTTAAAGTGGGTGTGAAATGACAGACATGAAGCACAAGTAGATGAACTCAATGTGCTTTCAATGGCAAACTCTTTGGGGACTTAAACGCATACAATGTTATAGTCATTATTCATCGCTCGGAAAATGTCTTTATTTTTACTAATAAAACGCATGTCTTATATATGTCTTATCTTTCATAATAAACAAAGTCTTCTGCAAATACTCTTTACAATCAATATATCATTCATTCAAATCATTTGTATGACTCGGACGCTAAAAATTTTTATATTCAAATAAATATCATTGCATTGAATTCAAATTAAAGTCAATATTAGCGTTGGCACTGAAAAACAAGCTTTTTATTTGTTTTATACTGTACTAACTTAAGTTGATTTTATAGATAAAACATTTATGATTTCATGTGAAGTTTCATTTATTATTTCACATTTCATATAATCTTAGTGTTTGATCGCAAACATGCAATTAGCAAACAAAATCATAAAAAAAAATATTTTATTTTTTAAAATCATTATTCCGATTGTAATTACTTAAACTTTATCGAGTTTTATATAAAATATAGATAACTTAAACACTAATCTTGCAAATTTTGACTGATATTATGCAAAGTTTGTAAATCATTAAATAAATTGATTATTTTATACAAAATTCTGTCACTCATAATGTCAGAGCCATTACTTTAGGGAACGGTATTAAACAATATTGTAATTTTTGCTAATGCGTTGGCACAATGATAGGGTACTGTACTATATTTATTGCATATTGTTTGGTGAGATTATCTTTTATAATGTTGTCAATGGGTGGTCACAAACAATTTAGCAATGTATCTATATATAGTATATAATATACTTATGCATATTTGGTATATACATTATATATACAAATTATATTATATAATATTATTCAATACAGACATATCTAGAAACACATCTTAAAATAAAATTAATATCAATTTATAAATGATTTAAAATACTGTAAAAATATACAGTATGTATATATCATGTTATTATATCATATTTTTAATATACTTACAAATGTAAATACCAATGTTTTTATTAAAAACAGTCATTTATTGCATTAATATTTCTATTATTTATATTTTTAGTAGTTTTTATACCTTATCTTAATTTTTCAATTAAAATTATAATTGTATTTATATTGTTATTATCTAACCCACTGTATCATATGTCTTAAGCTATAAAATGGTTATAAATATTTTACAATAATTAAAGATATGATATTTTCATTATTATGTGTTTGTATTAATTGTAATCGACAATCATTTCAGTGAATTGAAAAATTATTCATTAAAAGCAAGCAATATGTAATAAATTATAACATATAAATATTGTTATCATTACTTGTGTTTTAGGTCATTGCATATATCATACACTGATATCTTTATACTGATTATATAAAAATATACAATTTAAAATTAAAAGTTTTAATAATTATTTATTTGATTAAAACTCAATTCTATAGCCTATTTAATAAATGTAATAATTAAAATTTTGTTTGAGAAAATCGCTTTTTATTGCATTTATTTTTAGATGACACTTAACCTAAAATTAGAAACTATTTTAACGGTATGGTCCTGTATTAAGACACCCCCTTTACTCTGCTTGCTTAACCCCAATAATCTTATTAAATTTTTAAAAATTAAATAACATTTAATTTCAAATTATTAAGTTTTCAAACTAAATTTTTAAAGATTTATGTTTCCTAATAAAGTTTCAAGAGTGGGAGTAATACTAATATTATTTAAATAAATATAATTTTAAAAATATAATTATAAGCAATTAATTTTAATTAGTTTATAAAATGTGAACATTTTATCTAATCAAATAATACTCTTAAAATATTATTATTTTCTATTTTCCTTTTTTGAACATTGAAAAATTTTATTTTTAGTGGAAAACTTTAAATTTATTTAAATATTTTTATTTCAAACTTATTAATATATAATAATAACACTGTTTTGTAAAAAACGTTATTAAATTTGTATATAAAACACAAAATATTGGGAAAATGGTATTAATTTTCAACATTTTTGCAACAAATATTAATGACAAGAGAGTGCTATAACTTTAAAAGTCAAGATAAACCCATTTTACT